ATGTGTGTGTGTAGTATGTGTGTGTGTGTATATATGTGTGTGTGTGTATGTGTGTGTGTGTGTGTGGAAGTATGAGAGTTGAAGAAACCATCCCTACTGTCCAGTGTTGAAAAAAGGCATCCTCACCTTCGCAACCGCCACCTCCTTTGGTCTCACACACGAGGACTGACACATTGGCTGGGACTGTGCCGAAGTTGGTTATTCTTTTGCTCTGCTGCAGGCTAAAAGATTCGGAACCGATTATCCATGTGCACCTCCTCTTACCTCCTTTTATCACCGCACTTAATCACACCTTATCTCCTAAATGAATAGGACTTTTCCAGCTTTCGCCCACACCCTGTTCAATGGTCTTAATGGGAGACTGGATCCACTACCCAGCCCCTTGAAGCAGTTTTCCATTAGCGTTAGTGCTATCCGTTTTCCTTGGTCTGTTGAGCGGACAATAGCGACCCCGGCCTGATGGTTTCCACTGTAAAAGTATATGCCAAGTCCGTTTTTTGGACATACTTAACGGCCTCTTGCCAAAAAGCCGACATATGCACGCGAGATACGCACTAATCTCGCCCTGTTCCCCGCAGCGATGGGCCGTGGATACCGTGGATGCGTTAGGCTCTCGTTGACTCAGGCAAAAATCGGTATAGCACAGACTGGCGTTTCATGTCTTCTCCCCATCAGTAGACATTCTACCTGGGTAGTTATCCATATTCCCTTTTTTGTTGTTAGCTTCCCACTAGTATGATTCGTGCATTTAATCTTAGCAATTTGTCTTCGGTTCGATCCAAACCGTCCTGAACACTGCGCCACGTCTCAGTGGTTTCCGCTTTTGCTCTGTGAGTTGGCCATGCTGTCTACTGCGAAGAGGGAAGAGTATCAGTAACAGACAAGCGGTTGCTTTTTCAATCTCATTAATGCAAAGTATGATGTAACTCCATGGCGTGTTACCTTCCGCGAACTCACATTAACCAGTCCAATTCGTCTCTTTTTGACTGATTTTCTCGTAAACTGAAGTATCCTGTTCTTATGTAAACACTTCTTTGAGAGCAGTTTGGACGATCTTTTTCCATCTCCGGAATAATTTTATTGCTACCGGCATGTTTTCAATTCCAGTAGTTAATTGTATGCGTCTGTGTGGGGAATTAGCCTGTTTACCTTTAGAGTAGAAATTATTCCGGATAGTTTTGCCCAAGAACACAGTCCCAATTGACACAACGTGGCGGATGTCGGATTCGGTTAATTTTTTGCTACTGTTAAACAAGACCGACCGGTTTCATTGCTCGTCAACCCGCAATGCCTCCTTTTTTGGACAAATTTTAGCACAAAAATCCGTCCATTTCGCTTACTGACTTTTTATTCTCATCAATGCAGCAATCATTTAGTTTTTCGAGGTAGTAATGATTAGATTTATTTTAGCATGGGCTCTATTGATGACGATAAACATAATTTGCTGACTGTATTACGTCTTCCCACTGCGCGTCATTTAACAGATAAATTGTTACACCGCGACGAGCGATACCACCATTTAAGATCGTCGACGGGTCCCATTTTGTGCAAACTTTTGTGACCATAAAGAGTCAAACTGTAAGCCTATTATCATTGTTGACTTTTGTGGTCCAATAAGAATTCGAAATGCCACTGCTTAAATGCACCGTTCCTCTTACGTCTTTTCATCCCAATTGTTTCCTTAACATCTCTCCATGCCCTCACTCTTTTAATTTCGCCCATGCCCATCCGACATCCGACGGAATGTGGCCATGTTCCGTCTTTCACATGCGACCTGGCATACAATGTGTGGTAGGGCTCTCCCACCTAATTTCCACACCAAAGACAGAAGCTGACCTTTCTGTAGCGGCATCGGCAGTGGCAGCAACAGTGGGAGCTGCAGTAGCAATAACTTTATTGTTGATTTGCTGGAGGGGGGGGTGGCGGTGTCCTGGCACAATGTCAGCCAGTGCCAAAGGCTTCTTCATGAGAAATTTAGCAATGGCGTGTGATTTCACTCGCCTAAAAAGTGATCATTCCGCCTTCCTCTCACAAACATAAGTAAGATCAAATTTTATTATGACCAGCAACTGCGTAGCTCCCATCTGATAGTAATTTTATGACCGATTTCCAGGTTTCTCTGTCCATCTGGGTGGAGTTTTCGAATGTCGGGTTTGTTTCATCAAGCATCAGCATTCCTTATGTAATCTCCCCTCAATACCTTTTCACCCCTCTTATGGCCTTGCTCAACGCAAGGAGGCTTCGTGTCCAAGGTAGTCGTGCAAAAAACTGCTCAACGCGATTAGCTTAGTTTAGAGGCTTGGTTAGCAGTGGCAGCAATAAAGTCACTCCCCAGCTTAGTCACCCGTCGCATACGTCTGCTGTCCGCGTGCGTGCGTGCGTGCGTCCGGACGCGAGCGCAGCGCCCTTATTATCGACCGACGGCGACGTACGGACGTGCGACCTGCGCGTACGCTACGCGCGTGCACCGTTACAGCAGCTGAAGCACCTTGACCTGATACCCGTTTGTCGTGTCCGCCTTGCCCAACTTCACTCCATCACCAAAACCGTTGCCACTACTTTCGACAAATCCCACCAATATTTCACCCACCAGGTCATTAGACAAATACATTCAAGATAACAAATAGTCCAACTGCCGTTTCAATAAAAATTTAAATTTGTAGAAAGTGGTGTGTAAATATCCATCATTCGGTGCGAATATTCTATAACCAGCTATCTAGAATGGACTCATGCCTACCCCAATCATGGGTCCGTGCTGTCTGCCGCACGCACATCAACTGATCACACTTTGGAGTGGGTTTCTGTTCCCAGTGTTTTATGCCACTGCATAATGCTACCTAGATACCATTAGTAGAGCCGCCACCACCACCACCAAACTACACAAAATAACGTGTTTTATTCTATCAGCAGTGGTTTATGACAAAGACGTCAAGAGCATTGCATCGATAATATAAACAAATGGCTTATACCTGTGAGTGTTAATTGATACCCATAGTACCTGACATTCATTTATGTCTGTGTTGCGTAGAAAATAAGCGATTGCTGCCCATATCTTTGAGAAAAACATGCCATTTATTGCAGGCGATCCACTTACCAATGAAGGTAGGGCCTTAACACCTGTGTCTGTTTTGTCCCCCCGATCCGTAGAAAAACGATATGCTGAGTCATCTGCTCCCCTTCTGTCCGCAATGGGTGAAAATAACCAGAAAGGCGTTGTTCGCGGTTGTATTTTTGTTTCAATGCGCCTCCTTAGCCCGTGCTTGGCTATTGGTGGTACAGTATGGAGTTTTTTTAAAGTTTGTTATTGATGTGTTAAGCGCCTCTTAACTTGTGATTTCGGTGGTCGTTTCTAGCTTGGTCTTCTGTATGTTTCCTCATATGTGTGTGCCGGTAGCTGTTGGGCCTAAGTTTTATTTGTAGTGGTTCTCTCAATTCTATTCACTGCGAAAAAAACACTTTCCCGGTCGATTACTGGAGTCTGCGACTGCACATTCCGACTTCCATCTACTCTAGTTGATGAAAATACCAACCTCCTTTGGTGAATCACGATTAGGAATTGTCTAAGGAATCGTAAATGGGTTTTAATGATTTTCATTGCATTTCGCGGAACCGTTGGTGTTTGAAATTGAAAGGAATTGTTCTCTCGGGGACCGGCGGTTTGCCGTTGTCTACTGATTAAATTCGACAATGGAAATTGGTGGCTTTTGGTAGGGGAGGGACAAAGTTAGTCCCGCGTTATTTTTCTAAAAGTATTGTACCAGCAAAGGACCATTCAATGTTTAAGCATGTCTAGTTAATTTTTGCTTTGTTCCCTTTGGGGTTGGTGACTGGTGGTTCCAGGTTGTTATTGAATTGCCAAGTTTTTCACTTCTGAATATTATTTTATCAGTGACAATCAACATTCATTCTCTTCCCCTTAACTTGACCCACTTGGCTATTCGAGTTCCACTAACATACAAATGCGTTCAAAAGGCGGTCGCTTTCTTCTAAGGTTTTGCTTTTACTAGCCAATTTAAGTGAAACCGTTGCTTTTTTCTTTGCACACCGGGATCTGGCTTCGCGCATTGGCACCCGACTGCGGACCAGCCATTTCCTCCGCTCTCCTATGCACAAACGGTTCTATTTCATGGGTGTTAGTGGGTGGTTTTATCCACTATGAGACTCTTGGCTTGCCTTATTTTCATCAGTAACTTACTTAGGACACGCTATTTCGTAACTGGTCCCTGTGTTCCTACAGTCGTACAGCGATCGTTTGTCACATCTCACTGTTTTTCACCTATTCAAATTAGGCTGATGTGTAATTAACGCGGATTTTAATCACTCGGTTCGTGTTATTCCATCCGTAGAGTGCAAACCATGGTTGCGTAGCGCCGATTGTGTCCACGTGGTTGGTGTCTTGGCAAATTAACCATTTCCAAGGGTTCCTTAGGCATTAGTGGCGAAGGTAACCCTTTCATTTTTCAAGCTTTCCTTCAAATTGTTTAACACCAGACAAGAGTTGGACCCCTTTAAAAGTATCCCTCCTCTTTGTACAGGCCTCAAAGCGTCCGGAGTGCATCGTGGCTTTTTCTCGAATCCACTATTGCGGAACCTACTGTGGTGCGCGAGAGGGCACGCATGCCAAAGTCTGTCCCGCGGCCTGCGACAACTTCATTAAGACCTGTTTCGCCGACGCTTCCTCGGACTCCTCCAAGTCCCTACCGCACGTCTGGTCGAAACTTATCAGTAAGTCCACTTCTCTCTTCGTCCATTCATCCCCTCCTCCATTGCTTCGGCAATCGCAAATTTGGCCATTACAAGGGGTGCAAGGGACCGCTTTTATGGGAAACTCTATGTAAACTACAGAGCCGTTAGTATTTCAGTTCTGTTTTATGTATCTATTCTCTGCAGTGAAATTTCACTGTTAGATAGATCCTTGGTGGTTGCGGGTAATAAAATCGTGGGTTTTGTATTTATCTGAAACAATCCATTCGCTTCACTTGTCAGCCAACCTACTGCTTGCTTGAACGACAATAAATGAGCCTTTGGGTGTCTGTAAGCATCCATTTTTGAGATAATTGTGACTAGTCCATTTGTCTCGTAATATCTAGACACTTGATAGGCGGATAGGTGAAATCAATGGAAATATTGGGTGTGATAGCATTGAAAATGGTCGTGAGCCGCTTGCTTCCCTCTGCATCGGTTTGTAGCCATTAGTTTAGACTAAAGATGGTTCATTCACAAGTTTGAGCCTCAGCTATCACTTTTTTGACAATTAAGTAATGAGTGTGCTTTTGTACATACGTACGGAGTGTTGTATGCGAAATCCCTGCCAGGCTGTCTAGGTTACCCTCTACCTCGACATCAAGGCTGCTTTGAAAAGCATTGTCAATTAATCCAAATTTTTATCTGCGGTGGTTTCTTATATTCCGTTGATCGAAGAACACATTGATCAACTTCCATCATGGTGGGCTCGGGGCATAACTACGTTTTAGTCCACTGTTTGTTTACTGGTATTTCAGTCTTCATGAATGTCGTTCACATTTATATAAACTTAACTGTAGCACAAGCCACTGATGTCATTTATTTTCTATACATTCCATGTTACTGTTAGCCCTGATGGTAGTGAATTTCCATTGCTATCCAATATTCACTTGCCTGTAAAGGTCGAATTTCAATTCATTAATTTGTCATCGACAGCGCCTACCTTATTTTAATTGTTTTTATACAGTGAAATGGGATAAGGCTTTTGAATTTATTCGAATCGCCTTGACTTGTATTATATTCATTTTAAGTGTAAAGCACTTCTTTTGTTCCTTCCTTTGCTTTTTCTACTTGTTATTCAGATGTTATTTCCGATTAATAAAATCCCTCATATGCACACATTTACACACCTATACATGTATTCAGGTTTGTTCTCATCTCACTCCTTCACTGGACTTGGGAGTTGCCTAACCCGTAGACAGCATAAAGTAAAATTTACCATTCCGATAAATTCAATTTCAAGGTAGCGATCCTGAAAATGGTAGATTTGGCCTTTGCAGTCCATTACAGCGTTTGGCGGCTGTCTAGATATTTGCTTGCTGCAGCCGGTCTCGTGCAATGCAAAATCCATATTGGCACTACTGATCCGATGCAGAAAGGTCATTTCTCCGCGCTTGTCGATGTGATGACCAGACTTGGCAGTTATGCGCTATGCCATTATGACTCATTGCCTAGTTACGGGCTTCGCTCGCACTTTAGGAAAAAAACGGTTTGGGGATTTTTCTACACGTACAAATACTGCGTCCACAGCGAGTCCACCGTGGTAGAACTCAAAAATTTCTAGCTATTTTTGATGCAGTAGTTACAACAAAAACCAGCATTCCATTTACTTAATTCCTCGCGCCTGGAATTTTAAATCTGCAGTGTTTGTAGACATAAAAATTGAAACAATCCTCGCCTTGTCAGATTAGCCGTAGTTCTTTTTAAAAAAATTATATACAACATTTCAATGGAGGGGAACTACAACTTTAGTTGTTTTTGTGCGCTGATATTGTCAAATTCATTTGAGATCTTTGAAACGAAAGTTAATTTCTGCAGAAATTTCCCTTGATTCGAGTTGCCCAATGAAATAACCAGGATCCTCTGCTGCGAGGGCAATACTTCGAAAACTCGCACGTTGAATCAATGAATTATTATACGTTACGTAGAGTTCTGCTGCTTTTCGGTCAGTGTAGATCTCGTCCTCTTACTGACAGTTATGAGGACTCTTTCCGGAAAAATCCTAAGTACTAATTGGTCCTCTTTTTCAGATCACTTGTGATAAAACGGTTTTTTGTCCACCACTTTAACATCTGATTGCTTTGGCCACTGCGATAGATATCACTAATCATTGCCCTTTTTATTAAGCGAGTCATCCGTCTAGAGTCTTAGCGCAAACCGCTGTCACAGAGCTGCCCAGTAAATTGTGTACAAATGTGATTCCTAATCAATTTTTATAGATTTCAAAAGCATAGGTCACGGAGTTCGCTAAATGACGAAGCTTTGTCGTTATTGTACTACTCATTGTATTTCTTTAAAAGCGTTGGTAGCTGCTTTCCCTTAACAAAAGCGAGGCTGTAAAGGCAGAGTTGTGCGACGGTTGGATACAAAATAAGGTTACGCGATTCTCTTTCCCTGCTTGGTGCAAAACACCCGTTCTAGCTCTCACACACCGCATTAAGAGTTAGCCTCCAGTCGCACTCCGTGTGGAATGGGCAAAAAAGTTGAAGGCTGTTTTTTACTAACCACGGTACTGCGGCTCATGCAATAGTCACCTAGGGGGTGCCTTCTAACTTCAACCGCACATTTTTTCGTCGGTTTAAATTACAAATATATCCAACATTTTTACAAATCATTTTGAAACTGGAAGGGTCTCAAATGGTCAATTTAGGCGATGAACAATATCCACAAAACATAAGTGTCCAGTTGGAAATGCCCTTCCATTAATTTGAGTTCTGATTAAATGTGTAGTAAACCCGATACTCAGTTTGTGATTTTTGTTGGTTAAAAGTGGTCTGGAAGATCCCAAGTCTGACTTATCAGTGCAGTCTATTTTGGTATATAACATGGGATTAGCAGTTGAAAATACAACCTTGTATTTTACCTTATTAACTACAGGAGTTTCGAGGTCTAGTTCCCTAACGGACAACTGTGTTTCCCCTTCAAATATTGTATTAGAAACCTAGAGGCTTGTTTTCTTTATCTTAATTAGAATTTCTAACTGATCAAGAGAGAAGTTTATTGTCAACACGTTAGATCGACAACTTGCATTACGGTTTGGCTACTATCATCAGATTTAAAAAATATTATGGTCATTTTATTTTTACGTATGCCAGACTTCAACTTCTCCTTACTTTTAGCGTTCATATTTGATTAGTCAATCAAAACAACAATCGAAGAAGCCTTGATGTCCGTTGAATCAAATTGCTTGTGGACTTCTCTGGGGTTATAGTGTTGTGAATTTGTTATTCAGTGCTAAGTGTTTCCAGGTAGCATGGGAAGCTTTACTCGAATTTGCCTTGTGCTTATTTATGACTTGAAGCGTTCTACAGATTTGGCTTTCTTGCGTTTGTGGTCTTGTCTGTGCGATGCGGCTTCTCCACGTGCACAAGTACCGGTAGCGGCAGCATCAAGCGAAGGAAAAAGGGGAAAATTGTTAGTGGGCTGCTGACGGTGTGCACACGTGCCGGCAGACATCGTGCGGCAGTGTGTGCTAGTGGGGTGTGTGCGTGCACATGTGGCTGTCAGTCTTCCGCTTTGCCCACTTCCTTCGGTATTCAATTCGAGTTGCATTTGCGATTTTTCTGCTCTTCATGGCACCCATCTAGTTATTGACCTCTCGGCTTGCACATAAACTGGTCTTGATAATAAGTTACTTGAAGCATTGTCACTTATAGGTTCAGCTCTCTTAGTCCATTGTCGAAGTATTTATTTGGCTCACACAGTCGGCTATCGTAGGCTTGGAATCCACGAGAAACTGTAGTTTCTTGACTCTCCGTGTGTTTAAAAGTACCTTAAAGGGTAGTACGTTGCAAGCTTGTCCTTAAAGTGTAGAATGCTTCCACACCGCAATCATTCGTTTTTCGGTAGAGAATGAGTTGCTTGAAGTCTCTATCATGGGTAGATTTTTTGCTAATTTTCCAACCAAATTGGCGCTTATTAAATCACTAAAGTTATATGCTTAATTGTGGCTTTAATTTTAACATGCATTTCTGAAAGTGATTTGATTAACATAAATTAAGAACATAAATGCAGATACCGTGATTTAAATTTAACCTGAATCTTTCAATATTACTACTAATTAGGGAGCATTTCAATCGCTTAGTCACTAGAAGTTCATTTCAGCTTAAAAATTTAGCTGTTTAATGTTAGCACAGCGAGTTATTCAACACTTCGAGCTTTTGCTCGCCCTCCAGGTCGCCTATATGCGCCTGCAATTTACATTTCATCGCAAGCCCGAGATCTCAACTTGAAATCACAAAATTTTATAGGATCTCTACTGAAAATCAAATACTACTTGGAAATGTTTCATTTTTTATGTTCTCCTTTATTTCTAACCTTCGGTGGTGGAAGTTGACCATTCGAACCGGTTCGGTCTCTAATCCATTTGTTGGTATTCACCTACATCATATGAAGCTTGGATCAAATAGGCGGCTATGTACTGTCACAGTGCGGTTCAAAGTTATGTGCCATTTGTCTGCAAATAAGTTCCGTAGAAGTACAACTTTTTGTGCCACGGAGGCCGAATTCAAAGCAGGACCAGTGCTTCCGCAGAAGGTGGGAGACTAGTCGCCCGCCCCTCTCGCGTTCGCCGCATTTGCGATGACTTGAGATGCATGAGTGATATAGGTGCTAACGTTGCTGGATGCCTTTCCGGCCACTTTACACTCTGCTCAACAGTATTATTTACACATGAATAATATTGTGTCTTTTGTTTTCATTAGGATGATTTCCGTTTCATAACTAGCATTTAGCAGTAATTTCTTCACTCTCGTGTTTTCATTGACGAGCACTTTATTTAGTGTCCAGTTACTTGTCCTTGCAGTGTTTTCTGTCTTTTTCGACTTCGATGGTTTTGTGAGTTTTGCCTCTTCCGACAGCATCCTGATTTATGACTAGATGAATTGGGAATGATGCTACAGCGCATCCGCTTTCAGCACATTTTTGCTGGGTGATTACATTGAAGCCCTGCCTTATACTCTATGTGGGATCGTAATACTCCCTAGCTGATGTGATCGCCTAGTTGTTACCATTTTTGCATTGCGAATGGAGTCAAGGCGTCTGACATTACTTCAAGCTCGACAAAGATTCCAAAAATGAATCGAATAATACTTGCAGAAATTTGTTACATTGATGGGGAATTAAGTTGTTTTGAATTACTAATAGCAGTTGCACTTTTTGGGTTCCATAGGTAGTTTGAACATCGAAGTTTAGTTGATATATTGAGTACTTCTAACATGACTCTCGGAGAAACTCAATTGAAATTGTTTTCACTAAACACCACAATAAATAGATTTCCAGCAAAGCAGAATATGAAAAGGAAATCCTTCAATATTTCTCAGAACTCTGTGTATTCTCAAACACACATGGTTGTGAGAGTGACGATCACGAGTTTTCCTATATTATTTAGCCGCCATCACCGTAACCACGAAGCGGCTGGAGAGGACGCAGAATTTTGCTTCGGTGAACAAGGATCTCCACATCTTCCTATCCGAGGCGATCACCTATGTACACCAAAAATACGCCACCGTCAAGCCCTCGGTAGGCACTGTAACCCATCCTTACATCGAGCGATCCCGTAGCGCTTCGCACCTTTTTTAATGTGTCCGTTACTCTTAACAAGTTCCTATTGTACACCAATAGCATCCTTATTAGAAGTATAACAGAGAAGATTTCCCAATGCTGTTGGTTAGTGATTAATTTAAGGCCTGGTATTCTTAACAGGCGCCATGCTTTGACTGCTTTTAATTCAACTGATTTACTTCTTAGATTATACGTTTCCGTTCTGGCAGATTTGTTCGTAATATCACCTTTTATTTTATTTAACATTTAGTCACTACCACAATTGTAAGTTCGATTTACTTACTAGGTACAGTTTGTTTGACTTTAAATTACAAGTCAGCTAATCACGTGGTTGTCTCCCTTATGGTAAATCACTACTGTCATTACTTTTAGAATATGTACCGATATTGGAAACAACTTAGTAAAGCACTAATTTCAGACGAATTTATCAGAATTAGATTAGTAGCACATAACAGTCTGCCCTAAGAAGAGGAAATCAGTTGCTTTGGCATTTGATTAATTGATGGGAGCGATCCCGGTTTGAGTGAATTATGGCATAAACCCGAGTGGGCCGCTCTCCAACGGCTCGAAAAGACAAGTTTTGGGAACGATTTATTACGTGATGGAGATGGTAGTCCAGGTTTGATAATAACATAATTGGTATTTGACTTTACTGCACCATGATCCCAACTGTCGGCTGGCAACCGTCGACCAATTATCTCTGGCTGAGCCTAATCAGTTGTAGTGAACTGATTATGATTTGTCTTCGACATCCTGGTTCCTTCATCGTTGAACTGTTTATGCTGCTTAGGAACTGTTTAACAGTGTTTCGTGATTGATGGCTTTTTTGTGACAGGTTTGGAATCCGATTTGGGGGTCTTTCGCATAAGTAAAATATAAAACAGATTCACTGTCCAATTTCATCGCGGTATTTTACGGCATGAAACAGGCTCCATTTAGCAAATGGGCACTTTGATTGGAAGTTGATTTATTCCTTTGCTCACAATGGATGTATTTTTGAGTTGAAGTATCCCAAGAGAAAGCTCTCGTCAAGAGAGTGAATCTTGTGAATCGAGTCAGGTACTCAATAAAGTAAAACGAAAGAAGTTCAATCATACGCAAACTAGGAGACATTTCTAGTCTTTGCAAAACTACTCATTGCGTACTCAGAGTTTGCAGATGGGGGTCGGCCATATCAGGCACTGCTGACAAACACTGAATAGTATTAACACGATGCATGAGGCCTCAAGAAAGGAGAAAATTAGTGATCTCGGTGTACGTCCAATGTGTCTTTGCGTCGACTTCAAATGGTCGCAGTCTCTGGCGCCTCTCAAGTGTCGACCAAGTACTTACATGAAGAAAAATAGGACTCGTTGAACCTCTGTTGGAACCTTAATTGAAGATGACTGACACATCGCGCCGAGTTATTTTTCTCGCTTTTTTCGGAGGAAGTGCGAGTTTTTTTGCATGCCTGTAAGCGCACATATATCTATGCGCGTTCATAAATGTGAATCATCCTCCATTCCATCTTCCTCCCTCTCACCTTGTGATTCAGCACTTGAAACACAAGAGCACGAAACTCAACACGAAGCCAGGCCAGAAAATGCTAACTCAAGTCTTTTACGTACATACTCGTTTTTATGGTAAGAGGCTTGCTTCACAATGTTGGATTTTGCCATTTTTTGCAATCTCACATTTGGAGTATTTGAGGTGCGTGATGGAGTTCGTTATATCGGCAGCAAATTGTCTGTTCTTCTTCTTGCTATCTGCTCTACTCTGGTGGAAAGCAGGAGTGCTGCTTCGCGCTTTGTGTCTCAGATTTGAAGTGCCCATCTCCATCCTTGTAGAGGTTAAAATAAACCATTGAGGATTTTTAGAGATCAAAGTCACTCGAACTTAACCATCGTTCATGTTCATGTCAGGTTTTATTGACACAATTAGTCGACTGTTTTTTTTCGGTGATTTAATATGTGCACGAATGTGGGTGGATAGAAATCGAAACTAATATGAAGGCATTTATCACTTTCTATCACAAACCCCGTGCAGTAATTACTTTTTTACTATATTTTCAAAAGTAGCATAATTTTTACTGCTATCATTGCAGCTCATCCAGGAGTGCAAATACGCCACTGGCAGTGGCGTTGGGGGTGGCGTGGCAGTGCAAGTTGCCAGTGGCTGGCCCTACAGCCATCGCACTCGTCGATCCTCAAACAGCTCTTCCGACCCTATTGAATTGTTGCGCACGAAGCGACAGAGCCTGTATCCAGGCGCGGCCCGGCAGCCGGAGTCGTCGACGTGGGGATCACCACCCGGTTCCCTGCCAAACTCACAGCAGCCATCGGCATCACAGCCACACGTCTCCTACCAGTCATACTTCTCACAAAACAGGCAAAGCGGGGATGGCAGTGGTGGCTCTTCTTCCCAGCATTCCGCCAATGCGCCAGAAAAACTCAGCAAATGGGCCACCCAGCTTAAATTACACGTGAGTTCCGCCATTCCTCGTTGAATGCGCATCAAACACCTTTCTATTTAGGCTTGTTTCAGACTCAATTTTTACACAAGTTATGTGTCTTTAGTGTCAGTCTTAATGACTAGTGGTTTAATCGTGCTATCTGTTCTACGAACTTAGTGTCAGCATTCGACTCCCGAATTTGTTATTTACTGTTGGAGTGGTAATCTAGAAAGAGCTGAAGTTTTGGCTTTCTCTTGTCTATAGGCTAATATAATTCGATATTCACTCTAATAAATAATTTCTCAAATCGTTACTTGAAGGCTGTCAGGTGGAAGGTACATCATGTTAAGGTTTTCTACAGCCATCCTGTTAATTACCCCATTCAAACCCCATGTACTAAGCCATGTTACGTTGCCTCTTTATTATAGGGAAACTTCGAAAGGTAAAACGTTTAAATTATGGTTTGTTGTGATGGCTTTTTTGTTTCACAGTTTTGAAGCTGGGTTCCTCCAACTTGTTACTTTTAACGCTCTTCTTCCTTTCATGATTGCAGTACTCTGGAGTGCAAGATTTGTTCGCTCGAACGCCATCATCGGTGTGCGCTGGTGCTACTCAACAAAACAGTGCCTGTTGGAACCCTCCACCCGTTCCACCGTAAGCTCTTAAAGTTTCTTTTCCAATTCACAATTTAATTGAGCTACCTTTTGCTTGAAATTTCGGTAGCTCCTACTTATGCATGCAATTGATGTTCTTTCCATTTGACTTACTCTTAGTGGCTACTCACAAGTGACGCTTATAAATTTTCAATTTTTCAACTTATTTGGTGTTACGTGAGTTTGTAGAAATGCTTATCCACTTATTTGTTGTTCGTTTTGAGACTGGTGCATAGCTGCGTTACCAAAAAAGTACATAATATATCTCTAATTTATTCTTCCTTTCTCCTTTATGCTGCTTCCCTTTTAGAAGAAAAGTTACTCACTTTTTTGTCATATAGGATTATAGCAAGTATTAACGGGGCATGAGTTACTTTGGAAATGGCCTTACTTTAAGAACAGTTTATTTACTGCGGTCGTCTTCGTCCCGGGTGGTGCTTCTTACGGCTAAGCGTATTAAACTATTGAGTTAAAAAGTGGCAGGTTGCGCTAGCATATCTACTCTTACAATCTAGAAATAGTTAGTGGTGAATTTGTTTGATTTCTAGAAACGTCAAATTTCTTTCTTTTACTTTTTTTTACTTTTATGATCCCATGTGTTCCTATGTGTATCATCAATTAAAAACGTCCTTTATAGGATTGGTCAAACAAAACGTTTCAGCGCTGCAGTCACGGATTTGACTTCGATGGCCGAGCGTTTGGACTTTAACTCTCAGAATAAGGGTGATCCAGAGGCTCTAGAGTTGGGAGCTCGAATGCTAGCCATGGCGAAGATGCGCAACACTTCGGCTCCTTATCATGGAACACCGAGCCTACTGCAGCCTCTTAACCCTGTAGGCCCCATCTATGGCCAGCCACAAATGCTCCCTCACGATCCCTGGCGAACTGGCGCCGTGAACAACTTTATGTCCACTCAACCAATTCAGCCCCCACTGCCGTTGTCCTCCAACGGTGGTAACCAATATTCATCTGGTGCATCCTATCAAATGCAACCTGTTGGAGCACCTGTGAGTCACTTCCTCTACATCCCCACGCGTTCTCATTTGGTTGTTTTGAATGATTGAGCTATTTTAGGTATTTAGTGGATATTGTATTTGAGGCGTACATACGACGCCAGGTCCCAAGACTACCATATAGCGCTGCAGGGTAGCACTGACCGTGTGTGTTCTCAATTTTAAGTTTTCAAGCCCCATGGAGATGAATGCTCCAGAGAGCGGTTACGATCCTGCAGGCGGTGTACCGGCACCACCACCACTACCGAGGCAACCTGCTTATCCGCCACAGCCGGAGCGGCCACCACAACCGGACTTCTCTTCGCCTCATGCACCGCTACCGGCTCCAGGCGGAGTTGCTCAGTCTCAGCATCCTCTTCCTTCCAACCAACCCTGGAGAGGTCCTGCAGACACTGAGGCCAGTGGACTCGGTGGTGACGGCGAAGGTGGCTCGTGGAATCAAGGTGAACTCTGGCAGCAGCCGATGCCGCCATCCTCTAATCCCTGGGAACCGCAACGACCACCACCACTCCCACCACAGTCACAACCTCAACCACCACGTACTCCCGATGGCATCGAGAGCAATTACCAGTGGCCACCCAACTACTATCCCGATCAGCAGGGCAGTGGTGACGGTGGTTTACCCAGTCTCGAGGCCTACCCTCAGCCACCTCCACCTGTAGAGATAATCTCGACAACGACGGCTTTACCGCCACCGCCAACAACAATAATGATATCAAAAACTATGAACTCCACCACTACTACTACCACTACTACCACAACTCCCATTTCTATCTCACCGGCATTACTTTCGACATTACCACCGATACCAATCGTCAGTGAGAGTACTGTGAGACCGGTGAAGGTGGAGAATGTCAATGCCAGTCTGCCATTGCCGCCACCTGCATCGATTGGTGGTTTTGATGATGAGGACTTTGGACAGCTGACCGCACCACCGCAGCCTCCGTCCGCATCGACCCAACAACCATGGGGTCCACCCCAACCTGCTCCGCCATTTGAATTCGAAGTAATACTCCTGTTAAATTGTCCTTACTCCGGAGGAGCTTTATTCCTCGTATTGATGACGTGTAGCACGGCCACAGTAATCTGTGGTTTTTTTTTAACGTGGTTTTGAGCTCATTCTTGATTAACAACGAATGATATGCGTTGTTATATTTGAGCTTTTGTGAGCGTCTATGCGATTATAAATCAATATCACTGCATTTACTGCATTACGAGAAATTGACATGTTAGTGGATAATGTAGTCTTCCTGCCTTTTTCGCTTTACTTGGGATGCTATTTCAGTACTAGTAAAATGTAGGATTCACGGTATGGCTTTTATGAGGGCAGAATTCGTAGCATCGTATCCTCAAACATTCGGAAAATTGGAAAAGAAAATATCGCCAAAGTAGATATGCGAATCAATGTGTGAGGTGCTTTGTAGCAAAAATACTGACCGTGTTGGAACTGTTTTAATTCTTAATAGTTTGCGTATGACTAGGTGAAAAAGCTGCACTCCAATTGGAGTGATGCACTTGCTCAAGGCGTCTGTGAGCAGACTCATTCTCACGAGCTCAATTCATAGGCTCCCAAGTGACTTCCATCAAATGCTGTCAGCCATGAGAGTGAATTTTGTCTTCGGAGTTCACTAATATTTGCTGTGTGTCATCTCACCTCATTACTGTCTTCGCTTTCAATCAAACTTGTTTAGCCGGTACCACTAATAACAAACGGGGAAATGAATTAATATTCTCTTAAAACAAAAGAAATTATAACATTGTTCAAGGAGGACACGTCTTCAAAACCGTTCTTGTTATTGATGGCAAGAAAAAACCACTTCATGCGATGCTTTGCTTTGAAAGATACGCTGAGCCCCGAGATGCGAGGGGGTTGGAATCAAGGAGGGTGAAAGGAGCTCTTGTTGTTAATTTCTAGGCGAGCGGATACTATCCCGAAGCCGAGGGAGTGGGAAGAGAAGAGGGAGGAGTACCGCAACCACCACCACCAGTATCTCCAGACTGTTCTCCAGAGGCGATAGCAAACGCCGGCAGTGGCGCGGACCCACGTTGTCTGACGGGCGGCGAGTCGGACCGGTCGGTGGCCTACCCACACCCCGGTGCATCCCCGCCTCACTGGCAGCCGCCAGAGCATCCCGACCTCGAAGAGGGTCGTGCGGGCAGTGGTCTCCCTCCTGACGGCCTAGAACCTCCCCCTCCACTGCCACCACATCCTTACCCCAGCTACGTCGAGACATCTCCCGGCGAGCGACCCGAGTATGGTGGATGTAAGCAAGCTCCCCTTATCAATATCCAATCTGCTCTTGTGTAACTTCAAGCTTTAAGTTATTGAAATGGAGAATGTTCTTCTGTAACTGGTATACAGTGCCCGACTTCGGGGGACTCGTCCCGCTGGCGAAGACGCCGCTTCCGCCGACCGGCCTAGACCGACCTTACCTTCCGCCGCCCACGACACAGAGGCAACCACCACTGTCAACCACCGCCGTTCCGCCCCGAGAGCTGCCCCCAGACATTTGGCTGCCTGTGCCTGAGCTTCAGCCCGGAGATCCAAAGCTGCCCAACTCCAAGCTCTTCCTTCCCGACTTCCCGCCTCACCGGGGTCGCCCGATGCTGAGCGTCAACAAAGGGAATACGGCGATGACCTCCCACAACCACCTTGTCGTGATCGCGCCTCTCTTGATCACTGCAAATCTTCTGATCTAGATCAGCCGACTTCCCACTCCGATTGTGTACATAGTACCACCATCACTGATTCTGACGTTCCCCGCCTCCTAAGTGCCATACTGCCGACATCACTAATCTGATTCAACCGTCTTCCACTCCGCCCCACCCCACCCCCCTTTCCCTCTACACGTAAGAGCAGTAGCTTACGGTGGCTAGGCATGTTCCTACCCCGCCTTTTCCCAACTCAGTGCGCGTATCTAAATGCAATGTTTACTAGTACTACTACTAATACCACCACCGTCATCGACAACGCGATGCCCTTGTTTCGTGTTGCAGAACACAGGCATACACCCACACCCACATGACAAGGACACATAGGTGCGTGCGGATGAGGACAATTCTGGTCTTACTGCAATACATGTTTTTGCTGCATGTTGTTTCCTCCCTCACCAGCCTCTTGTGTCTGAAGGCGACATTGCACACCACAACATCCATTGCATGAGTGGTGCAAATCGGCATATATCAGTGGAAGTGGTGGACTCTCAATCAAACCGTTAAGCTTTAGTTGAGTGACTGACTTCTGCATCGGTGCGACGATAAAAACAGTGGCTCGGCTGGGTAGTACATAGTTTCCAATGCTTTCGTCAACAAAAGGTTGAGTGCAACCATACTTTTGATAGCTAAAGCGCTTTGGAAGGCAGATGGGGTATAGCCCAACGTCACGCAATCCTGACTACAATACCAACTGCGCCCAAAACAATGCCTGAAATGTGCGTAATTGTAGAGCATGGCGCCTTCTGAGAAAAAAGTATCAGTAGAGAATCTAAGATCGGCAGCGATACAAACAGACACCACAGCCACTAAACGAGAGAGACGAGTCCACTTTGTCATTTGAAGCAAGTGAGTGGATTCTCGGTGGCCTCTTCAGCGCGTGGATTCACGGGGCACCACTGTTTCGTAATTTCGTCAAAGATAAATTCCAAGTTTCCTCCAGCGAATATGTCAATTTTTTCTTTCCTAAGAGTAGTGAGTAGGAGGCTAGTGCGCTTCAGCATTTCATAGAAATGATCAGTTTCCTGTTTAGGGGTTGTGGAAAAGTTTTGTAATTGTTCATGTGAACAATGTTCCACACACTTTAACGCCTCCATTGTGTCCTCTTCGATCACGAAGGGTCTTAGAATAAGACAATGTGAGATGGGATCTAAGATGTTATGCATACGGCTTCTGGCAGAGGTGGAATATACATAGGAAGAACGAAGAACACTCAAGGGGCCTCTTGCTTCAGGCTGAATGGATGCCGGGAAGAGAGCACCAACATGCGTGTCAAAGACGACGGCACGAATGGCCGGCACATGCAGTTGATCACCGGATTTCATGGTGATGCAGTCGTTTAGTAGGTAAGAGCACAATGTTCGGAGCTTAAACATTCGCTTGGAGACTAGCAGCTCTGTAAGTATTTGCAAGGACAGATTCTTGGAAAACCCCTTGTTATCCAAAAAACCACCGATAACATGGACATCAAGAGTTTCATTCGAACTTGAAATGGAGTCGAAAAATTCAGTCACTGTGCCAAAAAATTCTTCAGTTAATCTCCCTCTGCCACCTCCATCAAGGTGTCCCAATGCATAGCCAGTAGGAGAAGTGATGAGAACGGCATGGCAGGAAGTCATCTCCGAAGTCCCCACATAACGAGGTAAAGAGGGATCTATCCGACCGCCGGTGTCAGTTGGGGTAGCGTCCGTCCCATATCGGACTGTGACCATCTCGCCTTGATGAACGTAGAGAATACCATCACCTGACTTAATTGTAACTATTCCAGCGCCCCTAAGACACTCCGTAGAGGGGAACTTCGCATACGCATCAAAAAGGTCCATGAACCCGAACTTCCAGAAGTCACGTAGAGCGTGGGAGTCACTCCGGACCAAATTAAACGAAGAATCCCCAACCAAGAGAACCATTGACTTTTAAAAAATGACCGCTTGTATTGACCTAAAACACACCGCACCTTATCAGCAATGGATGCAAAAGAAAAGCTAGAAAGTAAAATCAGAGCTCAACATTACAAAAAATTTATTTTTAATCACTTGGCCTGTGCAAAGCGCCTGCATCTCTTTGTACACTATTTACAAATATGTGCATATGTACAAAACTACTATAGCACAAACGCATCAATCTGATCCATTCAGAAGGTGCGAAGGGCAATCAAAATGCAAGCCGTTGCTAGGGCCCACTGCAGGTTCTTTGAGTGGTGCCAGATAAGAACGCCATTCGTTGAGCAAATTGTACAGATCTATTCGCTTGAAACGCAATGCTTCCGCCATTACAAACGACACTGAATCGTACTTCTGCTGCAAACTTCCAGTAAATCTCGTGAGGATGTCAAATACTTGACCCCCGTCTAAAAGGTTTAAAATACACACCCTAAAGTGAGTTACCTATCTTTGGACTGCGCACTATCTCAATTAGCTCGTTAACGAGAGTTTTGTTGATATTGAATGTCAATTCATCTTCAGAGGAATGTTTTCCAGCGTGTCCATTTCCTTCCATGTCACATGTTAGTGAAGAGCCATTGTTTGACGACGTCGTATGATTCACTTCACCGTTGAAAATGGGGGCTAAATGTAGTGAAAATTTCAGAGAGCAACCTACAAAGACGTGAAATAAGGTCATCACGTTGAGGAGGCGAGGAGCAGCCCTTTGACAATCGCAAGGTGGAAAACTTAACGTGTGGAGGAATGGGGCCTAAATCCAAGAATATAGCGAAAGGTAAGACGCCCACCTCTCGCTTTTTCACTAGATTTAATGGACGAACGTTTTCGCATTGTGAGAGATGATGAACTAGATGGTGAAGGCCCAGAAAATCCTACATCATCGACGGACACCTCGTCAACTACAAACCCAGCATTAGATTTGCGGCGAAAGGGATTGCCAAAGGTGTCCACACGTTCAGGACTTGGCATTAATTCACGTAATGGAGCAACCTGCGGTTGGGCATATCTGTAATTTACGTAATCTCCCATTTCGCTGAGAGCTTGATTATGGATACCCTCACTGTCCATCGGGCGACCCACCCCGTCAAGTATAGAATCCAGATTGCCCCTGAGCTTGGGCAACACTTTTCTCAGCTCCCGTCGTGAAACATTGCATGGATTTTCGTACAGCAGCCTCCCAGAAGGCTTAACTACAGTGCCGAACGCTCTCAATTCCGAGAATGTACCCAGCGAAATCGGAAGCGAAATCCTGGGCACCTACAAAATTTGTCATTTTAATTGACGTTATTCGTTAAATAAGAGTAACTCATTACAAAAAGAGGTGGCGTACCCTGACAAGTGGAATAGATTCAGCTGCTGATACCTCACGTATGAGTCCTTCATACTCGACTTGTGCAGAATGCTGGTATCTCTGTAAGCCATTTTTAAATTGAAATGAAAACGTCCGACTTAAGACCTCAGGCTTAATGACCCCCTGAAAGCCCAGTCGCTCAAACGCCTTGGATATGGGCTACAAGAGATAAGTAGCAAATTCGCACAGCATACCACGTAGTAATACCGGGGTATACTTGTAAGATAGTTCGTTAACTTGGAGATCCATGCTTCCGTCATGCGTAAACCATTGACATCATACAATTCACCTATATTGGAGTAATTAAAGCCCAATAAAACATTACACAAAAGCTCCGATAACTCGCGGTAGTTGTAAGGAAGAACATGTAAGTGTACTGTCTGAAAGTCTGGCGAGAGCTTGCAGTACCCAAATGGAGCATCGTTATGCTGACCACTTTTTGGCACAATACATGGCCAAATCACAGTAGTATCACGACAATCGATAACTTTTCGAGTAAACCTTGAGGACTCCAATTCGTACCTATCAACAGGAAAGCAGTCCAAAAATTTGGGAGGAGCTTCCCTCGATATATACGCGTGAATAACAGGATTTGGTGGGCGAGGCTATTTCAAGTTATGAAAAAAACGAAGCATACCAATTTTGCCGTCAAAAGCTCCTCGGTAGGAAAGAAACTCTCTGGGATGGGCCAAAAAGAGGGGAGCTTGACATTTTCTCTCAATAAAATAAGCTGTTTGATCGCAACTGGTTCTTTTGGTACTAGAAGATCAGCCAATCAAATAGAATTACCGGATATGTCGATGAGATCGACCACAACACCTTGACGACACTTGGAGTTGACGGCCTCAACGTACTGAGGAATCGATCGAAGATCTGACAGAACGAACACTTCCCCACCGGTTTGAGTGCAAGCCAAAAAAGCAGACGAAGAGGGACCTAACGGATGGGGCCGAGGCGTGTCACATAAAGTTTCAACCAAGCCGGAATTATGCAAAAGAATCCCATGAAGCCAATAGTCCCATCTGTGGAGACCGGCAGTTAAATCGCCACCGGGAACTTTTGAAGCAATCTAAAATGTCAATTCCTTTACCATCACTCACCCCACTGTCAACCTCGAATGAGGCATAATAATGGGTCACAACGATAACGACAGCAGGCTCGATAGAGGATATGTACAGACCCTAAACCGTCAAACACTTATCCTTCACCTACCAAACCGTACGTTTCAAACCCGGTCTGCATGCGATTGAGGTTGAGTAACTTGAACGCATATGCGATACCCTTACCGAGACTCAGTGTGCCATTGGGGTTAATTCTGCTAAGAGCAGCATGAAAAGTTGTTAAATCACAACTTTGCCTCCATCCCGCCAACTGAAAGTAACGCAAATAAAACCACAAGAGCAAAACAAACCCAGAAGTTCTGCGGATACTCGTTGAGCGTAAACAAGAAGTAGCGATCCGTACGGCACTTATTCAAACGCGCCTATTAAAATCAGCCAATCAGAGCGAAATTACTTTAAATAGGGTTTCAACAACTGTTTTCGCCGAATCTAACAAGGTCGTACCCTGATAGGTCCTTTGGTTCATTGAAGCACTATTATCGACAACAAAACAAACTATCGTCATGGCAACTGCGCGAAAGGCCAACACTAACCCCACCAATCAACATTTAAGTGAAGCAAGAGAGGCGAACACAGCCCTGCTGTGCGAGCGTTCGCCGAATTTATATAGGCTGTGTGAGCTAGCTTGCACCCTTCCGATTGGTTATAAGAACTTGAGAGGCTCTAAAAGGTGCACGAAAAATATTTTTAAATATATTTAATGACTTTCTGGAATTTTAGAGAATTGCAGAACTTATCACGAGAATCCTAATATTTGTTTTAGATTACTGGATCTTTTCTCCCTTTCCTTTACAAATCAACGTCTCTTTATATTAAAATATATTTTACCTTTATAAGCCTCTCATTTACAAACCGATGTCAGTTTTACCGTGTGATCAGGGTTGTTTTATGCCAATTTTCACAGAACCCCTTTTCGCCTAGTTGAATATTTCGAATCCACCCTTAGTTCTTTAATCTGTTTTATATTTGTTTCCTTTAAATGTTTAGATGTTCTTTTCGCCGCTTAAATGAGGCCTAACGAATCTCTTCCTTTTCACTATCTCATTCATGCTGTTTCAGTTCTTTTTATTACGATAAGTAGGTTGAACTTTACTATTCTCACCACCTTGTTTTCCTATTTTGTGCTTAGTTTAGTACTGAAGCTCTCATCGACCCTCAACATGTTCCGTTTGTTGACAATTTTCTCCATGAGCAGGACAGAGGGTGGCTGAAATGTTTAGCTTGAGGTTCCTTAAGGCCTAACCGATAACTTCCATGATATGCATTCCTACCTCGATACTTACTTTACTTGCCTTGAAAAATGCAGTTGTGGGTTTTTATGTCTGAGACGTTGGGGAAAGTAAGATCTATTCGACAGTTCGACAAGGTATGTTGCTGGGTTTCCATTTTTAAAATAGCAATAGTGGCGGTGGTGATCCGTGGATTTTAAGGGGGATTTAATTTGTTTGTGATAATTGGGTTCATTGTTACCCATAACGGCAAGTCGTGATTCTGCGGCGAAGGTATGGACTTGCGTGAATGCACCGTCGCATCTCTAAGTTTAGGTCCGGCAATTTCAAGTTATGCAAAGTAATGAGGTCATTTCATGCCTACATATCTATTGATCATAAACGCAGGATGTGGAACTTTGGTGTTTTTCATCAAACAAATTTTTGGCCACACATGGAAATCGGCAATGCACTTCCCGTAATGCGGTACCGAATGCGAGTGATGCTTTTTCAAAGTTTGCTTCGATTAGTGTTGAGTGTTGATTTTCCTTTCGATTCGCGGTCTCGGCTATGCTAAAAAGCCTTGTATTAATGTGAAACCATGACACTATCCGCCTGAATTACTTTGCTACAAGCCAAAGTCACGAAAGAATTATCCAGGCGAGATGCTGTTGAGTGCGTCACCTTGCTACCGATGATAACTGAGGTTATCACATTCAGAATGCGCCTTTTTTTATTTCCCGGTATCCAACCACGAACTGAGTTATAGAATTGGCTTTAGAGAGCAAAGCGTGCTCTTACCAATGGGGCACACTTTGCGTTTCTATCTAGAGGTGTGAAATACGCGAACTCCTATTTTTTCGGGCGATTAGTGGTTTGGATAGTAAGATGAAGACGGTATTGGTTCGTTTACAATTTCAAAATTACAGAAGTAATCGATTGTCAGGCAGTGATGTACCGACTAGCATTTGTTTCGTTCTCTTAAGCATAAAAGCTCATTTAAATTTATTTTTAACCTCAGACTAGGGATCGTAGACCCAATCATTTAGTGCACAGATTCCCAAGTTGAAACTTTTTTTTGTGCGGGTTTTTAGTAATGGATTATTTTAATCATTTTCAGGCTTCGTAATTTCAAGGTTTCATTGATGATACAGCTTTAATGAATGTGTCTCGAATTTCTAGGCGCACTAGTTATCAAGTGCTGACAAATATGGAATTATGGAAAACGATTTATAGGTTGGATATTAACTGCAGGGATTGACCGTGAATACTGAGTCTTTTCCTGTAGCCTACATCCTGCTTTTATCAAGCATGGTGAGATGTGTCATTGTAATGGGAGAAAAAAATGAGGGAAACTTAAGCAAGTGGAGGTATCCGGCCTTGATCGTAAACGCGTGATGAACGACTATTTTGGGGCATAAACTAAGCTTTTTGACACCAGATTATTACGTGGCATATTTGAAAATGCCAGTGAATGGGCTATGAAAGTTATCAGAATGGACTTGGTGGTAACAACTCTCCCTACTTATTTAGTAAAGGATTCGCTTCGATAGCGTGGGAGTCAGAAGTAATAACGCTCAGTCTCGCAGACCAATGCTATGAGATGATGGAAGCATTTTGGTTTTAAAAGATTCGTACTTTTCAGCACATTAGTGATGATCGGGTATACTTTCAGTCAACAACTTTGCAGTGCTCCTTATGTGGTAGAATTTGGGCCCAAGTTAACCAATCACTTTTAGAAATGCTAGACTTTCGCTTCCTCACCGCATACAACTGCGAATGATTCTGTTGGAATATTAGTTTTTTGTGTTTTTGAACTCGTTTTTTTTGCTTTTCAACATTTATTTATGTTCTGCAGCTCTTCAATCCAGTCGGCGGAAAATGTAGCATAATTGCAATCACTGACTCCATTGTAGCTCGTAATGTGGAGGGTATTACGTGTTTACCTGTTTGACGTTTGGTAGGCATAGTTGAGCTTTCTTTAGTCTACCGAGGTCACCATTTCAATTCTCTGTTTTTCTATCACAGATCATGTTAATCCATTCTTGTGCAATCGGCTCGCATCGTTTTATCTGCGAAATGTTGATGAAATGGCTAGGATGCTTTAATGAAACAGAGGCTTTCAACTATTTGTCCACTTTGGTGTCTTTGGGGCCATTCTCAACCACTAATATCAACAAAATCTGCCTAATTGATTAAAATTATAGCTGTGCTCCTGAGAATGCGGAATTTGATACTGTAGAAAAAGTAGAGGAATAGCCAGTGTTTAGCATACCTAATGCAGATACTAAAACGGGTAAGATTATGTTAGATGAATTGTTATCCTGAGGAGTGTCTGTTTTCCTTCTTGTCCCCTCATTCGCACTTCCCATGAACCCGGGTTGCGTGAGAATCTGCACAGAGTAAGTACGCGCGTCGGTGGCGCTAAATGTGGATGCAAAGCACAGCTTTGGAGGAGGTTACTCTGTCGTTCAAACGATTGCGCTGCCAATAATTGCCTTCGTCATGGTAAAATATTCTTATTCCCATTTCTGCTTGAGACTACGGTTAGTGTAATTGAATCAGGTGGTAATTATTAGGACTAGCTAAATACATCGAGAACGATTTGTGGCATTGGAATCATCCTCGAGCGCCCGACATAGCTTACCCTTTATGTGCAAATAATTTTTTATGATGCTTTTAGCTACTCGCTTGTTTGCTGCTTTTTGCGTGCTGAAAAATCCCTATAAATTGTGCAAAGTCGGTTATTGTGATTTTAAAAATACCACAACACTCACCTCTTGGACTATGAATATTACCTTTGAGGCCCATGAAAATTATCCAGTATGGTTCGACTGCAGTTATTGTGCCACTGGTTCCAACTTAATGTACTCAAAGGATATAATGGGGTCCTTACCCTTAATTTAAGAACTTGGATTTTATGTAAACAACTTTCAGGTCTGTTTCCATGGTAGAAATAGTTGGAGAGGGTGGGGATTGGTAAGGTGAATAGCGTTTCATGCCATCACCTTGGTCACTGATTGTATTGGCACCATCGACTAGGCAAACGGTGAAGCGGAGCTGTAGTTTAGGGTGGGGCCCCCTTCATAGGAATTTCGTTTCCAATGGCCACCTATGTAAGGGTAAATAGGGCATCGGTGACCTTGAAAATGCGACTCTGAAAAATACTGTGTGTAACTGCGTCTAACTGCGACCTTCAGGCTTTGGGTGGCGAATGGTTTAAAGCGAAATGCATTTGGATTGCTTTCGCGGCATACATCAGTATCTCCTTCGTTCAATAGAAACAAACGTGAGTGTGCATTTGCTCTCGGGTGCAAGACATTCTCATGCATCGCTTGTTTTTGATGTGTATGGGGCGAAATACACCACGAATGCTACTTTTTAGACTTCGGGATTAAAATTCATTACTGAGACTTAGTGTTAGGTACTGTTTATTGCCTAAACCAAACAAAAGTAATTATACATGCTTATGGTGAACTCCGGAATGGTTAGAAGTTTAGAAGTGTTTAGCGAGCAAAGTCAAGTGACCGTCTGATAATGAGTCGAAGCATGGGGTTTTCCAGCATTCACATTATGGCTTCTAAGAGCGCGCTTAAGTATTGTATCTGCAAGAATCCTGTGTAATATACCATCTCACAATATCCCTAAGACGGATTCCGGTGAAATTCACCAACTTCTTCCAATTAAATAGCTTAATTGGCACCTCAGCAGTGAGATCTACTTCAGACATTACATACAAATTTGATACAAATGCGCGTACATAATACTTCCTACCTTGTTCACATGGAAATTAGCATCGAATTAGGGTTAAACGCCACAGCTATGATCTACAATCCTCTCAAATGTGCATCCAACAAACAGTTGGACTTAAAAGGTCGCCGACGCAGGCTTGCTGATCAGACCCACATTTAGAGCGAGGGTGGTTAGTCATGGTTTGACCTCGGATGAAATCACGACATCAACCACTTCCAGAATACTTCATCAGAATTCATTCTATGCATATTTGGCACACTTGCACCCAATTAACAGAGAATATTATAATTTATGGGAAAGTGTTCCCATTGCATGCAGGCCGTCGTTTTCACCACTTAGGTGGCTTGTGCTTTTTGATGGCCCAAATTCATCAGATTTGCATTCCAGCAGTAAAGGACCAAAGTATGAGTAGGGTTGATCGACGTAGTGTTCCGCCATCTCGGAGGGCAAGGATGAGGCCGAGCAGGCGTCGCACGCGAAATGACTCATCGGTGCGCGTGCACGGGCTTGCGTACGACCATGCCAGCACCAGGATGTCGCGGCCACGCCAGCCGTGTGACTCAGCCCGAATGTGCATCGACGGCGGAACTGTGCTCTCGGCTGACAAAAATTTGAAGTAGGGCAAGTGTTTTGTCCACCATCCCACATCTCCCCACCTAACGCCACCGCCATAATGACATGGTGATTAAAACTGTTACACACTCCATGTGGAGCAATGCGATTACAATCACATGTGAGCATCCCTCTCCGCTAGCCCTGTGGCCATGCAGTAGATACAAGGGCTCAGATCCTCAAAACTGTGTATACAACAGGGATTTTATGTTCTGATTTCGTTTCCTGAAAGGGCAATTTTATTCCCCTTGTTACAATACATCGGACACTGGGCACTTCGGGATGTACACTGTTAAGGCTGACGCCAAATTTCTTTATTATCATACAAACTTCGCACGCAAAATATTACCAATAAAAAATAGACAGACGAAAGTATAACTTTTACTCAAAGATTGAATTTGCGATCCCCTCTTAAATCGGCTTAAAAGCCTATTAAAAGCTATGGCGTTCTTACTGTCTTAGATAGAAGAACAAGTATATTGTAGACCAGCTTTCATTGCAAGCCAAACCGGCACGCAGGCAATGTGGCTTGTCCCATTGGCTGTGCAAAAGAAAGATGGGCAATCAGCCAGCTGCAACCATCAGTCTTCCTACCGTTCAAGCTTTGCCACACATTTGGGTCTACCTTTGGGGAATTTTTAATTTCAACACCAACAAACAATTGACTGCACGGCAAGCTTCAAATAGTATCTAGGCCATTTGCCCCACTGCATCGAATGAATGGCCAATAGCATTTGGCTAAGAAAATTTGCCTGTATCACAAGAACTAAGTCCTTACCGCACAACTCTTTAATGCACGCTGGTAACTGTGACTCTAACGGTTACAGCTTTTAACAGGTCAGTCTGTGTGGATTGGCATCTTTACTGGGTTGTTAATGCGCCGATGCATTGCGAAGGTCATTCATACATCATCGATCACATTGAGGGATGCACATTGTGATAAAAAAATGCCAGAATTAATTTGTTGATCCAATTGGACAGTAGATGGTAATTTCCATGAGTTGTAATTGCTTTGAGTCAATTGAGACTGGAGTGAGAAGATAATGAAACAGGGTAAGAAAGCAGAAGTAGAAATGGCCTTGATTACGAATGCCCGATTTTGGACGGCTGCAAATTCGTAGAGATGGCCATGGCTGCGTTTCGTATGCAAGATCATTTTGCAGAAGGAAATATGACGACTACACCGGTGGGCGGACACAAGTTTGCTGCATTCCACCTTATGATCAATTTGCGTCGCACGAATAAGGTGAACTGGTGTCCAGTTTATCGCAAAGTGAGGAAAATGTCAACTGATTTATCAAGAAGTGCCGGCGCATTTCCTTCATCAATTTGCTTAAGTCACCTGTGGCAGGGGTTTCCCCATCGAAATCACGTGAGTCTCATAGGTAATGTACCAAGTGGCATGAATTGGATGTCCGAAACTACCACTATACTAAAATTTAAATGGGAAAGTTTTGATACCATCCCACAGGTGTGTTTTAGGCTTTCAAGTAATAACGGTTTCGACAATAACCGGAAATGTACCATTGAAAATGAAATATATGACAAGTTTTTTTTTTTCACTTCATGGTGAAATATTGAAGCATTCAAGTGATTGAATGCATAAAGCGGATTAGAAACCAGAGGATAAACTACATAACATCGTATTCCGTTAGTGCACATCACGTGTATATCCAGCTGATGCTTGGGGTTTGAGGGTACCAGATGCTATTACGATGAGTTTTAAAATAACAGCCTAGAACTGCTAGTTAGATCTGTTACTTGTCCCTACTACAAGACAGTTATTGGGTATAATTACCACAAAATGGAGTATGGTTGCTACATGCAAATTAGGAAGCCCATTTGACAGAAATCCCGCAAATATGAAACCCACGAGTACAATGACCTAAGTTAAATACGCCTGTGGAAATTTGGAATCCGACAGACCGGGCGAAAAAAGGGAATCAGTGGGGTGGCTGAGTGTAAGGCGCCCGAGATGCGATGCATGCAAGAGATAAATTCACCATCATTCAGGAGGAATTGGCATTCAGAGTAGTAGTGTTTAATTATGGGAAGTATGAGATCAAGGGCCACACTTGAGTTCGAGAATGAATTAGTAGTGCGATTTCTTCCACACGAATGCGCATGTTTAGCAGTGGAGTTTGTTTGATCAACTTTGGCCTTGACAGTTGTACTGTTTAAGTTATTTCAAAACCTCCTCTAGGCCAAATGACTCCAAATATGCATTAGAAACTCTCGCTCGAATAAACATGGCGGAATTCCCTATGAAAACATTAAAATTGTTTCGTTTGACTGCGAGGGCACTTTAACCTTCGTGGGTCACGCTCACCATCTGCGGCATGGTCTTCAAGCCATGTTAGGGGCCCCCAGCTATTATGACCGGAGTAGCAGTAGCACGATACCTGCCTTAAGACGGACTAGGGTAGGAGGGGAGTGGAAAATAAACCAACTTCGTGTAATACGAATAAGCCTACCACAACAGAGCAAGCTTCGTTATCACAAACGATGGACACTGTAATCCACTTGCTGAAGTGCTTTATTACATGGTGGTGAAGCTATATCGAGTAAAGATGTTATTGCAAATTCCATCATTTAGTGGTAAAATTTATTTTGAGACGATAAACTTTAGCATCCATTCAGGAAGATCATGTGACTGCCTACATGGAACAACACTAAATTGCAGAGGGTAGTATCTCTCCATATCCGAGACACGTTTTCTGGTATGCTTTCTTGGCAACACGTAAATCAGGCACAGTGGCCCAAGAAATTAGTGCCTTGTTCAATACAGCTACCAGTAACATCTTTATTTTCAAGTCAGATCAGTGAAGTGTAGTGCACATATCCACAAACGGATTTAGGCGTAGACTATGCGCCATTGTGGACGCGAAATTCAAATAAGCTTCGCAGCCCCGATGCCAGTTCGAGCTCACAAGGCAAAATCTAACCAAGGCAAACTGGACAATTGCAACATTAAGAGGGACGTGTCATGTGAGTGCAAAAATGTTATGGCATCCATGAAAAGAAGGTGTTGGAGAAGTGATTTTACGGAATTCATAAAACTGATAAGTTCAGCCATGGATTTTTGTACATGGCAAATAATAATTAATTACCAACCAGCTCCTCAGATTTCTCCGAGAGGTCACATTTTCTTATGGAAGGATTTACTAAAGTTAAACGTACTTTTAACTAGGTAGTTTATTATACTTCATACATGAGCGATCACTGTGATACACGCTTATTTCTAACACGATGGAAAATACACACAATTTTGTGCGTTATTTTTGTGCAGACAGAAAGACTAGATACTACAAATTTTTACTGCTGATCCTGGCGGCAATGATTGTGGAATGCGGTCTCACGACTGTCTCAACTACTGGCCCCGTTTGACTGCGATAACGAGTTCGTTGTACTCGTCCATTAGCGTCTGTAGCTTCTTTCGACGGTCACTAGCTGTTTTGAGCCAGGATGCCAGCACAGACTCACCTGAAGTGGAGGACTGAAAGTTAGAGGTTTCAGGATGAACTCATAGTGCAGTAAGGACAATAAGGAATTAGGGTTCCTAGGCTTAATGCTTTATCGAGCAGTACCGACTGGGTTTTGCAAATAAGAAATATTTTTTGCAGCATTGGGAAAATAACTCTCTTTTATGATCATTACTGAAACACGCACCATAAATCATCAAGGACGCTAAACTGCATTCCATTGAAAGGAAACAAAAAGTGGCCCATTCTATTCAGCTGTCTTCTGATCATGAATGTTACCAATGAAAATAAACGAAAGGATAATATTAAAGGATAAGCAGTTTTACATTAAATTGACATGTTTACCTTTTTTGGGAAGCTATCCACTATGAAGACAGAAAGTACAATTATAACTCTGCTATGTTAAGATTTATTCCAAGTTAATAAAATAGTTTGGGGCTGGTTAGACGAATGCAAAATGCGACTAGGCAACTGATCCCACAACACAGGACAGCCAAGTGGTGTGAAAATAAAAATCAAGATATATGTAAAGCAGAGCCAAATTATGTACTTTATTTTGTGTAACTGATAAATAGGTATCAATTAAGAGGTTACCAACGGTAACTCGATTTTGAATAAGTGGCAAGTCTCGTGGGATCGCCAAGATTAGGGTTGTCAATATGAAGCTTATTTGAAAGTGTGATATCCCTTTGAATTACACGTATTTCGCTCTATTTCAAATGAATCAAAGACTGATAATTTATGGTTTTTTTTGCCCACCAAAATCAAAGGAATGATCCTCCAATTACAATTTTATAAAAAATGGATTTCACAGATTATGGATTACACAAGTGGCTTTTTCTGGCAAATCGCAAATTATTGCCCAAACTTTAGTAAGCATTCTTGTATTAATAGATACTTTTGGAAATAGCGACATTTTTGGGTTTAGTAAAGCTGAAAAACGTACGAAATATGAAACCAGCTGCAGCTAATGAATGATGTTAGCGAATCGCTAACGCAGTGTAAATGTTAGAGCACGGATACTTTCCTTAACCATGATATAAAATGCACCGATGCTTACGAAGCTTTTTGCCATCGCGGTCGCGTTTTGATGTGGAGACAGTGTCTGCTTTCAGGTCCACCTCATTGCTGGGGCCAAGAAGCTCCTGCTGATCTCCGAATTCGTTTTCAAGGATGATTCGAACTCCCGAAGCTACTTTCTGAAAACTTGATCCCATTCAACGCTATTTAGAGAAAAATAATCCATGCGGTTAAAAACACCAATTCATTCATCATCCGGTGTGACCACATAACTAATGATAAATAAAGACGCGTCTCCTATTTGGTATAGCATGGCTTGTAGCACTAATAGCTATTAGCAAATAAACATTAATTTTGACGGCAAAAGAAGAATGTGGTCGGAAGTAAAGTAGCTGTCAAGTTCAATAGGTGGGGTAATAGACTTGGATAGACTGTGATGATCCCCAAATCACACCTCAATTGTTATGAATGCGGTCTCCACTGTGAATGGGCGCATACGCCAATGATGCTATTTATTCTATCGTTTAGCTTTCATTTCCTCATTATTTCGGGCCATAAATATGGTAACCATTCGATTCTGCAATTAACTAAAACAAGTACTTAATCCTACAAAATGTATCGTACCTTGATGAGTGAAGATTAGTGAGAATGTATTTATGGAGTTTTACAACGAATTTGACGCATGAGCATGGTACATTTGCACCATACAGGCACAACTTGTCAAATTGTACCAAACTTTTTAACTTCTTGGAGAATAAACGTGGGCCCTTTTGACTGTTTTCAAAGCACTGACTTGTGAGACCCAACCTTCTTTCTAACAGATACTGCGGGGTGACATTAGTGACAGTTCGTCTACTTCACTTTGTCATCTTTTCGTTGATTAGAAAAAGTATCAAAAGCAGTAATTGAAATGCTAAGATGCTTTTAAGAACGGCCATGGGAGGAGTGAGATAGTGTAAGCAACGCTGATTAAATCTAAGGCTAAGAGTGTACTCGAAATTGGGGACCTGTGAACCGTGATTCCACTTAGCTTGACTAGGATTTAAAACCGTTGCGTCAAAGTATGTTTACCGAACCGATTTTTTTTTCAAATGCGACAAAGGGAACAAAGTCTCTACAAAAAGCATAAGCTGGATTAATGCACCATCTCGCCCATTTGGACTTTGATAGTGAAAAGTTTTTTGACGAACCCTTCGTAAACTGAATGCCAGAAATATTGTTGAAATGAATAAATATTATCGGTTCATTTTTTGATGACAGCCGCAACAGCAAAGGCATTTGAAATTCAATAGAATATAATCCCAACCATTACAGGGACCATAGCTTCTTTTCGAAAGTTAATGGCACCCGACCAAACGACATGATTGGCCATATTAAGCCATAGGAAGGGCTAGGAATTTGGCTATACTACATAGTGCGTAGACAAATGTTGAACAGAAGAAATGGGTGGGAAAAAGTACCAGAATATTGAGAAACTTGGAATCAATTGAGGTGACCTTTGGAGCGAACGCCTGAAGGTGAGTAGATCCCTCGACAAGAGCACAGAGTGCAAGATATAAATATGCAAATTTACCAAACCCATTTAAGTAATAAGTGACGTCAGAAAAGTTTAATTAGTGTTCCCGAGATGACTTCTAATGAGACAAGCCTTGTGGAACACAAAAGGAAAAACACCAGCATGGCAAGAAGTGCCCGTGATTTGCATGGTGCCAACCTTTCCATCAGTACACCGGCGTAAGCTACGTCCAGAGCTGCAGTTTCAGTGTGTTCAACCACAAAACGCTGCCAACTTTCGGTGGGACGTGCGCCTAGTTTACTGCGCACAATTTAAGGGCCTCTATAGTAATCATTAAGTGGCCAAATTGGAAACATGAATTACACCTCCGCTTAAAAAAAAAGGTGGTAATTTGGTTTAAGTAGCATCCATTAGTATAACATACGTGACTACTATCTTCACATTATCATTGCTATTCATTGAAAACTGCTTAGTCATAGTGAGGGCGCGATGGAATAGATTTTCCTGACAATTAAGTGGAAACAGTACACCTCCTTTGTGAAATGTATAGTTTTGATTTTTATTTGCATATTTTAGTCTTTACATCAATTGATCGTGTATCTTGTGCAAGAGATGAATAAGTATACTTGATTGGCAAAACTGCAGGCAGATGTTTTGACACACTTCCAATCACAGTCGCCTTACCATCTTCAATCGCAGACATTTGAACGACCTAACGAGGTTCCAGCAGTTGGATTAAACTTTCACAAACGTCATACTATTGTTCACGAAGCGAGAAGACTTTGGCACTTAGATGTATATTTTTTAGGGAATTACTTGAATGTTAGTACTGTCACTAAACAATATTAAACTATAAAAAGGGTATATTATGAGAATACCATGAACTTAAAGTAATGCTAGATTTTTGAATTCTTTACTAGCGCACACTAATTGCCTATCTGATTTTAGCCGACAGTGGTGTCACCTTTAAAGTGATTGCCATTTTATACAAAGCGGATTAGGGAGAGGGAATGTTTTGTTTCAGTCTAATTAGTGCGTGACTAGGGTTACAAGCCAGACAGTAAAACAAAGTTAAGATTTTCCGTGCCTTTTATTTTTATGACTTTGATTTCATAAAAATCAGGAAGCAACATCCACCCCTGAGACACCTGAGGAAGGGCATTGAAGAGTAATGCATTTGAGTTCATCATTGATGTATGTATGAACACCGGAGAGGGCATACTCAAGCGCCCGCTTTGTATGCTTGTTCAAAGTACAAATTTCGAGTGGAGTGTGCGTTGAACTTTAAGCAATTTCTGCGAAAGCACCAGCTACTGCGTAGCCAAGAGAGTCCGAGAAGCACTTTAAACCATTAGCGATGAAAAAAGTGTATGAATACAGCCAACAGCTAATTCGCATTTGCATATTTATGCAACAGCTAGCCTTCTGATTTACGATTTGTGCTCGGGGTAAGGCTAGTAGCAAAAACGGTTCAGTCCAATCAAAATGTAGTATCCTGAGGGTTAAATAAACTGCGCGACTAGGTAGAGCAGGATTTTGGGAACAATGTATTCTAATACGTCGTGCAATATTATAAAGAATTACATTGCTTAAGGAAGGGATAATTGATCAAAAAACCCCTGGAAGGTATGTCACACTACTCAACAGATCGAAAAGACTTTTTATGTCACAAATGTTGACTAACCAAAATCCACAAAAGCTAAGGAGGCCATAGTAAAACTGTTAAGAAATTTTTAGCTGAAGTGGGCACATCATGTTAAAGCTAATGTGTTTGAACTAGACAATTTTTGGGAGACCTATCACAACCCATAGATGTACTTATTTGCCTTACAATTTTGATACTATAGATGTTTGAAAATGAAAAAAAAAGTAAATATTGTCTAGAGACATTCAAAGAGACAGATTTGTGCAGCAAATATCATAGTCATTGAGTTTTTTCCAAAAACTTTTCTGCTTTAAAACGGATAGTCCAAGACGCATCACATCGTTCATTTTGGAATGAAAAATAATTCCTAATCTAGTGTGCTTGCTCAGATGCTTCGGACAGGACTGGCGGTAACAGGTGAGATAAGCTGCAACGCTGTCCAAGTAAAAAGTGCTAAAAATCTAGCGATATAGACTTGAAGAAGGCATTACAGGCAAGGGAGGGGAATGAGAGAGGGGAAGAAGGCAACCCGAACTCACCTCGGCCTCGTCGCCACGGCGCTGCGGAACTGTGGAGTGAGCACAGTGCAGCACATGGACTCGCACCCACGCACACGCATGCACGCACCATCAGTTTGCAAACACCCGCCCACACAGACACACACGAACTTTGCTACGCGATTACACAAATGCATGGGCGCCGGTAAGGCCCCCAGCTGCATTGGTGAGTTGTTGTTATTGGTGGACGAGGAGAGAACTGAGGCCATCACATCGTTACGATATCGTTCAACGGAGATCAAGGGAAGCAAGACAGTGCGCGACTGTATAGTGTTGAAACTTTGTGATTTCTCACCTCACATGTGGACTCCCCTGACCGATTAAACCTAAAAGAGCAAAACTTGACAGAAACAATATTAAAATTCAGCGTGCCTCTGGTAAAAGGATGCACCGAGAATGGACATTATTGAAAGGTTAGTGATTAGTTCATTTATCTACTTTAATGGAATTTCTTCCCATTTAGGGGTGTGACTTAAAACTGTATTCTCTAGCACCTCCATAAAACTCGGAGTGACTGATCTTAAATCCCACCAGACAATTCCAAAGATGTAACCATAATTCAGTAAAATATTAAAAAGAAGTTTAAGATCTCGTGTAAAAATATCGGTAAGAGTTACTACAAAGAGGATCTGAAAAAAAGAACGGGAAACACTCTCGTGTCAGGCATAAAAATCAAGCATTGTGATTAAATTTCGATAGATTTTACAGGAAAAAAATTGATCAGAATGTCTAGGGAGATGATGATGTCCTTATGCTAGCCTCTCTTGATTTGAATGAGAAATGAAAACTTCTTATACCGTCGAATAGCTTTGAGTACATTTTCGCAATAAAGTATTTCCACGAGCAGGTTATTTGCGGGCATAATAACTTGAAGGTAGTGCAGCACTACTTGGCATCGTTATTGTGGCATAAACTATAGAAAATACCAAAGTCGAGAGTTTTATAAGCACTTCCTTTCCATGGGTGTCATGATGTCACAACGGCTTAGAACAGGAGAACATTCTGCTGATAATCCCTTGTGGCTATGTTCAGTTTTGTGGTTAGACTACTTCACCGACTTTTGTGTTTCAGCTGAACGAGGTACACATCAGGTCATTTTCTCTGCAAAACCAGTAGTTCACCACCAGACAGCTTGGACTTACTGACACAAAAACGTTATTAGAGTTGCTTCAGACTTGTCAAAACAAGAGTGCAAAATTAGATGTTCAACTGAAAGGGACTTAAAAAAACTCAAATATCCAGGTCGAATTTGAGTCTCGAATCTCAGACCAGTGTCGACCCACGAGGACAAAGGATTCTGTTTCCTCTGAATTTCTTATGCAGACATTCTATTGTGATTTTTCGCCTCCACTTTTAGTTGAGCGCTGACGGTTCAACATACTGTACCTGCCTGTTTAAAATCTCCTAATGATTAGATGAATTTGAATAGTTTAAAAGCGACACTTAAGTTACAATTAAAAGATCCACGATTAATTTTATTCCAATCCAATGTGGATCACAAGGCATTTGTGGAAAATTCACACACGATTGAATTCTAGAGTTTAATCTGCCGTGGTCTTGGTGTCCAGTGAGTCATAAAATCGTGATGGACTGGCTGGGTTGAAGCGGGTAGGGCCTATATTTGGTCAAGAAGTTGGTGCAAAGACGGGCTTTCAGACACATTGCGTCGAGCCCTCGGTTATTTTGCAGTCACTGCGATCCCGCGTGACCGACAATCGTATCCGTTTTAAATGACATTCCATTATTTCTTCAGTGGCAAAGGTCGCGCCGTAGCCGAATAAGGGTCAAGTTAAGTTGCAATTTTCTGATTATTCGTTCTGATAAAATCACACTGAACAGAGGGTAGGGACACCTGTCTAAGCAGAGAAGTAAAATGGCATCTTTTATGAAGTAAACAACAGAAAAAGCGGAAGAGAGAGTTTTCAATTAGCAGATGCATTAGTGTTACAATAAAAGATGTTACCTAGAGATGGCCCTCATGTAAATATGCGATCAGTTAAGGACTTTACTGCTAAACTACTCTTAGTAGCAAAAGGTATGAGAAAAGGCACAATTTTGCCCTTGAAATTGCCCTGGAGTTTTCTTCCAGTGGTGTACTAAATTACCATTGCAGCTAAATACATGACGCATTAATTTCTTGCTTATAGAAAGAAACGGCTGCCCTACTTGTATACTTTGGCAGGGATGCCATGGCCACTGATGTCAGCGATCTTGTTAAAAGCGAAGAGGGATTGCACCAAACAAGAGCTATAGAATGGAATTCAATAAGGCTACTCTGTAATAACTCTTCAACGATAGGAAAACCTTGGAACCATTTAACAAAGTAGTGTTATTCAAAGCAAATCCACGTGGATGAACAAGTAGCAGAATAGAAAGGAGACCGAAAACTCACGCTTAGATCGGTCATAACTTAAGGAAATGTTAAACACTTTCCCTTTTAGCACAGTCCTTTGTATGAATTAATCTGTGGAATATGATCTGGTTGAGGGAGAGATGACGAGCCGTGGATTTCACCAGGCAGTTTACTGTGTTTGCCGATTTTCGGCCTAATTTACGGAATTTAACTTTTCGGGCAAAGGCTACACTTGAAGAGCCCTTCTCAGAAGGATGCGAGGAAAATACTGATGAGTAAATGTAGATTTTGCGAAAAATATGGATTTTAGTGGCAGTGTGCTGCCTATACTTCGCCCTTGATGTACGGTGTGTTTAGGGTGTGTGAAGTAATTCACTCGAATTTACCAATCTTTGTGATGAATCGCCAAGCCATGGCCATTTAAACGACACCATGCCTATATTTTATGGCTTTATATGCCTCAACGTGTACAAATTTATCATCAGAATGGTAGTCACCAAATCCATTCAAGTTAGTTTTATGGCAAATTAGAAATGCTCACCAACTTGGGAGAAGAGTTTCTGAGATGTTCAATCGCCATAAGACAACATAGTCACTAGCCGGAGGAGCATAATGCTGAGACGAAATTGAGTTCGTGTCTTATTTGTATTTCCGTGTCGGCACAGAACAAAGACATTAACTGGAGTTCACAAGTGCCTTGTGAACACAAGCACCCCGCGAATATGGTGATAAAGGACGCCTGCACTGCGCAATGAAATCGTAGCAATTCACCGTGGAAACAGCGTACATTCATTAACCTGGAAGCTCCAACTCCCAGCAGCTTCTTAACCTTTGTAAAAATAGGTGAAACTCCTTAACTCAACTGACAATTGTTAAATTAAGACAGAATGGGATTAGTGCAGCCGCAGTTACTCGGCGCAATTTACCATCTGTGCGTCATTCAGCAACATTCCAAATGCCGTTGCTTCCCACAGTGAAAATAGGTAATATTACACTTGCATTTGAAATCACGAGCCAAAACCTAGGATATTATGGGTTTTGGTAAAGAAGTTAATGAAAGACCAAATATTTATTTTTCTTGGGGATACGAATCCTTAGCCCTAGCACTAAAGCTCAGCACATTCTATATAGTTACTGTTTGCCCATTACTGCAACCAGGGTAGGGCCGGAAGCTGAAGCATATTAATGTGGTGCTTTGTTTGTGAGCTTATCGCGTGGGCGCTTTGAACCGCCCGTTTGAGCTTTCGCTTTGGGGCATGGCTCCTCGGGTCATGCTGGTAGTCTCTCAGGCTTTCTTAACGTTAAAACCTATACATTTTCTTACTACTTACGCCCACGACGACCTCAACAAAGTCTCGGCATGTTAAGTTGGTTCTATAAATTGGACATAAGAAAGATATAAGCAAGTTTTCTGGACATATTTTACAGACCGGTCCAAAGAGTTTACTTCTCCGAAAGAGTAAATACACTAAAATACCTGAGAAAAGATTCATGCCAAGGAATTATACAATGTCATTATACTAGCAAAATCAAAAATGGAAAACGACAGCTAAAAGTGATTAATGCAAACACTAAACATATACCATCCATGAAATGCAAGTGCGGCTGAACAGAGCCGCCGCAACAGCGACTACCGTAAACCGACAAAACTGTTGAAATATAATGAGGTGTATCATATAGCATTAATAAATTTCAAGATAAAGATTGTGTAGTGATTTGATTATCTAAATTGTGTATTATGGAGTCGCCGTAGGTTGTACTTCCACTGCTGTAACGCCCCAGGTCTTTCACAACAGCACAACAGAACATATGTAAATAACATGCAGGAGGGTTGAGAGGCCATTGTCACGGCCTTCTGGCAATGCAGCCTATTGAAAATGCCACTTTCGGGATCTCCACCATCCTAGTAATTAAACACGGCTAGAGAAGAAGTCACTGCATTGTGCCATGACCTTCGGGCCAAGCTAATAGGCTCCCAACTTATTTAGGTTGGTAGTATATGTACCCGGACGGCTCTTCATTGCAGCAAGACTTCAGGAAACTCGGGCCTTGTATCATTACGGGTAATTAGCCATAATCTGTCAAAAGATGTAAGACATTAACACAGCAACAATAGACAATAACTGAGGGTTACTCTTTTGTAATACAATGGCGGTTTTTCCCTCGGTTCTGGTGAGGCCCCACTTTTGTACTTTGAATTAACCCCCTTGTACCTCGCTGGGTGAACTGGCCTTTTGGGCCATGCCAATAGTCCAGACACCTTCTCCGTGCTGAATATACATATTCTGCCTGAGTATTGTGTCTTCTTTCGTCTTCAGGGAGTCTCGGGAAGCTACATTTTAGCATCGGGAAATAGACTTGAGGAGTGGCTTTGAATATTGTAAAGAAAGCCGAACAACCAAAGTCTATCTGTGATTGCCTTAAAGCAGGAACATCTTAGTGAAAACGAAGTGTTTATTGTGATAGACCAAAGGTTTTGTGGAATTTGCAAATACGCAATATCTCCACATGAAACCAAGAATTTTTAAAACAAAGAAATATATTGTTATCGCAGTCATCCTCCTAAAGGTTAATAACGAGTAACTGAATAGTCAAACTGATAGTTTCCTAGACAGTGTCTTGTTATAATAGCTCGGCTATCGTAGGGTAATAACCGGCGCATAATTTCAAACCTTCTAAAACTAAACACCTTTTTAAATCAATGCCTGGTTTTCATTGGTCGAATACGTAAGATGCCTTTTTATCTAAATAATTATTTGGCAGAATGCAACTAATATTCCCTACACCTTTCTCACGCATAAAACAAAGACTACAACCCTCGCTAAAAAATCTAATAATTGGATGCCTCTACTGTTATTAGGTGCGTCTTTAAATTAACTTGCAATATGTAGGGCTTGGCTTCAAATCACGCTAGCCAATCAGTACTATAAACTGTATTGTGTCTGTTAGCGACTGAGGATGCGTTCGTCTTTCGCTAGGACGCTGCATGAGGTAAAAAACCGTGACGGATCACTGGCAAATGCACTAAATAATTCAAAAAATATGGCTATTAATGCAGCTCCATTGCTTCTGGGCACAAGTCTTCCTGATTTGTCCAATCTAAGGTAAGCAACGTCAACCTTGTTCATCTTTCAAGTATTCGCAAACCTACTAAGAAAAAGCATTCCTTCAGCTATGAGAATAGTCTCCTTCCTTCAGCATTTTATCGTCGATCCGTAACTGCAGATTGTGATGGTGATAGGTGAGTGCATCACTATTCCCTAGGGATTCTTAGGTACATTCCCAACCGTCGGGCCATGGATATGGATCGTGCACAATTCTATTTAACTCAGGCTGCAGCGGTATCAGATCCATCATCTCTCCCTAAACCAAATGATCGTATTCTGGAGTTTTCGCATAAGCGTCCATCTGTCCCTGGTCAAGAAGTAATTGCGCATGAAATCAGTAAACCGAAGCAATCTGTGCGCTATATACCCACAGTGAGTTTTGTTTGCAATAAGCATTCTGAGTTCTTGCACATTGAACCAATTGACACCACTAGTGGGCTCATTTTTGTTGCGACTTTATTCTTCATCCTTCCCACTCTAACACGTTTTCACCCTATTTTTAGCGACCAGAAAATGTCTTAGATGCCCCAGACCTTCTTAATGATTACTATCTGAATCTTATTGATTGGTCCAAGCAATACAACATCGCGGTCGCACTTGACAGAGACGTATATTTATGGGACGCTCGCTCCGGCGGTGTCCGACTGCTCATGTCTGCTGGACTCAGCGAGGAGCACATCACTAGTGTGCGCTTCTCACCTCACGATGGCAATGTCCTCGCCGTAGGCACGAGCATGGGTCGCTTGCAGCTGTGGGACGTGGATCAGGCTGCACTTCAGCGCACAATGCTCATGGATGAGAGCGATCCCGCCAGAATCCCAGCCCTTGCCTGGCGGGACCATGTAATTACATCAGCCTCCCGTACAGGCGAAATCAGGCATCATGATATTCGTGTAGCACAACACCTAATCGGCTATTCTGATGCACACACTCAGGGAGGTCTTGGATTGATTACATCTCTTATCTACTTATGCCTTAGGAAATTTGGCCATACCTGTCATCTTTGTTGACCGATTAAATATATCTTACTACTGATTTTGGAAGCTTTCGCTTTACCAAGTTTTTTGCTTTTCAAAAATTGCCTTTGCAGGAGGTATGCGGCTTGCAGTGGTCACCAGACGATCGCTACTTGGCCTCAGGTGGAAATGACAATCTGGTCTGTATTTACTCCGCTAATGGAGCTTTCACACTCGCGGGAGGGCGTCCAGATCACGTTTTTAATGAGCACGCGGCTGCTGTAAAGGCCGTCGCCTGGTGCCCCTGGAAACCGGCTCTCCTGGCAACTGGTGGTGGCACGAGGGATCATCACCTGCGGTTCTGGAATGTCTACTCTGGGGCTTGTGTGCGTGCTGTCGATGTAGAAACTCAGGTAAAATTGGGACCGGAGCAAGTTGTTTTCTTTTTTTGTAAAGCACTATCTTAAGACTAGTTGAACCACTTCGATACCATCTGACTGCGCAAAAATGTGCTTTCTGAAGGCAGCATGTTGATATTGATACTGATGAAACCCAGCTTCATCCATATGCGTGTCTTTTTAATTGAATGGTAAAGCGATTGTTGGAAATATCTGAAAACAGTACCCATGGTAATCATGACATTAGTTGTAAACGTTTTGGAGCTAATAACACAGCTGCATTATTTTAAATATGCTATAAACATTTTGATCTTTATAGGTCTCTGGAATCATTTGGAACGAGGAGTTCCGCGAACTGATAACTGGACACGGAAGTGGTAGTCTTTGTATTTGGAAATATCCAAATATCCAAAAGGTTAAAGAACTCACTGGTAAGTGATTTCAATCTTTGTGACTACTTCTGCCTAAAATAAAAGTATTAGATACTTATCTGCGTCGTCCGTTTGACATGTTGCACTCGCCGTTGTCAAGACAGGCATTTTGCTTTTAGAACATCGGGACAGAGTTCTCTCAATTGTTGCCTCACCGGACAAGGAAATGGTGGCAAGCTGCTCAGCCGACGAGACTCTTCGTATTTGGCATTGCTTTAAAGTGGATAAAACAAAGAAGCGCTTGGAAGAGCAACGAAACACGTCAATTTTTGCCTTCCCACAACCTATGCGTTGAGGTATTTGTTCCATAGTATAACCCTCGTCTAGCTCTTTTTGTGCCTCATGTTTACTTGGATTTATTTCTTTGTGCAGACATATCAACTGTAAGGCAGTCCGTCTCTCTTGGTACCACACTCGAATTGGGGCTCGTGTTGAAACCACGCCTTATGTACATGTTTCTCTGTAGCAAAAACCTTAGCCACAACTTTTTTGCATAATATTACAAATGGCCTTAGAAATTATCTTAATTGAAATACGGGTGTTTACTGGTTGTTGTACGCGGGATTCGCAACAAATGGGTGGATGTTTAGTTTTTATGAACATTAACCTTGAGTTGGTTATAGTTTTATACTACAGAAACAGCTTGCACAGATCAGCCACTTTGATTCGCACACTGGTGTTTTGCCAGAGGGATGTGGAGACTTGGTTGTCAGCTACAAACTAACGCCAAAAGAGACGAGGCGACTCATGGTAATTGGGAGCATTGGTCTTTTGTGGGTTTCCGCTTTGTTTCAAGTCGGGTGAACAATAACCAATCTAATAAATAGTATTATTTAAATAATACTGCGGGGATCGCAATGTGGTACCCAGCTATTGGAACGCCTTTTTTCCAGTAAGTGTGAGCCATCCCCGGGAAGGACGTTTTCCGAGTGTAGCGGTTGTGAGTGCGAGTCATATACGTTGATAAAATTGCAGAGGAGCGTAAATGGTCCTGCTGACCTGTTGAAAGTAAGTTAGTCTTCATTGATGGGAAGGAAGTTGTACTGAAGAGAGAAGTTTATGTTTGCATTTGTAGGAGTGCAATGCATTCGCAATGTGTATCAGAAGCCAGATTAATTTTGTCACCGCAGGTGTAATTGTGGTGTTCCCAGTCTCCGTTATGAAGTTGTCTGAGGTAGCTCTGCGAAGATGCTATGTGGTGTGCTGAGTCTTCTTTAGAGTCGTAACAAGCCAGAATAGTGCGGAGGAACATGTATTGTTAACTTACAGGATCCGGGACGGTACCACCTTGACCCGAATGTCGTGTTGCAGAGCGGAAGGACAACTTGTGGAGACAAGTGCCGGAGTAGTCCAACAGAGTTAAACAAAGCACCAAATCACATCATTTAACCGCGTGAACAACCGATACCTCCTTCACGTCTCTACTAGCTGGATGGAAATTAAATGGGTGGATAAGTTGCTAAGTGGCACTGGAATGAGAAAGAAATTGCCAAAATGTGATAAATGCGAAATACTAGCTCCACAAAAGTGTTTTCAAACCTGCCATTTATCAAATAGCTCTGCTAGCCCATTTTCCATACGACTAGCGACGGGTTTACAAGATGCAGAGCATCCACCGACCTTGAGTAGCATGAAGCCGGTGCATATCCCCTTCCCCAATACAGTTAACAAATGAGACGAAACTCCGACCACAGTGAGATTGCAAAGATGCCTTCTCACATGTATTAAGATTCGTTAGCCGACGTTGCTGCCTTGCGGATAGCCAACAAGGCCAACGCTGGGGTGCGATCTAGGAGAGCTTCAGGGACGACACTAAAAGCGTAGAGGTCTATTGCAGTATGTGTTTGCTTGAATATGCCTTTTGGGTGAGAAGCGGTCAGCTTACATAAACCGTGTGCCGGCGTGGACAACAATCCCCTTAAACCTTGATAACATGTAAACTCTACATTACTGCTGAAACAAAAAGTGGTGTCCTGTGCGCACTCTTATCAGCCCAACGATATGAAATCGGAGGTGAAAGAGAAGAGCAAAATCCGTTATAATCGTAGCAGTGGCGGCAGTGACACGGATTTTTAAAAATGGTATAAAAATGCTAAATTCAACAGCGTCAGAGAAAACTAACAGACCATACTTGCGCTTTCTGGGCCGCTGTAAAGGTTGAGATGACCCCATACACTGAGTCGGGTCGATACTGTTATTTTGACTCAACTCGTCATCGGTCAGGAACAGTAGATACTAACCAGAGTTCTTCATTTGCACCCAATTAGCGCAAAAATATGACGAGAATTATGCCAAGAACCCAAAGGAATAGGCCAAACATGCTTTTCGCAGCTCACCTCTAACCTGATTGGAAGAATGGATAACCATTCAATCCAGACAGGGAGTTCGTCCACACATCATGGTCGAGTAGCTCCGCACCACGGATACCAACTCCCTAGCGAGCTAGTCAAGTTTGCGACGAAGTGCCCAAAGTTGGCTACGATCCCGCCTTACAACAATCGAAACGGCTAGCCAAATTGAACGCCCTTCTATCGGGGCTTTTGGAGTTGCATCCAAAAGTTCGGTGAGCTCTCCATTTCGTCTTGCTAGCTTCCAAATCTTAGGTAGTTCCCGTCTCCACCAAAAGTTTAGGGTTGTTTCACCATCTGGCAGGCTGCGATTAGCAGTAGAAAGAAACAGCAGTCGTTAAATATCAACAGAGGCAAGGAAACCCACACGGTGAAATTTCCTATATGGTTAAAATTATTTTTGGTCAAATTTTATGCGTGGTACTAAAGCCGTCCTAGATTTTGCAGAAGGTACTTTCTCCATTTACCAAGGCACTAAGGCCACGACAGCCCTTTTGCCACTGAAATAAAGTGTTGATGATAGTTGCAATGGCCTACCGAAGCCGCATCGATACCTATAAGCAACCTGGACGATTTCTGCTCGCGGCTTACCCATGCCATCGACAGCAAGAAGGAACTTCGCAAGTTAATGGTTAAGTACACGGATATATCACATGGAGAAGTGTTAAGCTGAGAAGAGCAAACATCGCAAAGCGTCTGACAGACACTAGAGACTAGACCGATCTGATAGCCATACAGACGCATACTACAACCTCTACAAGAAAGGGTAAGCCGTCATGTCGAAGAGATGTTCCAAGACAAGGCCATAAAACCATCGAAATCACAATGAGCCTCACCGATTGCTTTGATAAAGAAAAGGGACAGAAGTATCCGGCAGTGCGTCGATTAGGAAAAGCTAAACTCAGTAGCAAAAAGGATGCCTGCCCGCTACCCCACATAAACGGGTTGTTAGACCTCCTACACGTGCTAAAGGTATTCACGTTTGATTTAAAATCTGGACACTGGCAAGTGCAGATAGCAGAGGTAGTCAAAGGGAGGACAGTTCCTATTTCACCAAACAGGCTCCAAGACAATGCCTTTCGAGCCCTAAAAAGGTCACGAGCGTACTGCACTCGTAGGGTTATCCTTAAAACAATGTAAAACTTGCTTGGATGATATACTTGCTTTTGGTAGAGATATTTGTTGTATTAACCCTCTTTAAGTCTCGACCTGTAAATCCCACAATTCTACTCAAATAACAGATGCTTTCTACTACTTACAAGTGTATAAAACAAGAAGTAAAAAACCCAGAAATCGTCTTACTGTGTATTGAATTGATATATTACTTAATCGTGTTTTACACTTGGCAGGCACTAAAATCGCCTCAGTTTTTAGTCAGCTCAGCGTCATGGTCTCCACTCAATGTCACTAGCCTTCTAGGAATGCATAAGTTACATTCATATTAGTTGTTAATAGGTCATACGCATATTCGATCATACAAAATAGTTGAGCAAACAAAACCTGAAAAAACAAGAAGCAATCGCCAATAATTTTCAGCAAACACTTGGTCCCCGAACATTTATAATGTATTTATTTTGTAACATTAATTAACCTGACTGCTTGAAAAATTTGACGGATTTGTAACTCAAAACCCAGATTTTTGTTATCAATCTAGTACTGCTTTCAGAGGACCTAAAAAAATGTAACAAAAATTCCAAGAAATACAGCAGAATTTAGTGTAAACAAATTGGGAAATCCTTTTGACTAATTTGTTTGCGTATATTGCCACTTATTCTACGAATTTAGGCGAAGAGTTATTATCCAAGGTAACTGGTCATTGGAACATTCCTGAACGAGTCCCGCGTGTCTTGTAACCCGAAGCAATGGCTAAATGGGGTGAGGGTGATCCGCGTTGGATTGTCGAAGAGCGGGCTGATGCCAAGAACGTAAATAATTGGCATTGGATAGAAAAAAAGGCTACACAGTGGTCAATTGACAAAATAAAGGCTTTGCTCACGGGTTTTACCATAGACACAGATAAATGTAAGAAGGTTGTTATCGGCTACGCTTTAGATTACCTGGAGATAGTCAAAGTCAATAAATGCGAAGGTGAGGCGGCTGCTAATAATCGAAAAGCAAAGTTAATAATCTTCTACGAATGGGCGATCGAAATGGAGTGGAAAGGTATGCTTCCTTTTATTAATTCACCAGGGAACTTTTTGCCGCGGCTAAACTCTTTTTTTCATATTAAGGACACAAGAAAAGCGTGGAAAGTCCTTCCAAGGTTTGTGGGACGATAGCGGTGAATAACTTGAGTGAGGAATACTCCCCTGAGGAGTGGGATTTTGATGTTTCTTGTCAGTCCACCAAACCCGACGCTAATGAAGTCAAGGAATTTCTTCGAACAGAAGGGGTCTGCTACTTACGGAAGCAGCTTCAGATTTATATAACTGATCTAAAACATGGTAAGCTTTATTTTTACGCCGTGATACGCATTTCAAACCCTTAAAGAGTACGGGAAAGACCTTATCTTGCCAACAAAGGATAAGCAGGGTTCTTCCGATTTGATATTGAAGCAAACTCCAAACAACAAAGCACCAGTAGATGCTCTGTGGAATTCTGATATCAGTTCTACAAAAAAACATGTGACTTCAGGAGAAGCTGGTACTCAGGATACTGTGCAGATTTCACTGCAGGAAGACTTTATGTGCACACCTGAAGACCTTTATAAGGTTTTTATTACAGAAGAGGTAAGCATTGTTACTGTTTTTTTTCATGCAATTAAAGTTAAACTGATTTAAGCTGGCAAGAATAATGCTCTTATGCTGTACCTGACATTAGGTTCATTGGTCATGTTCACTCTCGGCGTATTGCTCATTGTCGTCTCACTTACGAATCCTGACTGTAAAATAACTATTTCCATTTGAAATACCCATGCTTCTTATCGCATCGTAATATGCCCAGCTAAAGTCGCATTGAGCACTGAAGTGGTCGTTAAGGTCTTTAAACAGTTTACACGAGGTCCTCCTCCCACGAGGTTACTATTTACCGTAAAGATGCTAAACACCAGACCTCTAAATAGTCATGAAAGAACTCTCCTTTACCGGTGTTTCTTTTTGGCATGCTTTGCTTCCACTGTCTTAACCGAGGTTAATGTCTAAAGCAATACGCTCACTCGATTAGAAATTATTACTACACCTATTGAATTAGCTTAATTGGCAGAATGCATTATCCAATTAGGGATTTAACTAGCACTGTCAAGTGAGTTCTGTTCAAGTTTTTTACTCGGCCCGTGATGCGTGTTAGGATTCACTAATCGTGGCCAGTGAGTTGGTTTTCAATCACATGAACAGTAAAACTTGTACAAAAAACAGAGTTGTTCCATAACCTTCCTTTGAGCATTTGTTCGGGATGGTCGTTCACCTTAAAATTGCTTGAAGCAATACTTCCATGGCTATTTTTCATTATTCTTGACTGGAGATTATTTACAGAGGTGTAGATGTAGGATCGCTCGTAAACCTTTTATTGTTGATTTCCACCATTTAAGTCTTAGTTGTTGTGGGCCAATACCGTGATATGAATATGCACCTTCCAAACGATGGACGATGCTGCAATTTTGTACCTTCATTCTAGCTCACAAAGTTGTTCACGCGTGGCAACGCTATTGTACAGTCCACTCCAGGTGGAAAATACGCAATTTTCGATGGAAACGTGTCCGGGAGCTTCATTGACCTGGTTAGTGCTACCCACATCATTTTTTTGTTTAGCGAAATCAGTAGACGTGGGTACTACTCGGCTTTGAATGGGTGGTCAAAGGATTTTGTGAATTAAGGCTTCCCATTACTTCCCACCTATGTGCTTAAATGACAGAGTGCATAATTGCATTGCTTTAGGAACCGAACAAGATGATATCTATGAGTTGGCGGAAAGATAACTGGCCAGAAAATCACCATAGTACGGTGAGAATGGATTTAGAACAAATAGACACGGGTACTCGATTGAAGCTCACTCAGACTAACGTTCCTGCCAGTGACGAGGAGGGAACGCAGTCCGGCTGGCAAACACACTACTTCATGCCAATCCAGCAAACCTTTGGCTTCGGTGGGAAAATTTTCTAAAGCAGCTCATGAGGGCTGTCGCCTTCCCCAAAATGCGTTTTATCATGCTACGACTTGAAAAGGAATACAAGATCTTTTATCCCGATTTTCTTAGTGTGTCAGTGAAATGGGATGGAGGGCAACGTTGCAGTAGTTCCTATGGCCTATGTTAGGACGTCGCAGTTTCAAAAATACCGTTTTCATACCCAACCTGAGAGACCATGGCATTGGCGTGAACACGCACGATATATTGACGTAGGGTTGAAATGGGCATATGGACAAGGCGGTAGGGAGGCGCTGGTCGACCAAGTACATCTACAGGTGGCGGGCGGTGGACTGCACTGGCCCACACTGTAAAGGGAGGGAGAAGGAGTGCTGGTACTACTTGGGACTACGTTAGGGGCCGCGGATGTTCCATCTGATAGTCAGGAAGGTGGTGCTGCCGCCACTCCTGTTTTTTCTTGTTCGCGGCCACCGCATTTTCCACGACGCTGTCCATCATCTCCTCGCTTAGGGTACCATCCTTACTTGAAAACGCCGCCGTCTAGAGGGGATGTACACGCGTAAACAAACCCACGATTTATGCCTTAGTTGAAATAGAAAGCGATCCTGTAAATCCACGTTCTTAATAAACGCAAATTGTTCCTTATTCTACCGCTTGAAATTCGGGAACGCTACGATACAAACGCACTGAATTGAGTCCTGGCTTCTTATAGTGTTTGTTGGGTGAAGCAATGGCTAAAGCGCTAGTAAGTGGGGTAACTGACCTGCCAGGCAATGGTGATCTTGGAAAGCTCACGACCGGAGAGGCCCTCAGTTCGGGCCGCCACCTCCTTGCATTTCGCTGCGTAGTCAATGTTGTCGGCGAGGTGGATGCGCTGCTTCTTGTCCAATGAGGGCTGGAGGAGGTAGAGATCGAAGTACTGTCGAATCATCCGCTCTCTCTCCCGCTGCTTCGGCAGGTCGAAATAGACAATCTCGTCCATTCGATCGTTGATGGCCCAGTCAAATTGCTCCGGCTGGTTGCTTGCCAGAACCAGCATGAATCTAAATAGAATAGGTTGTAGCATTATACTAAACCAAGGCAAGCAGGCTAAGCGTTATTTAAATGCATCACATTAAAATAGCGGCAAAACAGGAGAGCAAGAAAGCTTGGCAACACTTTTGCCTTTAGATTACTAAACATTGACAACAACAGAAGAGCGACTACTTTTGTGAGCACCATCAAAAAGGCAAAATATAGCCTTGGGATTGCGTATCTAGCGGTAAGGATGAGGTCACTACAGCCAATGCCAAAATCCCGTTTAAGATTTTGATTACGGGAAGACAGGTAAACACGGAAGCCGAATTTGGAGAGAGAGCGGACGATAGAAAAAACTAACTTTTGGGATTGTTCACCAGTTCGGTAAAGGAAGGCGTTCAGGGTTGCGCGCATTCCCTCAGAGATTCGCTCCTGTTCGCGCTTTCGCAGAAAGGCGTCAGCTTCATCGACGAATAACAGAACACTAAAATGTAGTTCAAATAGTCAGATTTGGATTCTGTAAGCAAACTTTGTCACAAAGGATATATGGCAAAAAGTGCAGAAAACGCCATCATTTGAACCTACACGCAGAAACATAACCTTGGATACACATAGTAGGGAGTTATTAAAGATGCCAGGGATAGAGAATCACGAGAATGGCGCAGATTGTATTTAAATTCAACCTGTGAGTGGCTAAACTGCACAGTGATGGAGGGATACCGAGCAATAGAATATGAGAATAACCTACCCTTTACGACTAGTTTTGGCCCAATTGAACACCTTGTGAATCGCAGTTACGCCATCACTCCCCAAGGGCGCAATATCACCACCAGTCATGATAGCATAATCCAAACCCGAATGGAGTGCCAAACTCTAAAATACACGAAAGTATGACATTAGAAGAAAAAAGACCATTTCGGGGGAATATCAAAACAAGACAAACCTTAGCCATCATAGTTTTACCAGTACCAGGGGGACCAGCCATAAGGACATTCCTATAGAAACCCCCATTTGCCTTCGTATGCCGCGTTGCTACAGCTACTTTTCGCAAATGCGCTTCAAGACTAGGCTACGTGGTGGAAAAACCCCATGAAAATGAGAAGACTTACTTCAAGTATTATATTTTTTAGAGGATCGCCAGGGCGATTGAACGCCTTTCTGAAAGCCTAGAGCAAATATCAAGAGAAAAACAAACGAAGAATACCTGAATTGGATGTCGAATCATATCCACAACGTTTAGCCTAGATGTTTCTCGCACCAGTGAGGGCTTGCCAATTCGAGATTCTACGTACCGGGCTAAGGTGCCCATTCCAAACTTGGCGGCATAAACACCACCAGCCAAAACAGTCGCAGCGCCGACAGCCGTCACAACTTTGAATCGATCAGCCAAGAAAGCATTGAGACCAGCACCAATTACAGAACCCGCGGTTTGTATTGATTGCAAAATAGTCTCCCGATGTTCTCTCGCTTCAACACGAGACCTCTCCAGTCTTATGTCACGATTCTCACGTTCAATTTTGGCTTCACCCCGAAGCCGAGCTTCAATTTGCTTAAGCTCATTCTGGTGCCGTAAATTCGCCTCGTACTCAATAGTTTCTATAAGAAATAGAAGACAAAGCACTAACAACATACGTCGTCTCATTGTTTCCTGCTTTTGGACAGATTCCTCCTGCTTCCTCAGTGTTTCCTCATGCATACGTGTCTAAGGCATTAAAGAAGACAGATATATATGTATATATATACCTGTTGAGCCATCTGATCATCCTGACGCTTCCTCGCAAGCATATCCTGGTACTCAACACGATGTTTTTGGATTTTCGCCTCTTCATCCAATGTTTTTCGCCGTTCTTCCTGCTGTATGCGTATTTGCTGCCCTTTCATTTGTTCAATACCGAGCTCATACTCCTTCAGTTTAGATTGATACTCTAACTGCCGAGTATGTTCGTTCATATGGGACAATTCAAACGCCTCTTTGGCATATTCTGAAGAGTAATAAATCCAAAAACCTACTTGAACTCTCCAGTTCTCGAGCGGCTTTAGCCGCTCTTTCTAGAGCTGCTGAGTCAAACCTAAACCCTGAAATGGCTTCTTCAAGACTCCTTTTGTCATCCTTTTTAGGAGGTGGCGGGGCAGGAGGTGCAGGCATGGCACCTTCACCCTTTAAGTCCGACGCCTGGGGTCTCGAATAGCCGAAGAGCCAAGACATACGTCAGCGACAAATTGACCAAACCACGTTTCGAGCATACATCGCGCGGCTAGAGGTCTGGCTTATCTAAAGTTAACTTTGGTATTATTTGTACACAGAAATATTCCGAAGTTCCGCATTATAAAGAGTTCAGCAACATCCAAAACTATTTTGTTAAAGTAGGCACTAAATACCGAGCCACATTGCACGTAAATCTCGCGACAGTGATGCGAATTGCATGAGCAAATGGAAATTTTATTGCATCAGCTAAATAATCAACTGCCTTAAATATGCTAACACGGCAGACATTTAAAAGGGTTAGCTTTCTATTTCTTTGGCACTTCGTTTTGGAGTATATTTATCTGCGTAGACCCCTCAATCGACGTGCTATGCCAATAAACTCATGCCATTCTGAGAATAATAATGGGCCTTCCTATATTCTGAAACGGTTTATTAACTCTTCGCGGAAGGTTAAGGTCGCAATAAGGTTAAGTGCATAATTTTGTTTACTTTATAATTTGTAACGGATCCTCTAGTTGTAGTTAGTTTTAAAATATTTTAGCACACAGTTTAACTACACAACGATTGCTGAAGCACTGTACATTTTCTAGCAAATTTGCCAGTTATTATAACAATTTTTAAATGCCTTGCGTTTTTCTGTTATGATTTACAACTTTCAAATGTGTGATTTGGTTCCTCACTCACAATCTGTTTTGGCGATCTAGTGGCTTTATATGGTAACTTATCTTGGCTTACAATGCTACGGAAAATTTCCCATTAAGGTCAATTTTTGGAGCGGGCCCTATGTAGTTGCAGCTGCGGGGCGGTGGTTTTGGTTCACTACAGGGCTTTCATTATCTGTCGTGCATAGTCACAGTCCCTTAATTAACTCTATTTTTTGATCAATCCGCAACCACATTTCTATTTATCGATTTTTTTAAACTTCCTTAACTGTCTGACTACTGTGCATAGGGATTACCGTTGGAGTAGATGAGGCAATTGCGTGTGATACGGCCTTTGCTTGGCCCTGTGAGGTCGTTTACAAGTTGCATATCGCACATATAATAATGTATCCTTCTTCATCTACGAAGTGATTGTCTAAGCTATCGAGGTATTGTGCTGTATTTATTATTATCGGCTCAAATTTTTCTTATTTTTAACAAGGTATTAATGAACCCTCAACAGCGTGGTACTGTCAAACGCGTGGGTAAATTTTATTGGCATTTCTAACTAGACTTTTTATAACTGCTTTTGGCACACTTTATACTGGTCTGTAATCCTGTCTAGCGGCTTGTGTTTTATCGAAAACACCTAATGTCTAGTTTAGCTTTCCGTAGCTTACATGGATTAGTTGCTGTTTAAATGACAAATTTAGGGAGCAGTAAGGATTTTACGTATATAGGACATAAAATCACTGGGTAGAACTGGTGCTCAGCACAGTTTACTTCAAATCATGCATTTAGGATATAGTTGTGTGCCTAAAAGTCAGTTGGCACTCATTTTGTATATTTTGTGTTTTCAATCTCCATTACGAGTTCCAGTTAGGCATTTAATCAGGGCAAGCCTTCGTGTTTTGTTTGGACTAACTCATGATTATGCAATTTTGTAATTTATTGAATATTAAAATTATGTGGCAAAGTGTTATGTGTTCTAAATGTTTTATGGGCTTGTCATCGTGCATTAAGATTTGTCGTTCCGTCATAATACCGCGTTGATAGCTTGCGCTTCTAAAGCAGTTTGAAGTTTTTTTGTTATATTCCTTTTGCAGACAAAATGGTACACATCCCATTGTTTTGCGTCAGCGTTTCTTCGGTGCAGACACTTAGGGCCCTCAATGAGTTTACTCTTGAGAATCACTTAAATATCTTTATGCTGAATAAATATTCCATGACGTCAGTTTCCTAAAAAGCAACTTACCACTTGATTGCGCTTCAGCTGTTATCGGTGGAGGTTTCAGTGGGTGTTCAACTGCCTACTTTCTGCGACTTCTCCTTGACAAGGCGGTGGCCATCACCATTTTCGAGAAGTCCGGTCGGGTGGGTGGTCGCGTTCGGTCGATTAGCGTCGAAGGTGGCAACGAGTTGTATGAAACAGGTGGAGCTCTATACACCAGCAACAACCAATACATGAGTATGCTTGTCAATCAATTCGGTACGTTCCGGAAATTCTCTTCGCTAAATTTTGCCGCGGGATAGACTGACAAGTGAATTTTACCAAAAATGGCGCTTAATTTTCAATCATTTCCATAGGTAATGTCAAAGTCTAGAAAATTCAATGATCAGTGTTTTCGGCAAAAGTATTAATTCTTGTCGCATGGTTTTCTAGCTTCCAAAGGCTAACGAGCTATGCAACTCTCTATTGAAATGGATTGATTGGGGTGATGTGAGTAGAAGTCGTTTCTGAAACTGCCACGTTTGTCCACTCATCCTCGTCACGTAGGTCTGACAGCACAGCGTCACGTGCCATCGGATGAGGCGCTGTCGCTGTACATGGGACGCCTACGCCCCTGCGCTTTCAGCAGCAACGCGGGACCTCTATTCATCAATCGCCTGCGCTTTGCCCTCCTCTATGGCACTGACCTCGTGCGCTTTCAGCTTGCTATCGCGCGCCACTGCCGGGCCTTTAAACAGTAAATTTGTTTACCCTCCACTGTATTAGCTAACGGCTCCTACAGCTGAATTATATCCTGTTTTGTAGCTCTTCTAATCTCACATGGTTTTACCTTTCCACAAATGCATGAAAAAAGTGCCCTCTTGGTACCTGAGGGTCTTTCCGATGCTATTGAATACATGAGGCTTGAAGCGTGAACTTTGAGGCATTACATTTATTTTAAAATTATCCATAGAAAAAGAGCTGCGGCTTAGTCATAGTGTCCCATCCATTTTTAGCCTCACAGCAAAGCAAATGAAATGGATTTGGGAGACGCAAATGGATATTGTGTAGTTTTCCCAAAAGAATCTAAAATGTCCCGGGACTTCTAAGTAAGTTCTAGAAAAGCAAAGTAGAAGGTTTTTTGGATCCTGCCTGGATGTGGCAAGTGTAGGAATTGGTATTTTGCATCTGCTTGTTTAGGCAAGTGGTCCACCATATGTTCCATCCCGAAACCTCGGTTCTCCTTTCAAAGTGAAATTTGATGTATGTGGGGAAAATCAACGACTTACCCAAACTGAGTAGTTCTTATTATTTTAAGTGTCTAAATTCTGATAAAGTGATCTAGATGCTCATTTTATCTTCATTTTGGTACAAAATAAGGGATTGCTAACACCTACGAACTGAGTGTGCAAGTGGAGGAAAAGTGCTGCAGCTGCCGCATTGTTTTACGCTAACCACAGTCTAAATGCCAATGACATAGCAGCCTATTATCGAAGCGTCGAATAAAGACGGGTCATGTTTTAGCAAATCCATTCTATGTTTTGCTTCCGCAATTCCGTTCACTAGGTCAAATCTTTTTTTCATCTGTTCGGACTTTATTCTTGTAGAATATACGATTTGCAGAAGAAGGGTGTGTCGTTTGACTCCCCCATCGCTATGCTTGGAGCTCTCTCACCGGTATTTCCGAAAATGCTGAAGTCTACTTTCGGATCTTGGTTGGAGCAGCATCTCAAATTATCAGATCGTTTCTGCAAGGAAGTTGTTTATGGCGTGGTGTCGAATTGCTATTGCTCAGATCTCACCCTTCATGCGTTTGCTGGTAAGTGGTCATCCAAAACGGGGTTAATGGGATGTCGATTTAGAAAACACATTCAAGCTTTCTACCCTGACAGGTACTGGTTGGACAATTTTTGTTGCAAACTCGATAGGGCAACAACGGTTTCCATGTGACGCATGACGATACTCCACTAAAATAACGCAACATTGCTTCGTTCATCGCCCGATAATTGGGAAATTTAATGAATCCAGTGCTTTAATTATAACCAAGGTCATATTATCCTGGCTGTGTATTGTCGAGTCTCGTCTGTACCTTTTGCGTAGCAGTCTCATTAGTTTTACACGAAAGGTCAAAGTGCTTATAGTGGTGTGTGAGTGGACGGCACTCATTTCCATTCGGTGGAAGAACACCCTTTTCGCTTTAGGCATGACCGCTGCGAGCGGGCTCGGTGCCGACCTCTTCTCCGTTGTTGGTGGGAATGAAAAGGTGGCTCAGAAACTCTGTGAGGCCGCTCTCCGATCAAACCCACCGAGTATTTCTAGAGAGGTTTCGCTGAGAACTACGGTCACCAAGCTTTCCAGAGGTTCGAAGCGGAGGTAGGGACACATGCCTTCTAATCTGGTTTCTAGCTGTCCTTTCCAATCGGTAATTTGAGATGCTTCTATAAGCAATTTAGTGATAATGTTCATTAATGCGTTTTCAGGTCCATTCGTAAACTTGGGCACTTTTGTAAAAAGGCAACTTCTTTATTTTTGTATGTCAAGCCGAATTGCATAATTCTATGCAAAGTCATAGTTTTTGATCAAGTCATCCAAGTGATATTGCTGTTGATGTTTTTGCCGGTTATTGTTTGTAATGTGGATTTACGATGAACTAGGTTTAGAACGTATTTTGTTCTCTTTTCATATCATACGATCAGCATCGTATGGTTAAATCATTGTAAGTTGTGAAAGAACCACTTGATTATCTTAAGTAGAGTTTATAATCAAAAGCACTAACTAAACGGTCTCATTAATAAAACATACCACTTCTCTAATTGTACAGATTTTTGGTGACATACAAAAATGATGGTGTTGAGAAGAGCGAAGAATTCGACTTTGTGGTGCTGGCTTTCCCGATACACGAGAAAGCGTCAGCAGTACCACACACTAATGAAGACCTTTCCAAGTACCTGCCTTCGAGAAAGAAGTATATTGAAGTGGATTTCACTCACTTTCTTGGTGAATTGGAAGCCATGGAGTTTGGTCTTCCTGCTGGTAAGTTGAGAGTTCTCCCGGATCGTTGATTAGCAGGAGAGTACCTATGAGAAATGTGCCATTAATGGTGGTAACACCGTGGCTTCGATTTTCATCTCGGTCGTTGCAACTTTGTATTCGATGCTATGAGTACGCATGCGAATCTGTGACCCTGCATCTTATTTAATTTAAACATTTAATCTTTTACTTTGAGCTGTGATCGCGTCAAATAACTTTAGCATGTAATACATTGGCAATTCAAAGAGGAAGGCATTGCAGCAAGTAACTATGATGATAGGAGGACTGCCGCAGTGGTGGTTTACAAAATTTCAATTTAAACCGCAATAGAGCTGTCAATCAAGTGTTGATGAGGAAGATAGACCTCAACAACAGGAGGTAGTGGATAATTTTCAAGGCAAAGGGGAAATTGGTTTGCTAGCTAGGTTCTCTAATGTCTGATGTAAGTAAGGGATAACGTGTCCAACTGCTCCATTCGCAATAGGTAGATCAACAAGAATAACTGGGACCAGAACTAAAGATAGTTTCCATGATGGACTACTGTGGGATATGAAGTTGTTGCTGCAACCACCTAATGCTAAATACGCAAATTTTCGTTAATATCACTTTATTTGGTACCATTAAACCTAAAGCTACGTTTCCAGTGATCCATTTCTATGCATTGCGAATTTCCCCCAAGCATCCCATTACCGGATGGCTATGTCCTCTTGATTAAAAGATATTCATTTAAAAATAGTATTTTTGCTGATCTATGTGGGTATTATTGACCAGCAGGTCCCAAAACAGTATGAAGCAGCAAAACATGGTATTTTTATGCAAAATGAGAAGGCAAGCGTACTTAGCATAGTGTTTTGGGGTGTTACAGGGAAACTTCAATGCCGAGGAAGCAACGGGGTGACAATCCTGCCGACGTACGAGGGCTATGAGGTGGAGAAGGGCACACTATTCAAGTACCTTGGTCGAGCGTGGTCCACTGCAGCGCACGAGGGAGGCAACACGAAGACGCGTGTGGGCTGCTGGTCGGCTTTCTCACTCCCACAACGTACTCCCGAGCCGGGCCGACAACTGCTAAAGCACTATGCCAAGCCCAACGCCACTCTCATAAACTCCTCCCGCTGGTTTGCCTACCCTATCTTCTCTGTCGTCCAGGTAAGACCTCACGCTGTCTTCCATCTGTCACCTTCATTGGCCAGTCTGGTCTCTCTTCCTGTCTCACTTACCCTAAGATCTAGCTCCAAAACAATCCACGCAATACTCAAGTAAGTGATACTTTTTAAATGCAAATTTTGGAAACTGAATGCTGGCACTTCCTGAAATCACTCAAGTCTTAAACCTACTGATCAACTTTCTCAAAGTACCGTTACAGTTCTTGGAGATGGGTTGTGGCTGAAGAGCGCCTGTGTCGCCTTCATACACTCCCGGCCAGCACCATGTATGTGGGACGGGTTTTTTTCTCAAATCATAGTGTAACTGACTGCTTCAAATCGCATCACCAACCGACTGGAAAATTTCAAAGCCATAGTACAGGTGAAAGATGTTCTTTTCTAGGGATCATATTTAAAAACAATTTCAGCAGTTGAATTTAAGACGAAGTGCACAGTGCTTTCTTTCCCCTTGAGACCCTGGAAGCAAAGTACAGAAGCCTAAAAATTGAAAGTTGGAAATCAATTTTCTCTTTCTGTAGAATGATCTGGAGAAAGCATATGGGAAAATCCTACTAACTGATGGCCTTATTTACGTCAATTCATTGGAAAGTCTTGCATCCAATATGGAGATGGCCCTCATTGGTGGTCACAATGCGGCTCTTCTAATTGCCCACAGCGAGGACTTCACAACCTTCGATCAGTAGTGCTACCACCGAATTGGATTCTGAAGTACTTTCCCCACATGGGTGTAATTACGAGGTAGTGATGAAATCATTGAGGACATACTGATTGGTTTAAGAGTCACGAGTCTATTTGTCTACAAAGTTTGATTCAATGCAATTTGTGGACTGTTCTGTATCTTGGGGGAACGGGTGTGGTTTTAGCAAGGCTTGGGATTTTAATGAACTGATTGATACATCTTGGAGGCTCGAAGCACGTACACCTTCTCAAGTATTATGCAGGCTCTAAGGGTAATCCCTGAAAGATATTGCTGTAGTGGTTTTAATGGGCTTTTGGCCACGCATAATCTTTATTCTCCCTATCGGTGTGGTTTCATGCCTTTCTATTACGCTAAAAATAGACTATGCTACTTCGCCTTGTTACGGTCGTGCTGTTAGTTGTGAGATCCTATGACCCAGAGCGGTAACAGTCGCGCTGGCTAAAAATCCGATCCTTGTGCAGCATGAAACGCTAAAGCTTATTAAAACCCTCCGGCCAGGAAGCCGAGTTTATCATTTTGGTAGTGGTTTGCTAGGTGAGCAACCCACTGGTAGCAGGATTACGGGCCGCCACAGCGACGTCAGGTAGTAGTTCAAATTGGCCGACAATGAACGACTTAAACAGTAGTCAGAAAGGATGCAGAGCGGAAGCCATGTGAGAATGAGCAATAGCCACCGTCACTAATGTGCAGCGGCTTAGGTAACTGCTGCAGGCCACGTCCATGTGCTTATCGATATTCTCCAAAGGTCAAAAAAATAAAGTAGTCAATTTGAGAAGAGCAAGTTCTAGCTAAGCATCTCTTCTCAGATATGATGTCACTCAGCCAGTTTGGTAACCAATGGCGGCTTCCGGGTAATTCACAGCAGACAAATAGTTTACAATAGAGAATGCCACAGAGCCAAAAGAATTGCATCACCCGGGGGCGAAGTGTGGAAAAATCACTGAAACACAAAGACATATTTTACTATACAAAAACTACCATCGACAGACTAGACGGACTGGTTATGTTTTTAGCGAAAAATGCACAAGAGGGGCAAGGGAAGACATGTTATATCTTTAGGGAATGAGGGAAAATACGACCTAGATAATACCCGAAATTTCTCGAATCATGAGTATCATATGGAATGGACCGGCCGCATTGTGATACTCAATGAAAAATTCGATGGCGATACCATTGAACAGAGCAGAAGGAAAGTGGCAAAGTAGAGAAGCCAAAGGCACACCCTGTTTAAGCGCTCAGATATTAAGCCACGGGATCATGAAGGGTAGTGCGATGGTTGCTTGACTCTCGATTTTGGTAAAGGGCGAAATTGTGGCTTGGACATCGCACCTTCACTGGGTGGGCTGGCCTCCGGGTCATGTCAACAGCCCCATCTCTATTGTACGCTGGATACATATATTCTGCCTAGGTATTATGCCTAGTTTCATCTACAGGGAAGTCTCGGGGCACTGTGGATGATTAATGGCAGTAAATTATAGTAACAAACTGCACTATGAATATTAAATGCAGATTGTGCAAGTGAAATAACCACTTAACCACAAGGATTGGATTAGTTCATATTGTTCAAGAAAACTGCTTAGAATTCAAGCAGCTAAAATACGAAACATACTACTGACTTGCTATTTGGTTCATATGTATTTCAAGGAGAAATTGTTTTTCTTTTTCGATATGACCTTACACTCTACTGTGTCTTCTATTCGGCGTGATTGACAGGTGCTTTCCGAGGTTGTTTTTTGCTTCTGCTTTATTTTGTTAGGCAATTGTTCTATAAGTGCAGTTCTAGCTTTGAGAACTGTTATTATCATTTATTGCTTAGGTGTACGCGGGTATCTTCATTATTCACGCTGTCTTATGCAAGCATCGTATGGTAGAAATATATCCTCGAATTAGTGCGTCGCACTTTGGTATATTTTGTGGTGCAGGTACTGATAGATGGGTGGAATTTCTTCCAATTTCCACCGACTAGCTCGTGTTTTCTGTTGTCCGCGGAAATGACGTGCTTTCAAGTGGTATACTCTTTGTTAGGCAGTCCTCTTTGCTGTTACGCCTGCCGTTGACCGTTGTAGCATGCACATAGTATCTATTTTCGTAGCCAATTATCTCTATCAAATAATTTTATTTTTTAGGGGTAGATCCCTGCCTCTTTGTGCAATGGTATTATTTGGTACGACTTCTATGAAATATTTGCCGAATTTCAACGCAGTGTCAATGAAACTAAATAAAACTCTAGGAGTGATTGGTTTGTCCTTATTAAAAATGCAGTTAGGTCTAGTTATTGGTGATGAAATTCTCCGTGGGGATGTTGTTGATACCAATTTCGCCTTTGTTGCACAACAAGCTCCCTCCTGTGGCCTAAAGTTGAAAAAGGTTTCAATTATTCCCGACGTTGTAAAGGTGATATCAAGGGAGATCCAGAAGTTTAGCAGAGAGTACGACGTTGTTGTAACGTCTGGTGGCATTGGAACGACACATGACGACCTAACCTTCGAAGGTTTGGCTCTGTTTACTTCAAATACTTTGTAACTTTAATTTTTAAAATGTTGCCACCAATTATGCAGTTTGAGACCTTACGCCTTCATGTTACATAATACACAAAGCAGATCGTATCAGTATTCTTCTTGAATGCCTCCTGCATATATATCATCTAAGCGTTGAGTCAATGCCTTCTTCTGAATAGCTGTGGCAGATGCTTTCGGAGAAAATTTGGTGCTGCACCCCTCTCTGCTGAAGTTTGTTGAGACAACATTTGGTTGTAAAGCAATGGAATTGCCACAGGACGATCATCGATTGCGATTGGCTCGGGTACCAGCTTCGTCGAGGTTAATTTATGGTCAGGACCCCGAGACGTGCCTCCCATCGGAGTATCCTGTGCTCACTGTGCGCAACGTTTTCGTCCTCCCTGGTTTACCGCCCTTCTTTCAACTCGGCTTCACCTTCATTAAGGTTCGTTCTCTCCTAGCTATATCTGAAGGGGATGCACACTGACTATTTTCAGCCGACTAATCTTTTGTGAACGCCTACCACGACACTTTATTCTGTAATCGGCTTTCTTATTTAAGTGACTAAAATATCGGCTTCACGTAAGGAAAGTATATTAGCGATTTGTTTGCAATTGGTTGGTTTGCGTGCCCTTTAAAATTGCCTGATTATCATCTTTGTCTATAGGCGTAAGCAAAAAATGCCTTTTTTGTTAGTGTTCATGCTGATCGATGTTTGCGAAGTTAAACTTTGGTAATTTATGCAAAACACTGGTCAAAATGTTCTAAAGTTAGGTTGTTGAAATGGACAAACTACGGAAAAATATTTCAGAATATCACTCACTACGTAATGCTCATTAATATGCTTTGCTATTTTGGTAACTGGTAAATGTTTGGTGGATAAGACATCTTTAGTTTTTAACTATTTGCCGCAGAATCACAATAATTTTAGACCATAGTTTTCGCACCCATTCTATGTTAGTAAATAGTAAATAGTTACAAAACTTTCGACGTTTCGTTGTCAAACCACTGTTTGAACATTAAATGCTATTCACTTATCACAAAATTAATCGGATAACATTAATGGATAACATGTTTGCTAGAGGAAAATAGGTTAGCATATTGCGTTTGAAATAGCATCAGTTGTTTGGGTGTTCCATTCTTTCTCCACATTCGAATCTACCAACAACAGTCATAAGTTGCCTTATCAAGTTTTCCATGTGCACGTTTCCATGCCCTCATGTTCGGGATATGGCTGTATTCGGTATAAGTCATCTAGATTACATCCCGGTGTTTTTATTCAGTGGAGGTAGTTTTCCATGTTTTGGCCCTCACGAATAGCCAATCGTGCTTCTTCATGTTTATTTGTTTATTCGCTTTCTCTACCGCGATCTCATTGGTTACGTATGTCTTATTACGCCTGTCGGTTGAGTGATGGTACAGTCAATCGTCATTCCCCTTTGTGGGCGTCAGTATGGCCTTCGATGAACTTCCTGTCTCTCGTGTCTCTTTTTAACGTTTCAAATCATACGCAGACCAGCTAAGTGTTTTCTAGACTTCAGGTCATATTCAATGAGGTCTGCAATTTCTGTCTCACTTGTTCCTTAATTTCCCTCGAATTTGCTTAGGGTCGGCTTTTCTTGCTTGATAGCCATACATCCGGGATCCAAATATGCACTTCTTTGACAGAAACTTCTATAGCACCTCGGAGGAGACTCACCTCGCCAAGCGTCTGAGCGACTTCGCGATGGAGTTTAAGGAATCTGTTCTTGTTGGATCTTACCCGGTTCAAAACAACCGGTATGCTTTCCTCACACAATTGTGCTCCTTAATGGCAACTTTTCATTCTTCCCTTTCGTGCTTGTTTTTTTTCCGAGAGATTGGTTTGACTTGCAAGATTTTTACATGCGAATATTGTCAATGGTATTAAAGTGGCTAATGCTTTTTCTTAGGTTAAATTTGTGCAAAAAAAAAGATATATGCTATGATGGAATCCATGTTATTATCTTTTGTTTATTCTAAAGGACTAGTTATTTTGAATACAATGGAACTACCTGTGTCGTACGGTACCAACTGATCTGAATAAAAAATACTGAAGCACGTCCATGGACATTACATTTCACCGTCCATCAAAAGTTGTATTGAACAACTTCCCACATTATTGGTTATATAAAACTTAATTATTTGTTGAAGGTATTACAAAGTTCGCATTTCCCTTGAATCTCAGGACAAGCGATCGCTTGAAATCGCCCAATCAGCATTAGAGAAGCTACTGGGAAATGGTACGTGTCTTTTGCAATTATTATCGAATCTGCACGTTCTTGAATGTGACCCTTTTCATTTGAGCTGACACCAAAGGCCCAGTCGTTTTGTAGAGTTAGTCGCTTATGACCCAGATCCCGTGTCTAGTGCAGCGAAATCCGTGTATGGCATGGCAGAAGAGGATTCTGATTTTGGCCAAAAGCTCAAACACTCAATAGAACTGATTGAGAAGGCACTCCAAGAGTATGGGTAAGGAAAAATTCGTCGGCGATGGGTAGATTCGAGCTTATTTTGACAGAAAGGAAGATTGTATCGCCTTTTATTAGAACTGAGGATATCGTTCTCAGCTTCAATGGGGGTAAGGACTGTACAGTCGTTCTCCATCTGCTCTTTGCTGTGCTAAACAAGGCCACTGGTTCGGTGGGGACCAAACATCCCCGCCTCTTTTACGTCCGTGCGCAAACTCCCTTCCCAGAAGTGGAGACATTCGTTCAGTCCGTGCTGGTCTTCTACAAGTATCAGCCAGCCAATATCGCTCACATGGGTCGAAGCAGTGCTGATTCTCAAATGAGACCACCGTCTAACCTGATAGTCTACGATGGAACAATAAAGGAGGGCCTCGCGCGGCTGAAAAAGGAGTCGCCTAATCTGAAGGCTGTGTTCGTCGGGACTCGGTTCGGCGATCCGCAGACTGGTAAATAATTACCGTTGGATGTACTCCTGCATATACTCATAAGGCCCTTCACCTTTTTATATTCGGATATTGGCCTTTATAAAGCCGTTTTTAAGCGAATTTGGTTCTGCTTTCAGTGGAGTTTATATTTTATAGTGTTTGGGCAGTTTCATTTTCGTGTCAGTAGGATTACATTCATGGGATAAAATCGAGTTTTACGTGCCCAGTACACCCAAACATAACTTGGGCGTTTTTTGCATTTTTGCGTTAAAAAGGCGATTAGATAGGCGTCACGCTTTAGTTATTGCTTGAATTCCGCCGTTTATGATACAAATTAGGGAAATGATTTCGCAACTTTTCAGTTTTACTATTTTTACCAACAAGTGTTGAGGTCGTGCTTTTAACAATTCATTGATTAGAAAATTTTAGGAGGAGCAAGCAAAGCCTTTTGACTAAACCCTTCTTCCAGTGACCTTTAAGCTACTATACTGAGCTAATTGGATAGTCTGTTCGAGGGTTGTGATTAGATATGGGGTGTGGATTTACCTCGTAATTGCCCCTTTTAAAGTTTGATTCGAATTCCCGCCATTTAACTCTTTTGACATCTTTATAATACTTGAGTAATAAATTGCGAAAATAGCGCGATAAATTAAAGCGCAGTGTTTTTCTTTTGAATAGTAATTTATACAGGATAGCCAAAAGAGCTGCATTCTACAGTGTTGTTCATAGGTTGTTTTCCCCTTGTATTTCTTAGACGGGATTGTAGAGGTAATGCCGACGGACCCCGGGTGGCCGGAGTTCATTCGTGTCCATCCCATTTTGCAATGGGACTACGCCGATGTGTGGAAGTTCATTCGGAGCCTCAGCCTTCCCTACTGCAGCCTCTATGATGTTGGGTGAGTTGAAACACGTGAATATGTCATTTCATACAAATGGCTCTTTGATGCTCATGCTTATGAAGCGGGAATTCATCCATTAGGCATGGCCAAACGTCCTGATGAAGCACTGTTTTAGGCGGTTTGTTAAATCGGATTTTCTTTGCTATCAGAAACTCTGTATTTTGTAACCAAGCGGCAGCGAAAAACCCAAAAATTTTCATTTTACATCTTTTCATGCCTAACATCTAAATCTTTTCGTTCGAATTTAAGATAAAAATTACTCGAACGCTGTGACTGTATACGTAAAAACTTCAGCTTCATAAATTGAGGTCTTTTTATTTCTGGGATATGATTTGTTGCCTGACTCGTCCAAATTAGTTGTATTAGGACAATATTTAAAACTCGATCATTCGGGTAAGAACGATTTTTTCTTGGCTGTCGGTGGTAAAGATCTCAGCCCCGAAGTCTTCGTCCCTCAGATTGCCTTGGTGCGATCGGGACAATAGGGGCACTCACACTTATTCTTGCGTAGTTAATAAGATTTAAAGAACTAGCATTACCAATAGAGCAGAAACGGTTCACATTTCCAGAGTTTCGTAGTGTTTCCGAGAATGCATTGTACTGCCTTAATTATCCACTTCTGCTTGGCTTAACAAGTATTTTTAGTGAATAATTATCACTTGCCACGTATCCAACAACATTCCCAACGCTGCGTTCTACTTGCGTTTGCCAATGAACGCTCCCCGTAAAACATTGTTCCTCCTATTATTTTGATTGTTACCTTCCACTCACGCACCTTAATTGGAACACTCAATAATTTCATTCAATGTGGATTCTAGCCAATATTTGAACATGATGTTGTGTGGTACCGTGCTGTCTTCTATGTCTTCGTCGGAAATATCTATTCGTCACCATCGGTGTCATTTAAGGGAGGAGTAACTAATATTAGTAAAATATACCGGTTGCTTCAGATACACGTCGCTAGGCGGTATGGAGGACACTCACCCCAATCCCGAGCTGAGATCCGTCGACTCAACAGGGCGTGTCACCTACCAGCCCGCATACACCCTCAAGAACTTCTCCTTGGAGCGCTCTGGTCGTGCTACGTCCGCCTCTTCCAAGTAGCTTTTGCAGCCATTCCTCAGGTAATCTTGGAATTTACAACAGTCATACGCCTGCACTCATCAACCCTTACATTGACGTGTGTGTGTCTGAGGGAACAGATTGCATGCAATTATGATGATGGTGTATTTTGGAAGGAGCAAAAGATATGACACATGCGCAGTATTAGTAGGGAGACGAAAAGACAGACGGAAAGGGAGGCGAGAAGAGGGAGAGAGGCACTGTTCTAATATGGTCTACTCCACGTCCTTATAACGTGAGTAGAGAGTGTAGAGGAAGCGCAGCGTGGCCTTGAGGTCACGCCGCAGCAGGTCGTCGGCGCGTGTGCCTGCACCGGGCTCGATGCCCTCGGCTTCCTGCATCAGCTGCAGCACCAAATGCAGATTGGCCAGTTTCTGCTCGTTGGTCCGTGGTGCTAGGTGGAACTTGTGCAGCGGAATGAAGTAACCACCCAGCAGCCCCATCAACAAAAGGAAGTACACTCCATCGTCCATCTGGACACAGGAAGAGAATTAGCCCTTTCACATCAGTTGCTGTACTACCGGTTGGGCTATGCTTCCGGCATAAGACTGTTGATCCAGCTAAACCCCGTTGAATTTGGACGCTACTTATTACCAGGGTCATGCATTTTGACAATTATATGCTCTTCTCCTGTAGGTAACTTTTACCCTACAATCCCTACGAACGTGCCATTTAACGCCATCGGGTCGCCACATCTCACCGTCTTTGGGCCTTTGATTCCTAAACTTAAACGTAGATAATTTTGATTAGTTTACCAATAAATGCGTTCTGCATTTTCTAGCTAATGTAACTTCAACCTTTTGTCCTCATCTCAAGAAATGGAATAACGCGGCGCTGTATATTTACAACGTCCTTAATCGTTCTTAGACTGTGTTAGTGAAATAAACATTTGTAAACCATTTCTTTTTGAGATAACTGACTAATGTAGGGGCTCAAATACCCTAAAAGAAGCGTCCGTAGCATAGCTGCCGAGTAACTCTCATGATGAAATGGGCTAATGGTTGGGCAATGGAATGCATATGTATGGGGCATAAGTTAAGCCTCTTGGCTCTCAAAAAGGAACCGGCGCGGAGCGGACATTTCACTCCGCAAATGCAGTGCCATTACACGGACCTGTCTCTGCAAATCGGTGACGACGATGTTGAGCTTGCCAAGGTGCTGATTGACAAATTGTAGAAGGATGCGCTGAAACGCCCCCAGTTTCTCAGGCACTGCGCAGTCCACCAAGGCACTAATTGCATCACGCTCCATCGATGCATCTGAATTAGGGAACACTTAGGTTAGTGATTTGTGCACCGTCATTGTTTTCTGTCGTTTTCACCAACTTTTGCATCACAGATAAAGGTACTAAAGTGTGTCACATGTCAGGTTCATTCCATTGGAGGGAATTCGTTGCATGGAACACCTGATACATCCTATGGCCATTTCACCATAAGGTAGATGCATAAACAGGCTTAGCTTTCTAGTGTTTTATCAATCCGAAGTTCTGTGAAAACGTAATCTGATGCGGTTTGAACTTTCTAAATAACTAAGGGCGGAAGCGTCTCTGCACTACGTTAAATGAAAACTAAGCAATGTGAGTGTAAAGCTCAGCGATGCAGCCCTGCCCACCGGTGGTGTCGGCGGCCTCGGTGATGACCTCCACCTGTCTGCGGTGTTGGAGGATGCCGTTAAGTTTACGCACGATGACCAGAGTGAGTTGACAGCTTGGAGGTAGGCGGACGTCGGGGGCGAAGCGTCGAACCAAGGCCACCAGTAGGCGCAGTATAGCCACCAGGTCCTTTGAAAAGATCGCTGCAATCGGCCAATTTTTTGCAGCGTAGCTATCCGGTACTCCTAGCACGTTATTAATCTCCTCAAGAACAAACTGAAATCGAGAGCACCACATAAGCTAAGTATGAAAGAGGAGCACTTTAGGAGGTAGTACATGAAATCTCGCTTTCCAAAGCAAGTACAGAAGCAAATGGTCCCCAATAAGATGTATATGGACTGTACTGATAAAAGAGTCTTTCAGATTTGTGACAATTATTCACATTTGAAATACAGTTTAATAATAAGAGATAGAAGACGAGGATCCTGCGTCTATGAAACAAGTCAACCATCTTTTGTATTGCTTAAATGCGTGATTACGCTCCAAAGTCGTTTAATTATTATTATAAACCTAAATACAATGTTAATGCAGTAGGAAGATGGGTGCTATTTGTAGAGCACACGGCCGATTATACCTTAAGTCTTTGACGCTGCCCCATTTCCGTCTGGGTGAGTTCGGGTTGGTTAAGAGAAGAACCGGTGAGCTTCTCGAGGAGTTTCTGCAAGACCTGCCCGTCGTATAGATCTGCCTCAATGTCTCGAACGAGAATTCTCTCGTCAATTAACTTCTTATTTATCCATTCAATCAATGTCTGTATCAGCTCCTTCACAAGCGGCTGCTCCTAAAATTTGAACCAAGAAATGTGGAGCGTACAGAGAGCTTTTTATAATTTAGTTCTTTGTGAAAATAACTAGTACAGTGACAACTTAAAGTGGTTAATTATACTATTCTCGGCGACATTTGGCGTCGTGAGTAATGGCGGAGATCGTGGATATACGAAAAGACAAGTAAAAACATGAAAAGTCGAAATTGATACAGAGGTGGGTGATGGCAGACATTAGAAGCTGAGCGTACCTTAGAGTGAGGCTCGAGCATGGAGCATTCATCGCCTTCGGCCAGTTGATAGCCGACGGGTCCGATCTCGGGGGTGATGGGCATGAGGGGGTCCTCCATAGCCTGACGGGCCTCGGAAGCGAGCGCCTCGGCCTCTTGCCGTCGTCTACGGACCCGTGACATGGTGTTCAGTTTGTCTACCAGACTCATCGCATGACCACCTCCACTACCCTCGCTGCCGACGCCGCTCTCCCCACCGCCTCGCGTGTCACTGCCGCCATGCATGTATGGACTGGCATGATGCATCGCTCACTAAGGGCACACACCGACTAGTACAGCCGTTTGTAGAGCGTTGAGAGCAGCCTTGTATTATGGCATTACCCTTTGCTACTTGGGTCATCACCATTACTTCATTAACTATTTCAGCACCAAGGTGATTTATGGAAAGCATCTCGCCGACTGCGTCAACGGCAAGACTTTAAATTATGTATTTCACATGCCTTATCCGAACTTGGTACAATGGGGTTTTTACCCTGCCTTCCGCACTGTACGGTGTTGCTCAAGAGAATAATCACAAAATGCCCCGATAAATTGTACTTTTCAGCAGCACATCCTACCACTAATGTTTTTAAACGCTATTAAATTACCATTCCTAAGTATAACGAATTCTCTTTACTCAACGATTCACTCGGGGTACAGAACTAATTATTCGTTAAATCGAGCCCATTAAAACCCGAAACATTCCTATGAATTACGAGCACTACCCAGCGATCGTTTACGTGAATATGTCTACTAAACCGAAACCGATCTGGACGAGGATACCAACATGAATTTCATGCCGCATGGTCAGGCTGCTGTGTTGCAATAACCACTGTCCCTTGGTACATGAAAGCACTCCTTGAAAGCCGATTGGTTGCGCACCGCGACGTCGCCAACACGTAGCCACGTGACAAGATGAGCCTCTCTGTCGCACTCCTCAACCGTTGGTCTACTTTTAGACCCTAAATCACTACTGCTGCTGCCGCACCGACATGTGCTCAACAGTGTAGAGCGCAGATCTACTCCATCGGTGTCAAGGGTCATCCTGCGCAGATGGTAGATCACGGATCCAAGAGTGTTCGGGAAAAACCATTTTGAACGATTGAAATATGAAGGAATGAAAAAGCAAACTAAAATACAGGACTCTACAATCCTCGATGAGGAAGGGTTTGCAAAGTACCCACGACTGAACTAAAAACCGAGCGTGAATTAACGAAAAGCACTTACAATGAATGTCAATTACGCATCACGATGTCGCCTTGAGGCCAGGGCATTATAACAGGCCATCCACCCAATTCCCACATTTCGATCAAGCACACACCAAACAAGGGGGTACAAGCCTAACCTGTCATTAAAGTGAAAGCATTTCCTGCTACAATTAACCAAACGGACCCTGATTACCCATGTGAAACATATTCTAATTTTGCAATCTAATTTACGAAACCACTGGCCAACGTTCTCAGAGCAAAACAAAATAACGTCAAGCAATTAAACATTGCCCCGATTAGGTCATGGACATGCCCATGCAGTTTGGCATGCAACGGAAACCATGCAAAGTAGACTGCTTTGGATTCTAAAACCAATTTAATAGAAGAAAACGGTTGAGTAATGATAAAAAAGTGGCTGAACAAGAGCATTTCAGTTTGCTTTTTTTCCAATTCTCTCATCCATCTTACCCCCTGGGCTTGGAGTGGGGTAAAGTACCTTATCGACCAACCCAAACTGTGCGGCCTCCTCAGCTGTCATAAAGAAGTCGCGGTCCATCCACTTTTCTACCACCTACAACAAGTTTAACTTAACAAAACACTCCAATTCAGGGATCACTACAGAGAAAATCAATTACAGAAAGTAAAGCAGTTTTATCTAAATGTTCAGGTGTAGAGCGAAATCACACATCCAAATCCACTAGATCAAACTAGTCATACGTCTGTTAGAGTGCACTTAAAGTTGAAAATGGAAAACATTATTGCACTAAAGATGACTTCATACAAGTGACGAGTGAACAATTGAGACACTACGAAAGGATCTGAAAGCGACATCTAGTACGTTTGCTGCTGAGTTAATCATGGTTAGAAACAAATGGGCAAACGAAATACCACAAGCAGTCTGGAGCGGTAGACCCACCTCTAAGGATTGCTTTGTATGCTTAGAATACAGAGAGTTTAACAGTTTTCGAGTCTTGATAATTTCCTCAGCCTGAATTTGTATATCACTTGCTTGACCTTGTGCTGAGCCAGAGGGTTGATGGACCATAATGCGCGCATGTGGCAAAGCATACCTATAGCCCGGGGTACCAGCCGTTAGCAGAAGCGAGCCCATGCTACTCGCTTGACCAATGCACCAAGTGTAAATCGGCGGCTGAATGTGCTGCATTGTGTCATATATTGCCAGACCAGATGTGACCGACCCGCCGGGACTATTTATGTACAAATGAATGGGAGAACGTTTGTCCTCGGACTGCAGGAAAAGCAACTGCGCCAATATAAGACTAGACATCTCATCAGTAACAGAACCCATGAGACAGACGATTCTATCTTTCAGCAAACGCGAATATATATCAAAAGCTCTTTCACCAAGACCAGATTTATCAAGCACCATCGGTATCAGTGGATAACGTATGGTTGATGAGATGCTTAGCCAACGGACAAGTATGGACATACTTGGGTGAAAATAAAGATGACCAATGTGGTTAAACGTCTTCGAAAGGAATGGGGAGACCATTATGAAAAAGGCCCGTCGAAACCCAGAAGCCTACAAATCCCCAACGACCCACTTGTTCAATAAGGGTGAACAAAGTAATATAGACTAAAACAAAGCACATCTGCAATGCCAAAATCATCAAAACAAGCTAAGCGAAATGCCGACTTTAAATTACAAAGTAAAAACACAATTTGTAAATAACTCAAATGCGCTTCTAATTGTGCCCACGGGGCAAGCCAATTGATCGCCTCAAATCAACCTACACGTGCCTGCTGCTAAACTCTTGTCGAAAAATCTGTTTTGCACTGTTGAAATATAATTGACATTAGTAACCTGGCGTTTCTCTCGTTACTGGCAGAGCTAGATAGTGGTTGAACATTAGTGCGTTTGAAGGAGACTCTGCATTAAATTGTATTTGTTTGCTATCTCACCAATATTACAATTCTAGGATATTATCATTGTGGTTATGCTTGCTTAGAGGATTCCGACAGCTACATCTTTTGACCAATGCAATTAAAGGTCACATTTCCGCTCTCGATTTTTAAGTTATTTAGCCCCATTGAGCCTACTTTTGTTTTTGGCGGGTTGGTCTTTAACCTTTTACCCACGCAGGTATGTTAGTTTTCATTCTTTTAATTATCCCACATACGGGGTTCAGTCAACTTTGTTGTAACTATGGCCTGAATGCTTGACCTACTTTGTTGATTTTTTTGTAAGGCGGTGTAGTTAATCCCCGTAGTGTTAGCGCTTTACCAAGTGATTTTTACTTGTACTTGATGCAGTTTTTATGCGCTTTTATGCCAGTTTCTAGGTGCCTAAACTCTGGGTTCTTGGAAAAATCACACAATATTCTTGTTAATTTAGTTGGTGTACCTTCTATGATCTACTCTATCCTGTAGTTTTCACATTTACAAACTCCTCATTTACTACCTTGCTGATGAGTTCTTACGCCTCTCCAACTAGTATGAGTGATGCAGAAGGGATTAAGACTTTTGTCTACACCTGGCTGCATAAATCACAGCGAAAAGTTCCGGAATACACCTTCCAGCAGCGCTCAATGGGTCGTGGACGCTTGCGCTTTATATGTGAGGTTGGTTGTTATTCTCCTAGCTTTACAACTGCTTTCAGCTTCGTGTAGATGGCTTTGCCTATATTGGTGTGGGCAATTCGGTTAACAAAAAGGACGCCCAAACCAATGCTGCACGTGATTTTGCCAGTTTTCTTGTCCGTGAGGGCTATTTGAAGGAGTCGGAAGTCCCTACTATCAGAGTAAGTTTATACTCACTACTTACGAATCAGGCTGAAGAGTACAGACATGTGGCGGACGAAGATAGGCATTGCGCCGCAATGTACCCATCTACGTCTTCCAGTGGTGCGATGCATCCATCGTATCACCCGCCTCATTTACAAGTTACTGAGACCGATGTGCCTGGTAGAGGTCCTAACGATTCTTATATAAACAGAATAATGGACAGAATAAAACTCGAGGAGGTAAGTTTTTTGCTTTCTGTGTAAATTTTACTTGAACTTAGGCGGAGGGGATTGACCTCACAGCTGATATTCACGGTGGGTGGTCAATGGAAAATTCAAAAGCCCGGTTGAATGAATATCTACAGGCTTCACGTCAACCGCCGGTCCAAATAAAATTCACATCCATTGGACCTGATCACAATAAGTAGGTTCTGTTATATTCTATGAAGCTGGTCCGGAATAGCTAGTGTAGTGGTTTGATAGTCGGTTCTAAAATACAATTAGATTTTTCAGTGGGCTGAATGTTTTTTATCCTTTAGCCCACTGGAGAATCATAAAAAATCAGTTTCGTCATCGGTCCGGTATTTATGCTTTCCGCATGGAATGCTTTTTCATAAGTCAAACGAATGCCTTAGTGACATTCCATGCGTGAAAGCTGGCGGGCCGGTAGATAACACTCACCATTATTCCATTTCAGCTTCATCAGCCGATTGGTTTCAGTCAAAATTTACTGTTTTGCAACCCAAGTAAGCCTTGTTTTTCTCAGTACAGTCTCACGCTGATTGGATATCTTCGTATCATCTTGCGCAGGTGTTAAATGAGGTTACCCTTTTCCCAGGACGAAGTTTACTTTTTGCCATTATTATTGTTTGCTCTCTAGGAGTTTCCTGGCTGAGGCAACTGTTTGGGCAAGACGTGTGAATAAAACACTTTATGCGCGTGAAAACGGATCAAATAAAACTATGGCGTCCCGAGCCTGCTGCCTTTCTCTCGTGCGACAGCTATTCCACGTAGGTGAAATTGAAGCCTACTGTGGTGAACGAAAAAGGAAGCGCTCTGACGATGTAAGTTGTTGTGCCCCAGAACACATAATAGGCCTCACATTTAAAAAAGCAATCCATTTCTAAATATAGCTAGCAGAAACGTCTGTATTTTTTTAATGATTGGCAAAGCAGACTTTTCATTTAGACATTGTTGGACACTTTAGTTACCACCCCTCGCAGTAAAGCTGAATCCAGACCTTGAAAACCGTCTTCATGCGCTGCTGGAACGATTGCATCTCGTGCCTAACCTCTCACCACCTGTACCTTCCCTGAAAACTAGTAGAACTGCTGTTGGTAGTTCTGAAGAGGAGCACAATATGATCACGAATTATCAGGTTGCTGATTTCGAACCACGTCCTCGTCAATCGGCCCAGTTAATTTCATGGTGCCCACCCATTGAAAACTGGAATCCCTGGACTGCTTACAACATCGACGAAGGCCCTGAGGTGCGTGCCCCGCTAGTGCGCCATTTGGTCGGACTTATTTTTGCACCGGCTTCTATATGTATGTTATTCTATTATGTTTTTCTGGATGTACGCTTTTCATTACGTTTCCCTTCCAGGCATTGATGTCTCTGGCCCAATTAAGTCAGACCTATAAGGAGCAGTATGAACGTCGCATCAACAGTCGAGGATATGAAGTGATAAGGGAAGAACGTAATTCTTTGCCGGTAGCTGCTTTCAGTCAACAAATCCTTGAGACTATCGCAAGAAATCAGGTCACTCTGATCAAAGGGGAAACTGGTTGTGGCAAGACTACGCAGGTGAGTGCGTCTTAGCTGCAGTGAGCGAACGTTGGGGAGCTGGCGTGTTTGCACCATGTCAAAAAAGTCGTTTTTGTAATGTTTTCCTGTATAGATACCTCAATTCATACTGGACTCGTATTTGGCGTCAGGCAGGGGCGCAGAGTGCTCGGTGTTGGTGACACAGCCGCGTCGTATCTGCGCCATCTCCTTGGCAGAGCGGGTGGCGAGCGAACGCTGTGAGACAGTGGGCATCTCGGTGGGCTACTCGGTACGCTTTGAGACGATTTTGCCTCGGCCCTACGGTTCTATCCTCTTCTGCACCATTGGCACCCTCTGTCGCAAAATGGAGGCGGGCATCCGTGGGGTCTCACACATCATCGTCGACGAGATTCACGAGCGTGACGTCAACACGGACTTCGTGATGATTCTCATGCGCGATCTGGTCCGTGCCAACCCCTCCCTTCGTGTCATCCTCATGTCCGCCACTATCGACACCACCACCTTCACAGAATACTTCGACAACACGGCCATTGTTGAACTCGAGGGACGAACCTATCCGGTTTCGTGTAGGACATTTACATAATACTATGCTCATTATGCTAGTTTTAGCCACTTTCAAGACACCGTAAAATTTATCTGATGTTAATTCAACAGAATATTCTCGGAGAATTTGAATTCCAACATGGGGACGGCTCACATGAAGTGGGCTTTGGAGTACACCTTATTGATTGTTATTAGTCATTTTTAAGCACCAATACATTGGTAATTGACATCAGCTTCTAAAAAGTCTTTCACGTCATTGATTTACCATGATTGTGGCTTTCAAGCTCTGTTGCTTTCAGTTTACTAATAAGGTTTTAGAAATCTGTTCTTGTAACTCAAACCTGATACCGATAAGGTACGCTCACCTACATCCAGTTGGTGAAACAAGGTAATACTGCTTTAGGTTTCTACTTGGAAGATTGTATCAATATGACAAACTACGTGCCGCCGCCCAATTACAATGAGAAGAAGAATAAAAAGCCACGACTGGAGGAGGAATTGACCATGGAGACGGAGGAGAACTGCAACTCCATTTGTCCTCCAGGGTATCCTCCTTCGGTGGCGGAACGCATGCGCCAGATTCCAGAAAAAGAGGTTCCCTTCACCCTCATCGGTAGTCTACTCGAGTGCGCTCCCAGCTATTTTGCGTCTGCATTATTAATTCATCCCGTTTAAAAATACATCAGTAAGAAATAATTTTCAACTTTAGGTACATATGCAGAATGAATATTGACGGTGCAGTCTTAATATTCCTGCCTGGCTGGAATACAATAAGCATGTTGAGGAAATACCTTCAGACGCATCCTTGCTTCAGCAATCCGAACGAGTTCCTCATTTTGCCGCTTCACTCACAGGTGCCTAGGGAAGATCAAAGACTTGTTTTCCGACCTGCACCTCCTGGTATTCGAAAGGTACATTCTGCCGGACTTCTCCCAGACAGCTGCCAGTACACTCTTTTCAGTTTTTGCCTGGCGGTTCTCGAATCGTCACATTGCGTAGTAAACCTAGGCGCGTAGGTTCCCATTAATCACCATCAACCTCACTTCTCTTCATTTTGCATGTGGATTTAACTTATGAGCACTTTCCACCTTCAATTATATTGATTGATGAAGCATAAAATCGGTAAAATAGAATGGCATATCTGATTGTTAAATCAAGTTGAGGTTATGTGTTGGCATCGCGTGATTATTCCAGAAAGAATTGTCCTCGCCTACACATCAAGGAAAAGTAAAAACTAAATTCATTGCGCTAGTTTTGAGCTTATCATAATTGCTTGATTGTTGAACATATTTAAAGCTCAAGTTCATGGATTTGCAAATGAATTGTAATCCTTGAGTTACAATTAATTAACTGTCCAACAGCTTTATACCCCTCAGATTCAGGGTTAGTAAAGCTCTGATTATCTGCTTTGCTCCATACGCAGATTGTCCTCTCCACCAATATAGCCGAGTCCTCGATTACCATTAACGACGTGGTGTTTGTCATTGACACCTGTCTGGCTCGAGTGAAGATGTTCACGGCGCGAAATAACCTGACCAGCTACTCTACGATGTGGGCAAGTCTTACTAACTTGGAGCAGCGACGAGGTCGTGCGGGTCGGGTGCGGGCAGGATTCGCATATCATCTTTGCAGCCGGGCGCGGTTGAGTCGGTTGGAGCACTACGCCACTCCTGAGATTCTCCGCACTCCCCTCCATGAACTGGCCCTCATGATCAAGCTTCTCCGTCTCGGTGATATTCAGACCTTTCTTCGAAAGGCCCTCCAATCCCCTCCTCTCGATGCTGTTATCGAGGCGGAGTACACCCTTCGTGGTGAGATAGCAGAGCTTAAAAAGGTTCAGTAGTTTATCACAAGTATTTCCTCTAGAGGCGGTTTCGTAAAAGTGTCATCTTTTAGTTAGAAATTGCAGGACAACAAATGTAACACTCTCAGACCTAACAAACGAACTCATTTTTGTAGAGATGAAGGCTTTGGACTCGAATGATGAGTTAACACCACTGGGTCACATCCTAGCACGTCTGCCAATCGAGCCTCGGTTGGGTCGAATGCTGGTTTTCTCTTGCGCCTTTCGGCTGGGTGGCGCAATGGCGCTGGTCGCGGCACATTCTTCCTTCGGCTGCGACGTCCTCGCCATGCCACCGGATCGCCGACGCCTCTCGTGGGAGCAACTCCGTTTCGCTGCGACCACTAATTCCGATCACCTGGCAATGCTCAACGCCTTCCAGGTCTGGTCCACCAAGCGCGCTCAGGATGGCGATCAAGCGGCTAACTATTTCTGTGACGTTAGGGAGCTCAACGCCTTCTCCTTGCGCATCATCGATGAGGCCGCAAATCAGGTAAGCATCTCCAATGCGTGCTCTCTGTCATCTCCATTGTTGCACGACAGATATATTGTATAGAATCTAAGGGTGTTTCGTGCTGTCGTCGCACTTATGGTTATTGTTTTGCACTTCCCTAGTTCCTATAATAACTTGAAGAGCTTGACCGGCCCACATGACGTTGTACGTTTACTTTACGATTGACGCAAGTTTTTAATAAGTGAAATTATTCAGTAAATTACACGGAGTTAACAAAGTTATTTGTGGTTCTAACCTCATTAGTATTTAGGCAGCACAAAGCGACTACTTCTAGTATGGAGGCGAAAATAAATTGGATGGTCTCTTTCAAAACCGATGCTTTGCCTTCCTAACAGTGATACTTCATGAAATCAGTTAATTATTGTATTTTCGTGTTATTTTACCAGATTGAAAACCAAGCTACTTCTGATTGTACCATTTTACCCCTCAGATTTGCAATATCCTCATGGGTTTGGGCTTTCCCGAGTCAGTGCTGTCCGATCGTCTTATAAACTTTAACAACCGGAGCTGCTCAACTTTTGACTACGTTGCAGCAATGTTGACCAACGGTCTCTATCCCAACATCGCCTATCACGTGGAAAAGCGCAAACTTCTCACGGCTGAGGGTAAATGCGCGCTCGTGCACAAAGGTTCTGTCAATTGCACCAAGAATCCTACATTCGCCTTCCCCCTCTTTGCCTTCACCGAAAAGGTACACTCTCGCGCATTCTAGTTTTTTTGCAGTAATATGCACTTAACATTGTTTCTTATTTTCCATTGATTTGACAGATTCGAACACAGGCGATAAGCTGCAAGACCCTGACAATGGTCACACCCATTCAGTTGCTGCTCTTCGGTTGTCGACGGGGCGTCTGGAAACCGAAGTCGACTGGTTCGGAGAGCGCAAGATCTGACGAACGGAGGGTGGCGCTGATGGAGGAGGAGGGTGTTGTGTTACTGGACGATTGGCTGCCCTTCCGCATGCGATATAGCACTGCAGCCCGTATATTCGCGTTGCGACCGGCACTAGAGGCTCTCCTCGTACGGGTGTGCCTACGGCCCGCCTGCTTGGAGAATCTCTCGCCCGAGGACAGAAGTGTTATTGAGCTCACCAAGGAACTGTGTCGTCTCACTGCTCTGCGCGACGCAGCAACCCTCGACGAAGCAACTTGCGCTCGCTTCAACGCTGATCCAAGGTGCCCTCACCCCACTGACTCTCGTCGACAAATCGGGCCGCCCGAAATGAGCGCCACCAGTTTTGACTGGGACGAAAGCCAAAGTCTTGGCTGGGGCTATCGTGAATGGCAGGATGATTGGAGTCACACCTCTAGCAACGCGTGCGTATTTTCCTGATTTTTGCAATCCATTGTTCCTTCACTTCTAAAAATAATCGCTTTAATGTGTCACCTCTGCTCAGAGCATTTATTCGGTTTCGATTTTGTTGTGAATGGGGACTCTCCACTGGACAAGAATGGTGAATTTTCGAAATATCTTGAATTACACGCTGTTCAATTTCCAATATTACGACCTTGCCTGCGCATAATATTGAACCGTTGTTCATTTATTTTTCATTAAAGGGAATTACTTTACATTGGGACCTGAAACCAGCACATTAGTGGCTTGTTATCGTACATTTCTTTCTTCAAGAGGCCATCCACCCCCCTACTGCGTGCATGCGGGTGTCCACGGTACGAAAAGAGATTATCCGTGGCCGAATCGGGAGACTTACATCCCTCAAAATTTTGGTGATCGAAGTGGCTCCCTGCCACAATCTGCTGGGTACTATGCGGAACCCCCGCTGCGGCACGAGAAGCTTGATTACGGCTACGAACCGACGTTATCCAGGCCGCCAGGACCGCGGTCTTTGAGACAACCAAGACCACCATATCCCTACTGACTTGTAATATCGTTGTGAATTTTTCCCTTCTTCAGTATTGGTATGATTATTTACAAATTTGTGTTGTCATCACGGGAATCTAGTCCTGGCTGGGTGCCGTTGAGGTCGCATGGTGGGTGCATGGGGAGTGAGCCTTAGTTGCTGGTTGGGATGTGCGGCACGGGGCGGATCGCTGATGAAAGGAGCGGCAGGGTGGTGCTAGAAGGGGTTCGAGTGAAGTTAGCGCAACTTGGGATGTTAATGTGAGCTGGGTGAGTGCTTTAGAGAGTGGCCATCTGTGTCCGATTGTAAAAATTAGTAAATGGCATTAGAAAGGCAGGAAAACTGCTTCACTTTTCATATTAAAATCCCACTATAATGAATTTGGTGCCCCGTTTGAACAGGACAGCATCTACTATGGACAAAATGTCTAAACTAAATAAAACCTAAACATGCGATAACTTAATTTTTAATAGTGTTTTTAAGGTTAAAAGTTACGAGATTCATTGTAGAGGCAAACTCGGTCAAGGTAGCTAACTCCGGTAAACACAAGTGTACTTTTTTAGCCTGGGCAAATCGGCAAACTTGTAATGCTGCCCTGGGTGGTAAGTTACCACAGGTGTGCCCACCAGCGTTGTTTTTGCACATGATGGGTAGCGGACTAGTGTTTGAAGCTGGCTGTTGGCTGACATTGTTTCACTTTACTTCTACGCTTTATGTCAAGGGGTTCAACCAATAAACAGTTAATTCCGAATTTTTAATAAATAAATTATTCCTAAACATAATCAGATCTAATAGTCTCTGGCTCTTTTTATGTGGTCGGTTTTTTAAGCCATCAAATACACATACGAAATTGGCGGGTGCGCTCTTCGATCGTTTTTGTACTATATTGCAGTGATTGACTTGTTAAACCAGAACAAAATGAGCGCATTTTTGCTGGCATCCAATGTGCTTACCAATGAGGAGTCAGCGTACTGGCTGTGTGTAGATTGTTCTACAGTCAGACCCCGATTCACACATCATGAGCAGGAATCTGTTGTTGAAAACCAGGAGGATCAGTCTATTGTGCGTAGACACCCTTCTTTTTCACTCATCAATGATGCTCACAATGTATAGCCACTTCATCTTGCATATTGCTTCGTTGTAGAATGATGGGGATTCCTTGTCTGAAAACAATTGGGAAATCCTCGGAGATGAACTGAATATTTATATACCCGATGAAGTAGGTTTTCCCAGATAAATTCACTTCTTACCCATCTGATTTCTTTTTGCCTCGTGATTTTCCTTCCAAGACATCTGATGCTCTATTATGCAAGATACTACAAAACTTAATACTTCTCTCAAATCAAAAAAGACGTAAGACTCACAACTAGCTTTTCTGATATTTTAATTAATCCATGCTTCCAAAATTTTTATTGCTTATTTGCCTGATAATTGGGTGGATTGTCGTTCTTGAATTTCTAGCAACTGAGTGTACTGGCTCGTGCCTTTCCCGGTGTGAAGGCTTTTTCGCACTCCGTGTCTGTCTACGGACGCGAGTGCGCGCTCTGCTCAAGCCACCTATCTCCGGGTGCGTCGTCACTGGCAATCCTCTTTCCTTGTTGTTTTGACTAATGTCACTTCGCCCAGCATCCAAATCCACACTGATTTGTTTGAATGTTTGGCGCACACTAAAGTCCCTTCTCCAAATCGGACGTCTGACAGAGGTTTCCCAGTTGCTTGATATTCTGGAGCAATCACTAAATCAATTCACAAATAGTTGGTTTGCTTACTGTACTATGCAGAGATAAACTCTCTATACAGTGAGGCGGAATCAAAGCTCTGGTTTAGATCTTTAAGGGGAAAAAATATTTGTTGAATAGAATTATTAGTGCTTGGACATGGGTCTAGGATCCTCTGTGTTTATGCAAACTAGAGGAAAGTGGTAGCCTACTCCATCAGAACGTACGTCACGACTATAATTCTGTTAACGCGAATGGGGCTTATTCCAGTTGGTTCTACAATGCATGCACCTTCAAAATACTTCCTATTAGGATGTCAATCAAATGTGGAGTATTTTTATGGTAAACGCCCGGAGTTACAATATCTCTGTGGACTCAATCGAAGGGTATACGTCTCCCTTTGAATACCTTTTGAAGCACGACATCATATTCTCGACACGAAGCACATGAGGATATTTCTGAAACTACTGTACTTGCGGTTATTTTAGAACTTCGCGGGTTTGATTCTTCTGCGATGCGGAAATGTATTTGTAATCAGTTTGGGAACATTCTTGGCCCTATTAATTATAAATTCCCACTTATGATGCCTCACCGTTGTGCCTGAGAAACGTTTTGCTTTCCATGATCCAGATGATGCAACGCTTGACTTCTTTGATGGCAACTTCTACTGCTCTAATTGCCATCAGGGCCAAGAGGCCGTGATTCCACGCGACATCATCGAATGCTGGGACTTCACTCCAAAACCAGGTTGATCCCCTTTTCAACTCGACCACTTGTATTTACGGTTGATTTCTCCAAAATACTTTTCTTATTGTAGTGTCTTTCGCTACAAAAAAATTTCTTGATTCCATTTCGTCTCATCCGTTGATTGATATCGGATTGATAAACCCTTCCCTGTTTGCGTGTATTCCGGCGCTGTTAAACTTGCGACGTTTGCGGCGAACACTCTCCCTTCTCTGGTCTCTAGTGTCGAGATGCTCTAAAGCTACATCCCGCAGCCTAGTTTTGGCCCTGAAGAACCGTAGCTACATGTTGGACAACGTCGACACCATCGACAGATACTCCTTCCAGGTAGGTTGAACTTCTGATTTCGTTACATTCTGTTAATGTGCTGTTAAGTAATTTTAATATGCAGGACCTTCTGGATGTACAGAACGGTGATCTGGAGGAACTCATACAGGCAGCAGTCGACCAAGTGGCCTTGACTCATGTTACCTCCTGCTCTGGTTGTCGAGCATGGTTATCGTTTTGTGATATCTGCAAGGACGTGTCAAGACCGATTTGGCCTTACCAGGTCGCCCAATTCAGACGAGTAAGTTCTCGAGGACCTAGAAGACTTCTGGTCTGTGAAGTGGAGAGGCATGTTAGATTCTCACTGTCATCCTAGTGTGCCACTCCTGGCTGCCGACGGGCGATGCATTTCGACTGCCTTCTCCGGTTAAAAGATGAAAAAATAACTCCTGCGGTGAAATCATCTCATACAGTCAGCTGTCTCGATAACAATGTGGCAGGAAGCGCTGACAGATTCAGCTTGGATAACGGAAATTCAAGTAACAACCTGCCCCTTACGATAGAGAGGATAGAATTCCTGCCCCGCTGTATTGTCTGTAAAAACAATCTAAACGTTTCCAAAGTCAATTATTCTTCCATGAATTGATTACTTTATAGATTTAATATTTTACTACACTTTCAAACGAAATGAACCTTTCAGAATCCAGTGTTCTGCTTTTGGGTAGCTGCAATGAGAAGAGAAATCACAATAAAGAACGAGATTAGGGGTCTCCAGTGGGCTTGACGAAGGACAGTCGAGGAGGGGTGCCGGGGGAGTGTCCGAAACTGGAGGTACCTGGGAAGCGGAACCTCCCTGGTGGTCCGGCATTCAAGGAAGTAGGTGGGGCCGGCTCAAACTTAAGTAGATTGCCGAAGAGGAAGTGCTGCACTACCGGGAACTTGTTCAAAACCTAGCAGTAAAACATGAGCAGAGTAAGGAGTAATTCCAGAAAATAGGAATGCTTGAACATACCTCTCCCTTGTACATTTTGATCATTCCTGAATTAACTTTCTCCCAGTTAGGTACGCCACTGAGACTCTGGAGGCAACTGGAGTGCTCCGCAAAAGGGCCTGTCTTTACCTGATAGATGTAATTGATGCAAGAAAAGAGAAGGCATGAATTAGCCTCCTTTTCGGCGATCTCCTGATTGGGTAGAGCTGACGGCTCGTAGAGGCCTGTGCCTGTAATTTCGATGATTATTAAAAATATCAATAAAAGAGTGCCATACCGATAAGCTGACTACTTCCCCATATGTATGGAACGAATTGAAAGTCATCAAGACTCCAAACACCATGAGAGCCAGCTGGTTCCATTCTAAAGTAGGTCTGCAAATGACGCACAAGTCTGAGGTAAGCAGGTAAGATGTAAAGAGCTGTTGCGGCATAATCGTTGAGTTCCGCCGAGGACCCGCTTTGTGGGCCACGACCTGAATGTCCAATTTGCTTCAAATAACCTATTTTAAATAGCGATAGCAAGAAGGCCATGAATGAAAGCTCGTGGCCGGTGCCGTAGTCGATGCGAACAGGATTGCCGATAGATTCCGTAAGATACATTGTAACCTCGTCGAAGTTTTCTTGAAAATATAAAGCTCGTGAATAAAGGCATACACACCGATGGATGGTTCAATTCCCAACTTTTCTGCGCATATCCGAGAGGCATTTTCGCATAACCATGAATAATACTTCTGAAAAGCTTTATTTCCATAACGCTGGGGATTAACCTCCAGCGGCGTCAGTGCAACTTGAGCATCTAAGTGATCTAGAAGACCAATCACTTTTGAAGTGTTCTGGCAAATTCATGCATATATTTTGCGTACGGGTGATATTGTTTGCCTGTCATTGATCAGTTTTGCCCTTACGGCATAATTAACGCCTTCAATAAAATTTACTATGTTTGCGTAAGCAACAGATGCTGTCCACGCCCCTAAGTCTGATTGCGTTTGTATTCTCTTGGAGAGAACCATAACGATGGGGTACTGGGCTACTTTGGACTAGTTTGTGAATTTAGGCCAAGTGAGTGTGACTTTAAGACTAATTAAGCTGGCGCGTTAAATTCAAGCAACTAACTATAAGACTATAATTAGTCGAAAACTAGTCTACTAGCTCTGTCCTATAACACTGGCCACGTCTACATGTAATCAAATCAAATACTAAGAGTAATACGAATTTAGGGTATGAAATTCGTTGCATTAAGATAATGTGCATGCAACCTTCCAAGAGGGAAGATGTTAAAGATGGTATTTTATTTGATTTCTCTGCATTGTTCCGGAACTAGGATTGGTAAAGATTTGGATTCATAATTTAAACCTGAGATTCATGGGCAATTCTTAACACACATTACTGGTTCATGGAGAACAAATTTTCCAATTGTTTCCCGCTATGCGGCTTACTTATTTCGTTTTCTGCATACTTATTTACATACACTACACTGGAGCCCTCCGATACTTTCTTGAAGACGAAAGAGGGCAGAATACTAGGGGAGAATACGTATTATTGATGTACAGAGTTGATGGGGGCTACTGGTGTGGTCCAGAGGCTATGCTACCCAGCAAAAGTACAGAAAGGAAGCCCTCAGTGTTAATGAAACCAAAACAAGGCGTTAAACAACAAATGAAATTGCTAGAGTAACGTACAATTTTTGGATACGCCCTTTACGTAACACGCAAGCAGATTGTGTGAGTCTCGTGCTTGCGCATGCTATCGGATCTCGGGGAAAGCTGATCATAGATTTCTCATTAAAACTTTACTTGTAAGCTCCTCATATTAGCCATTTTTGCACCAGGTAGTTACTCCGTTTCGGTAGTTGGCTTATTGAGGAAATAAGTCCCTACAATAATAGTACGTTAGAGTACCGGATTTTCAATTTCTCTTTGATTCCTTGCTCATTATTAATGCACGAAAGCGAAAAAATAAGGCATATTAGCAAACATTAGAAAAACTGGCTTAAATCCACTGTCTAGCACAACTCAAATGACAAGATGGATAGCTTACTGAGCCAAGATCACGCATTGTAGCAATTTCAGCACTTACTGTAGACGTAACAGGCCAAGGTAGTGTAAAAGACCGTAGTTATGAAGCACAAAGTGACCGAAAAGCTACCAGCTTGGCCTGAAGACCATGACGCAGAGCAGAAGTACAGACAGCTGAGATTCCAGTGCCTGACTAGTTCAACAAACAATTAAACAAACATTATTGTGCCGCTCCCCCCTTCAGCGCCGTTCCCAACACTCGCCTCGGTCACTCTCCAACGTCAGCCGTTCACGCCTTGTCGGTGCCTTGAAGGTAACTCGCGAAGCAGCAACTTCAGCTGTTGAATTTTCTTAAGTATGATTACACATGTTTGCAAAATCACCGCATCTGAAGTTCCGTCTCATCCGTCAAATGTACTGGGGAAGAGGAAGTGCACTGCCTTAATGCTGCTCAAGATTTGATGATAAGGGAGATGGAGTAAGGGAAGCCAAGATATAAAACAGTTCTGTGGAGTTAAGGTTTTACACATATTCCTCCTTGCTACTTACCTACTCATCCGGACTCCCATCAGCTAGTAGAGACGTAGAGGAGGTATCGCTTGTTTGCGTAGTTAGCGATTTTGGTTTGGTGTTTAGTTTAACCCTGTGTTGGACTACTCCGGCACGTCAGTCCCCGCAGGCAGTGCTTTTGCTCTGAGACATGGCCTTCGATATTCCGGCATAGAAATCAAGATATTCTTCAGTTTGGATTGGATTCTGTTTATCCCTCTCAGTCACCAATGTTGTGTCCTAAAATCACAAGGCCGAAATGGGATTAAAGAATACACTCAAAGTAAAGAGCGGATGGGAGGCTCTTACTATGACCTGAAGGCCATGCTGGAGTGTGATGTGCAAGCTGCGAGGACTGAAGCGTGCGCACATCTAAGCATACATCAAATCGCATGTCAAATCGCTGCTATTTTTTGACACATTCGATTATTTGCCTTCGAAGGAAGAAAGAACGACTGTATCATGTGTAGGTGATTTTATGGAAACCACCAATAATAAGGAACCAAAATCCTTCATTTTCAGTCCCCTCATTTTCCTGTTCAAGTTTTATATAGCTTGCTCAAATACTCTACATCAATGAATGTAACCTTCACAATAAATTAGGTCACATTTGACAAAATCAGCGTTCACATGTAATATATTTCTTTGCCTTGTGATGATGAAGTTTACTAACTCATTTATTAGTAAGAAAGGGCTATTTCATGGACAGCTTAGTGGTATCTTTTAATGAAATTTTTGGCTGATTTTGGTGTGCTGACAAATTGAGGTGGGCATTAGAGAAAAGGATGATGGTTTTGATGGTCTGGAAAATTTATCAAAGAGGCATGTCGATGAGCGATAAAATGTGCGCATTTGGTAGTAGGGAGGAAGAGAGGCATTGACATGCAGTTGCTCGAGAGTTTATGCAAATCAGTCTTGATTGCTGGTCTACGTGCTCGTGCCATTAGTTGATGCAAGAATTGGTAGGCAGCGCCGCTTCTCTGTACCACTGACACGGACCGCTAAGACACTCGCGACTGCATTAATCAAATTTTTCAACAAGAAATGCAAATTTGCTAAACCTAGCTTAAAATGCAGGATTCATTTCGCTCAAGAAGCCTACCGACACAACCGTTTCAGCGGAGCCAGCAACCAAGACCCACTCTGGTCGTTGAATCCGAGGAGGATCGCGTACACCAGTAAGCTCCTCTGCAATTTCTTCGGTTTATACCCAAGGTCTGATTGCATACTGTCAAAATGTTGGAAATAACAATTTTGTCCTCCACGTATAAATTAGCTCCACATGCTACCCTAGAAAAGGATTTTTATGCTAGGGGTATCAGGAATGAAGCGATCCTTTATTTATAAACATGTTTTTAGTACTTCCAAGAAATATAAGTCAACAATGGTCCATTGATGCACGAGTAAACTTTACTTTTATATAACCCGTCCCCATTGAGTAGTGCTTCCTGAATAAGTACTTATTTTCTATTCCAAGTACGAATTTATTTGTGAATACAATTTCTTGAGTGATTCTATTGATAAAGAAAAATATACACAGGGCTTTGAAATAAGCAAGGGACGGGGAAAGCATTTTATGTATTCCAAAGGGAGCGGTCAGGTTGTCCCGGAGGAAGAATAAAAGTTGATAGATATATCTGGGTTAACTTTTTGCATTATTCACGGCACTTAAGATTGCAGACAAGTATGCTAGCTCTGGCGAAAACTAAATACACTTGACTAGAGACTTGGGTGATATTCCTACACTTATAGTGACAGTGTTTGGACAAATATCAAGTAATTTTAATGAAAAAAGCTTTAAAACAAGGTAATGGTTAAAAGGATACGATGAATTCGAATGGTACAACAAATTAATAGGTTTAATGAATTATGTGAGCGACTTTTAACTAGCTTTTCAGATAACATGGCATTTTTCTGCTAAACATTGGCATAAGTTGTACTTATGTCGACATTTTTAAGGCTCGAACTTGACCTGTCACAGAACAAGGAAAAGGATTCTAAAATGGAGACTGTTGACGAACTATTTTGCGTAAGTTCGCATTGCCTCAATGCCCCAAAGTGGTGAAATGCCCTGTGCCAGACATGCTTTTCATTTTAGCGGACAAATAAATTCATCGACGCCTTAATGATGGAGGAAGAAAGTCGTGATGTGAGTTTCTTAATCTAAGTTCCACTTATTCAGAAGAACTTGAAGATATTACGGCGATTCCAGGAAATGACAGAGTGCCAGAAACTGAAAATTCAATATGCGAGATCCTTTTTACAAGTTTGTTGCACATGCACCTAACTGTGGATCTGTAGCTATCGCAAGAACTAGAAGAACTGAGGGAGACCGTATTAGCGAACTCACCACAACCTTTCAGCTCACAACAGACTGAGGATGAACCCAATAAATGGGACTGCATAGACAGGTCTACGAGATTCTACAATACCCTTTCTGTGAGTCCCCAGAGGATTTTACTAGACATGAAGGCTTAATTAAAGTCCAAAAATTGACACATAATGGAACATAATGATTGACCGATTGTTAGTTTTGGAGCCTTGCTTAAGCAGGAAAATTGTACATCCGACCGCATTGATGATGTCTTAAATCAAACAACAAAGATTTGTAGTTACCTGGCTGTTGAAAATATACTTAATGACGTGCCTGCAGTTAATAAATTTATAGCAAGAAACCTAAAGTTATTGCAGTGCGGAAGTGCCATTTTATATAAAATGAAATAATGGACTTCTCTCGGCAATTTCTCCACTATCGCACATTTGACTGTTAGTAAAACTGCTTGTGAAATTATAGGCGGATCAAATGAAGTTCTGCAGTTGGATATCTTCCATCGATGAACGAATCCCTGCGTGCTACAATGCTAAAGATCCTGTAGATTCTGAACAATCGCCTTGTGCAGAGGTTCTGTGTGATTTCGAAAGTGACCAAGTAAGAACTAACGAGTATCACACAAATTTACAAGACAGGTTCCAGTCCCATGCACAGTTAAAACGCCAATATCACGATACATTGAAAATAAACACGGCAGATGTTGTTTTAAGGCGGCCTTCATACCTCTGAACAGCTTTCCCTAGGCATTAATTTTCAGAATCTCTAAATATGTAGAATGAAATTGCAAGTAAATAACGCCGAATGTGTCTTGTCTTTGACAAAATTCAAATTACACTTCATTCTTACGTTGCCTTTATATAGGGCCTTGTAAGCCATCAAGAGGTTGTAAGGATAGTGGAAATTAAAGGTGGCAACGCACTTGTGATTGGACGCGCTTATACCACGGAGAGACAAGTTGGTCAGAAGTTCGGTCTCTACAGCACTCTCAAGTCGTCCATTGAGCGGCAGCACCGCAGCTCAGGTACCTCGAGTCAGACGTACGACTCCTGTCGAGTGAAAAAGCAGACGAGGCGGGAGCAAGATAACCCCAAAATTATCCGACAAATCAGATTTTGGATTCCACAGATCTACCTACAGCCTCTCAGTTTAAAAGCAAAGTTAGTGGAAAATGCTATGGATACACGGCAATTTGTGCTTTCCATCTGGGAGAGCTATGTGAAGGAGACCGCCCAAGCTGTCATGAATCTACTCTACATCACCTTGAGACACTGGAGTAAGGAAAAGGTAGAGACAGTCCCTTCAACTCTTTCGTGATGAATAAATGAACCAAAATACATTGTTTTGGTAGATGGATGTTGACTATGTAGCAATCAACGGTGATATGAAGCGAAGTTTGAAAAGCTTCTTTAGATCTCTTGAAGGAAGCCTTAGCAATGATTGGGAGTGCGAAATACACTACGAACTAATCCTGCAGCAACTTCGCTTACTGCAGGCCGGTGATAACGCAACAAACGATGGATCTCGATCTAGAGGTGATTTTCAAGCTTATTACAAACTACTTGTTGGGTAACAATTTTTACCAAAAAATGAGCCTGAAAGACTGTTTTAGCTGCCTCCCACCCGAGTGACAGTAAACACTTTTTGTCTTATATTTATATTTTTTACTTTTAATTAGCGGAAGAAATGCCGAATGAAGATATAACTGAACGGATTGGACAATTAATGTTGGAACGACGAATAATATTCCGTTTGCTAGAACAACACCAGGTACACAACTGCATTGTATTCGGGTTGCTGATGGTGCAATTTGAATAACCTGGAAAATGAAAACTAAATGCACTGATATAGACAAACCAATTATGCACCTCGCAAAAGGCGGATAGAATCATTTCTAATGTAATCATTCAGAGATCAAAAGCCGTTGGCCACACCGGTAACGAAACTGTTACTAGTTAGCCAAAGAAATTACTTGATTCTAACTAGAAAATGAAAAAAGACCGAAAATACCACCAGATGGGCGATATTATAGTAGTAAAATTATATGAGGGACCCAAATCAAGAGAGTTGGTTGAAGTAAACAATTATTTAATAGTAAAATCAAGCATCCGACACTTGGACGTGAATACGAAGCCTATCGGTACCACGCGCACTGATTTTGCCATGTGTTTTTCTTTTTCAGGGGATGCAGCAGGCATTTGAGGCCGCTAAAGCAGGACCAATGAAACCAAATTTAGGATTTCCACTTCAGTTAGAAGGGAGTTGTGGGTAAGCCTTAGCAATTGCTACTCGACGCACTGAATCGTCAGTCTTGTTGCCATGTGGCGCTGCAATGAAAAGATAGCTGCATTTTATACTTTAATAAGATGATAATCATTAGAAATACGTGTGCGAACTCCTAAATTTGGTTTCATTGGTGTTGAAAATGATGTCACTCAAAATGGTTCATTTAACGGGTCGTTGTCCCGCTTGAGTAGCCGTCGCATAAGTTAAATCTTATTTAATTAATTGCTTTGTTTGGGAATAAATATGGTGAATTTTGGCTCATCTGACAACCCTTTTGATCAATTTTTGGGCTTCAGGTCCGAACTAAAAGATACGGAAATATCTTGTACACCGGACGGATACGAAAAACGCGCATCCTTGGGTTCGTATGCCAGCACGGACGCAGGTAAGTGAAAGGTTGTAAGCTTCACGCTTCGACTACATTAATACTTTAAAAGAGTCCTTCCCGCTCTCAAAGCCTTATGGTTCTTCTCTAAGATGAAGATGAAAACAAGTTTTTTTAAAATAACAAAATGTTCCTCTCCTTCTTGGGAGGTATTAACCAAAGGACTGCATTTAGACTCAAACTCCGTTCTAGTATGCATTAAGGGGTCTCGATTTCTATTTAGTGTTCTACACCACGCTCATAATTATTCCAACATGTTAAAAAAGCTTCCAATTTATTGAACGAAGCGTATCAGATTAACCATTACCAACCACTCGGAACCTCATGTCTAAACCACAAATTCAGCGGCAAAGCAAAAAGGTTATTTCACTTATATAAAACATTAGTTGATTCATAGCATCCTCTTATTTTATTATCGTCTGAGAAATAATAGTGTATCACTACCAATTGTTCGTAAAATTTGCTGAGAGCAGCTGCTATTCTCCACAGCTCACAGTGAAGAAGGCAGTTTAATTTATCTTTGAATCATTGTTATATTTTGTCACAGTAAACCCCCCGTCAGATCAAGAGTTGTGACATCTCATTATTGTGCTGGATCTAGGGGTTCTTACATTGCATGCCAGAGCCATAAAAATATGAAAGTTTCCCACCATAACAATGGATTACAACAGATTAACCCGTTAGCCAATGACTCGTCACACCATATGTGGCAGCATGACAATTTTAATAGGCTACAAGAAGTAGACAAACTATTGATGCCACTTATAATGTACTCTAGGTTATTATTTGTTCACCTCTTCAATTATTAATAGTATTTTTAGTTGAACATCCGCGTAAAGATAATGAGGATTCCCAAATGAAACAATACAAAAGGGTAGGGTTATCAAATATTTGATAAGAAAGGGATTTTAAGTGGATTGTTTCTTTTTGGGGGAGAGTGGATGATTTTGGTAATGTGAGGCAGGCAATTCACAGGAATGTATCAATCCTTTTAAGAGGCAGGGAGGCCAGGAATGCATCTTAATTGTACGATGAGTGAGACAAGTTTGCTATCCCCGCCACCGCCCTTCGACAAGCCACCTGAGCCATTGCGTCAAAAGACGGGTAGCCTATCAAAGAAACTGGAGACTGCGGAGAGGATAGAGAAGCACTACGGTAGCGAGCCCTGCATCCTAGAGGCGGCGGCGTGCCGGCGGCACCAGGCACATACATGGACGCGCAGCGGGCGCTACCGCTCAGCGGACCTCTCACTAAAGGGCCTCGACAAGTGCTCGCGACTGCGCGCGCGCTCCTTCGGACAGGGTTCTAAGTCCCTCCCGCGCACCTCCTATCCTCTGCCAGTGATGAAAAAGTCGCCGCCCGTTAAACTTGCTGTCGTTCATCCAGGTAGAGGCGCTATATCGCACAGCATTTCATTAAGCACTGACCTTGGTCCGCATTAATATGCTAAAAATGCTTTACTCCAAATGGATCTGTGTCACTTGATGCCAGTGCTGTTTCGCCCAAAGGCATGACTTTCGGCATTAACCCTTCCACAATTATATTTATAGTTAACTAAATTTACCGTGGAGCATCTCAAAATAACGTCAAATTCACACTTTGATTTGCGATTCAGCAATTGTCACTTTTAGGCAAATCGGCCAGGAAATAGTTGTAGCATGTAGTATTTTCCGCGTATCACAATGCAATACATGTGTGACCGCTACAAACTATTTGCAGTGGTATGTAGCCCAAACGCTTCCGACCAGAGTATCCATCTTCTGTTTCTAAGGCTGAAGTCCCTTAAGCACTCGTGCTGAACAAAGCCATCACCACTATAATAGCTTAAATAGGATAATAATTGCCGAAATGACTTTTTCACATCAATCTGTTTTGGTTGCATTTGCGCTGCCTGCGGGATATCAGCATAAGGAAATTTAAAATAAATCTGAATGGGTTTTTCTCACCCCCAATTTGCTTCTAATTTTAGGGTAATTTAGTATTCTGTTCAAATAAAACGACAATTTTTTTGTTGATGATTTCCTTTGCCTTTTATTCTGTAACATACGATGAAGGATGAAAGAAACAAAAAAAGTACTGACAGAAATCCATATGCAATACAGTCGGTCCAAAATCGGGAACTTTTGTCAGTTTGGAATTTTCGAACATATAATGATAAATAAAAAAATCGGATCACAAAAAAACAAACCAATTACCAGATAAATTTAGGGTAATAATTCGAATCATTTAACCATTTTCTGTAATTATGACCCATTAATGAACACATTGCTAATGATAATGCCGATATTACTGCAAACAAAATAATGAGGGCCTATCACTTTGTACTGTCTTAGCGATGTAAATGCATCAAGTCCCAGGTACTGACTTGGCACACTCGTCCAACAGACCAAGTATTGTGAGATATGAATGAATTTGTCACTCTTGCAACTTGCAGTGGGCGGAATGGACTCGGGCCCCGAAGTGGGATACGTGGTGATAATGCGACCAAGTTTCCGTGAGCGCATCACGACGGTGCTGGACACGCGGCGCCGCAAGCGCGTCTCCATCCACGCCGCCATCGAGCGTGGCATCGCGGGATTCGAGAGCGGTGCCACAGGGGCGGCGGAGGCTGAGGAAGGGCTAAGCGAAAAGGAGCAGAAAGAGTGTTTCTTCGTTTACGACACTGCTAGCGGCACCAAACTCAATTTCTCCCAGGCCCTCAGTGATGGCATCATCCACTACGACTCTTCAGCCACTGAGAGCATTGTCTTTGATGAATACGCAAAGTCAGTCCTCGACTACATTAAGTATCTACTTTTGAGAGGTTTGAGCAGATGATGGTGGCCTTCTTTGAGAACTTAGATAGTTAATTAGTGAAACACTTTGTCGTCGGCTTTAAGGGACTGCTCTACAGAAGGAGCAAATATAATTTAAAACTTCCTCACATTTTGGAGGGAAGTTACGAAAGTGGTGCAACAGTTCAACTCAAAGGGCAACTATCACCATATTTTTGCAAGCAATGAAGACAGTTTAAGCCTGAAATCCCTGTCAATTCCGTTTTTTACCGCCTGTAATAAAGCTTTACTCCGATTCCAAAATTATCTGGTAATTAGCAGTCTGCAAGATGAAAGTCTTGCCTATTTACCAGAACAGTTTTCTACATTTTGCTCTTCCCACCCATTAGGTCGTTATACATTCTTATAGAAAAAACGTTTTTCGTGAATGCTTAGCACATAAAATCAAAAGCACCACCTACATTTGATCTCACTAAAGCTGATGACGCAATACCATTGTGAATCAGAGTAGTTTGCTTGCAAAGATGAGAGGCATCTTCGTCGTCTAAGCACCAAGTGTGGTGTAAATAAATTTTTTGTAGGTCGGAGTGGCGCGGAGTGAAGTCGGTCTACCACCCTCTGGTGTATCGTGTGGAGCAGGTGCGTGAGGTGGTTGAGCGTGGAGAGAAGTTGATTCGGCAGAAGCACAAATGGATGCCATTTCACCGAGCCATAGAGACGGGTCGCCTCGATCGACGCACAGCAGAATACGTGGTCCGCACCGGTGGTGATGATGACAAATGGGGTGAGGAGGTTCTGCGCCTCCCCTTCGCCAAGGCGCTCGCCTATGGACTGGTCAAAGTGGTGGCGCTGCGCCACTGCCTTATTGAGAAATTGCCTCGTGACAAGTGCATATTCGCTTGAGGTCGTCCCCATTCCGCACTGTGATTGCACTACCAAATTCTGATCCCAATGACTCCTCTCGATCTGTCAAAACTTCGGTGAATGGCGACTTTGAATAAATTATGCCAAATAAAGCAGTGATGCGAAAACTACTTTTCAGAATATAAATCCAAAATCAGTGATTTTGACTTATCAGACTATTTGGAAATTTGGTAACTGCAGACTTGTTAATCATCACTATCGTTACTAAATCTAAGGTAGAGTTTCACCAAATGACTTAAACTGAACAGAGCTTCAAAGAACAACAAAGGCATGCAAATGCTACAAACAATTCGGCATTCTTAGAAGAAGTGATTGAAATGCAAAATCATTCACAAGGTGTTTAATAATACACTTTGTTGTGATAATTAGCACAGCGCTTGTGATATAAACTCCAATTTCCGTGTTATTAACTGACATCGAATTTGCTTTTGTAATAGTAATAGTCGCTTATATGGCTAGAGCCTCTTCAAATTTGGATCAAATTTAATTTTTAGATGTGATTTTGTTGATACAAGGAAAATATTGAGAATTCCGAAAAGCACAAAGCAACATCACAAGCAACGTCTAGTTAAAGAATTTGCGCTGAGCTTTGTGCTGTGCTCGGAACACAATATAGTGAATTCGCTCACCATGCTGGCATATGGCGGATCATAGTGGCAAGATGTTCATACTTTATCACTAAAAGTGTATGCTTACACTGATGACTAAAACCATTCAATCCTTCAAAATGTAAATCAAGGGTTACAAGGGTTACGAAAATGGTTACAAAGCACATTTTTGCATTCACATTCATGAGCACTAAATTGCAGGCAAAACGTACACTCTCAGTCGATTCGCCGGTGAAGGGTTGCCTCAGAAATACCATTTGTAGTAAAGTAAGTGCTAATGCCGCGCTATGACAATCATTTATGGCACTAAAAGTGTTCCAGAGTACAATTGTTCCCCTTCCTTCTACAACAAGCATTGGTCCTACAACCATTCCCTCTCAATTGATGATGCATACGTGAATAAACCGGCACCAAAGAGGAAAGAACCAAGGCATTACGTGTTGTCGTATTCCTCTTTCCAAATACGGGTAAAGATCTAGGGGTTTCAACAGTTCACTTCAACATGCTATGTCAGTTAATTTTTTTTTCATTATAAAAATTCACTTCAGTAAACATAATGACAAAGATAATATGACAAAATGGTTTCCAAAGCCAATGAAATAGCTTCCTTTAAGGATAATTTTAGTAAATAAAAGATGGCATATTCTATTCTAAAAAGCATAATTTAGGTTAAGAAAATTCCGAATTACATAACAATCGAAATGAGACTTATAAAAGTTGTGAGGTATTTTTGAAACTATAGTTTCGAAATATGAAGAACCTTCTCCCTATATAAGTCGAGGGACATATTTTGGAAGTATGCTATTTGCAAAGTAAATAATAAAGGATGATAATCCACATTGAAAGAAGCTTCTAGTTATGGTCATTAATTCGAGAGGTGAATGTACCCCTCTGAGACATGCAACACGTATTGGTTACTACAAGTTGTGCCCCGAAAGGGATTTGAGAGCATCACCAAATTGCTCTTTTGGTAGTTCTCACAAGCTCATAAAAGTCCGTTGAATAACATGTTACTAGATTTTTAGCAAATCCTAATGACCAAAAATGGTGAATATAAGGACGATAACCTCGCGTTACAAAGCAGTGCCGAAGTAGGCCGACCGCTTCCCTAAGGTAACCCTAAACTAAGTGACAACCGATAGCCCCTATAGTTATACGTGAAAAATATGAAACAAATTGTAAAATTTATTACATTTTCGGAGCTTGAAAGGCAAAGCGAGAGACATTTGCAACAGTAGCAACATGTAGGTGAGATGATTTCGGAGATTCCAAATTCAAGCATTCACAGCACTAGGATTCGACGTGGACGTTTCTTTGGTTGCGGGATGGGTTGGCGACCGTGCTACCGAGTCGGCTTGCTGTGTCTTTGGTGGCTGAACAGCATAGCTATCGAGCATGATAGCCAATTCCTCAGGACTGATGCGCTTCGCACCTCCGGTGGAGAGTAGTCTCTTGGGGCATTTGGGAAAATAGTGCTCACCAGTGAATCTGCCTGTGGGAGAGACGGGATGTAAATTTTGACTTGAATTTTGCTGCGATCTAGTGATTGCAAATTTAGGCCCTCCATTCTCCACGCTCGCCGGCTCTGAATTGCGCTGCCTTCTCGCATCCTCCAACTCATTTTGACGCGTTTCCGCAAGCAGCGCCTTCTCTTTGGATAATTTCGTCTTGCGACGAAAGGATTTTCTATCGCTAAAAAAGATAGCCTTTTAATGTTTAAATTGCAAATGAGTCTCTATTTATCAGTACCGAAACAGTGAGTTTGGTTTTCGCCACAGTTTTAGTTAAATAACTCTACTCATTCGCAAATACTTTTTCTTTACTACTTTAGTGCATCCTGTATAGCCAAAGTTACTTTAGACAGAACATGTAACGAATGAGTCTTAGCCAAAATGTTTTACTCTGCGTCCCGCATATCTACGCACATTCAATGTAAACGAAAGAGGCACGCAACAACTGCGATTGTGTTTGAGCATTTTCAGTTAGCTCCGCAGATTTTTCCAATGAAATGTCTTGCTTTATTCGGGTGGTCACCTGAATAGGTAGAATAATACAGAACACTGCACAGAGTTTTACCGGCTTTCGATATTGAAAATTATCTTATACGTGGAAATTTCCAATTGCCCTACACCGCCATATTGTGTCATCAAATTGCACTGCCAACTAAACCAAAAATCATTCAACTAATGTGTGCAATTTGTCATTTCAGTGGGACTATTTCAAACTGTCAGTTAAGCATTTAGTTGCACAGGGGGACCGAAATCCCGCATTTATAACCTTAGCACACACAACATACGGAGAGGTTTTTTCAAATCGCAGCATGGTCAGTAGGAGATTTTAACGTGTGCACACACGGAGAAATAGGAGGTGAGACAACATTCACAAGATTGCATCTTGATGCAAAATAAATCATTGTGGTAATGAGTGTCTAATCCGTGCATGATTCTCCTTATATTGTACAGTTTGCTGGCCCTCTAGGGGATCAATTCCACCAACAGAACCCGAAGTGTAGGGAAACTCAATTTGCGAATTTGAGTTACCAAATGTGAAATGTATGATTTGAGGTGTGCGAGACTTGTTAGCAAATTAAGGAAATATTTAAAATGGATCGTACTTGTAGATGCGTAAAGATTTTTGGCTGGTCGCGGTTAGCAAATTGCAGTTGAGATCATGCAAGCAGCTTAGTTCGTTGGTTAAAATTCAAAGTATTTGGCAAAGATTTCACTTTACCTACAACCACAGCTACAAGTGGATGAGATTTTGAAGAGGGCAAAATAATGTGTGTGCGTATAATAAAAAGAAGCGGATCAATCCATATCTTTGACTTTGAGAAGTTAGAGTCATTTGCAGCGCCACGTTTTGTTCGCAACAGTGTGTTGATGCCTAGACCGCTAAATGTGTTTACTACTTCCGGAATTCTCGTAATGCAGAACCGGGTTACTTCTGGCTGAAGCAATTGCGTCTCGTTTACACAATCACTACTCCAAGCTGTTCATCTACACCTTACCACATGATCCATAAAATGCAAAAATAGTCGAAAGTTCTACCACTATTCCTAAAAGGCGACTTTTAGTCTCGTTTTTTGAATGATGGGCAAGGCCCTAAAGAATACAGACTAGTTCTTAATGAGTGCTTTTTTGGGAAAATTCCATTGCGTCTAGAAGCACTTTCAGTTGACGCAAAAGACGTATTTACTGCACCGATCGGAAGACGTTATTTCAACATTTTTGACTGGTTAATTCGCGTAGAGGTCAGCAGGCCACTCGGTTTCAATGAATATGTCCACTTAAAGAGTGGACTAGGTGTTGATTTACTAATTACATTTTTCACTAAGGGATCTGTTTTTTGGTCTTCAAAAAACAGGCACAGTCAAATTAAGCGAGTAGGCCATTCAAATGGAAAACTGCAATAGGTAAGTAGATTTAAGCTGTCAAATCACCTTATTAGTTGCACTGTGACATCATCTAGAAAAGCTTTTGTGATGTCAAAACTATTGCAGGTAGAAAACCGTAAAATGGCTTGGAATTTTCGCAGAGCCACAAGTGACGCAAAGTAATTTGTGCAACATGCATAATTAAATGGAAAGCTGATGGCGCACTGAGTTTAACGGCATAACTGGCAATCTTGGATTGAAGTAGTTGAATTGCTTCATACTTACATCACAGCCTTTACAACCGACGCAATCCAACAAGCCACATGAGCCACAAGTATGATAATCAAGAACACGAAGATTCCAACTGACTGCTCTGTATCTTCACCCATACCTCGAGTCTTTAAATCTGAAACAGGTGCTGCAAACCCCCTTGAGGAACATGAATAGAAACGATTCACAAACTTACCGAACCCGCCGACTGAATAACCAATCCTTTGATTGCGCTGTGCATCGATCACTGGCATCGCGAACGATGATTGGTCGTTCACCGGCGTGTGTGCGCTTCGGCTTTGATAATGTCTCTCAGAAAAATAAACGCGTTAATCTCTTCTTCTGGCACTAACCAGCCACATTGTCCTACATTTCTTACCAATGTCACCATGAGAAAAACAGGTCGTCACTTTCCTCAGGAACCCATAGCTATAATTTTATGATCACGATGTGTCCAGCCTCAAGTACATGTGCATCATTGGTTTGAACTTATTAAAGAATTTGCATATGCTTTTATAGAAAACCGAGAGATCCTCTGCCGATTATGACAGTATTCCCACTTAAATAAAGTACAATTGGTGAGCATTGTTAGGAACACTTGATTCGCAATTTAAGTCTTTTAATTTGAACCACTGAGGTGTTAAATGTCCCACGAGCTCTTGATCTTAATTCCTTATCCCATTAACTGGTGTTTCAAGGCAAAGTTGGGTGGGCTGGCCAAAGGCTTTTCAAATGCACGAAAAATAATTGGCATGTTTGAACATAAGCAAGCACCTATTAGTGGAATTAATCTTGATTGCCCTAAATCAAATTCGACCACAGTCCATAAATTACTCAAAGAGAATGTCAACCCAGTCGTGTTCACCATGGCCCTCATTTTGGGTGTAGTGAAGGGTTGCAGATTGACGGAGTTAAGTGATGCGAACACAGTGATTCGCTAGCAATAGTAAATCAGTAGCTAAAATGAAGACTTCGTTTCCCATTGCCAGTCAAGAAAACCGTACACCTGGAAAGTGTTTTCCAACAAAAAAAGGCTTGTACTAATTTAGTGGTAAGTTAGTGTTGGAACTTCGTGCCTCCATGCTGAATATGTGGTAAGTGATGTGTATAAATTTAAAAAGACAACTGCGAGAGACGCATGATCTTGAAAGTAAGTGATGCCAAAGAGTAAAGCAAATAAACTTTGCACCAGATGAGGTAACAGAAGGATAATTGACACAAGACGAGATTGTGTACCCTGCTCATCTGAATGAGGACCATATTGTTGCCGCGTTACCAGTCTTTCAGCATTCTGAAGGCGAGATTTTAATTTATATATAATGTTGAAAATTCATACTTAACAATTTTTCAAATGATTACTTTACGGTACCTAAATAAGCATTAGCAATACAAATCGTGGATACTAACCTGGGATGCAATACCTGTGTTTCCCCTTACATTAACCTATCAGCCTGAAGCAATTTTGCGGCTAAATGTCAAAAGTGTGACCTGTTTATGCAAAATACTATGCTTTGAAATTTTGTATGCACCTTTTGGTACTCCAGGCATACTTTTGGGGAGAGAAGGAGCACAACACTTTGAAGTAGTTAGATTTATGAAGGAAATTCCCTACTACATCATCGTACGTAAAATGTTCGGGACACATAAAATTGATCGACCTTAAAACTAGTTACTAAGTATTTTGCATGAAAGCAATAATTAAAAAATATATAAAATTACCCAAATAGCGTGAATACTACACCACAGAGGTACGTCTTCTGGTCTTTTGATTCCATTCTACCAATTTGTCAGCCTCTTGAGAACTCACCTAAGTACAATACGAGCCAGCAGATTTTACTGAATGTGACTTGTTAAAAAACTGGTGATTTGGAGAGTTTGCAAATGACAAATGAATTGAGCCATAATTGCTGAGGGCAATTTTATATTCAGAAAGTGATTATGCAAATCACCTATGTGCAGTATTAATGTACCTTACCGACGCCAATGTATGTCATTCTCATCAATAATGAGGGGGATCAACCTTTTTCAGAACAGCGTTTAGAAATTACAAACCTAGAAAGACAGCCTTTTGGAGTGAACAACGTTGACAGAATCATGCGCAGAGCCCCGCGACTTTCCTGAAGACGAAGGATGACATAACACCCGGGCTACTGGCATGGCCCTAGGGCCAGTCCACCCGGCGAAGGTACAATGGGTGAGACACAAAATGGCCCTCTTACCAATGTATCACACGTGTACCTAAATAGCTTTATTTTAAAAATACCATAATAGTTATAAACTAACCAGAGCCCGACTGCATAATGTTCTATCTACAAAAATCAGCTAGTGCGCATTGGAGGCTAGCGAATTTTGAATTTACTACTTCTCCTTACCTTCTTTTCCTCTGGGTGGTAGTTTTCACTCTTGTAATACATTATTTATGTTGATACAGATCTCATGCACATTCGTCGTCTCAAAGTTAGACTGATGGTCAGCCCTGGTTACATTCGAACTTTAGGTGCCGCATAACGAGGACTGGGAAATCCAGTCTCAGGACACCAAACTCGATGGTGCTTTAGCTACAGCATACTCATGAATAGGTCCACCCTTCTGAAAAAAGATCAGTCCAACTTTTAGTAACGATTCTGATTACATTACCTAACATCGGGAATTCCGAAGCACCAATGTTAAAGCTGTCACTGCCCTTATCACTGTTTCATCGCAGCTCCATTCTCATTCAGTTACCATCTAATATGATGAAAACATTTTAACATCGAGAAATGTGTTAACTGGATTGGTCTTGAGGTCGGGGTTTGTTTAAAGGACTAGATGAGAAACCTGGAGGATGCGATGCGAGTCATATACGACCGACCAGCCTTTGTAGCTTTCCGCTTTTTTTAAAATTCAGTTCCTTTCCTTATCCGAATAAACGATTTTGTTTTCCAAAAACACATAAAAAATTTAAAACAGCCAAGACTTCCCCTTACGTGAAATTAAAGCCCAATAACCACCGGAAATGATTTTCTCGTAGTTGTCAAGTAAAAAGCAAAGGGCCACATCAATGAAAATACCTCAAAGGATCAAGTCCATTTTGTTCACCATTCAAATAAGTTATGCTTCCACCTTACGAGCTTCTAAACTGCCACCTTGCCCAATTTTAAGTAACGCCAAATTTCTCGAATTTATTCTGTTTTAGATGCCAAAAAAGAACACGATGTATAAATCCCTCCGCAAAAGTTAAAACTAAACATTTTTACCTCCATACGTCGACAATGATTTCGTTTCTGCATTTTGATGGAAGGCATCCACTTGCAGGTATTGCCTTCCAACTAACCCGACATCAACTGAAAGTATTTATTGACACCATCTTCTGTCCGAGCCGAATAAAGCCAGCTTGTACGAATGGAGATTTTGAATGCTAATACCTGAAGTCTCTGATGGACATGGCTAATGAAATGAACTTACGGATCAGCTACAGACATGCACATGGCTATCAAATACACATTGATCAGTACCACATATCTGTTTGCTACTGTTTCATAGGATTTTATAATATTATCCACAATTCTGAGAACTCACTTATTTTGCGAAATCCTCTACTCCGAAGTAAAGAGTAACGCTAGAATTTTCTCAGTGCCTTTCTTTTATGATAGGCAAACAGAGTAGCCTGGTGTTTGAGCGCGTCATCGTTTGTGTAAGTCCTGATAGACGAGTGCGAGAGAATCAGGCATTTGCCTGGGACAACTTTCGCGAATCCTACTTAGCCCATCGGTTTGAAGCCAAAACCGACCAACAAGTCTGACAACACTGACAGTATATCCGACGGTCACTATCTACAAAAATGTGCTTATCTATGACTAATTTGTAGTGCTTATGAAACCACACCTACTCTCGAGAGGGAGACACGCAGGTCAACCGTGGAGGTAGCGACAACTCTAACGCATGTGCTGTCAAACGTGTTAGCAACTAATGGCTCTAAACACTCAACCGCCCCCATATTTGGTCGTCCCTATCGATATATGAGCTGTGGCAGGTAATCAAAGTAGGCAAAGTCCTTACCAGGAGCTTTTATTTCTTGCTGGTTGGGATGTGTGGGCTTACGATACTCATTCTATTGGCTACAGACTGGTGACCCCGAGAACAGTCATTACTAGTCTTACTCCCAGCATTCCCTTCCTTTGCTTATACTACCACTACCCCCAACTATTCAACCGACATCTGCACTGGGGTTAGCCTTTTCACGCCTGTGCCTAAATAACGCAACCTCAAATCCCCTGCATACACCTTCCAGGCGGGCAAGATGGCTATTCACACCGATGGTTGACAGCTTCACACTTTCGATCTCAGTCCATGATTTCAGCTTCCCCTCATGCTCACAATAGCTGACATCCAACAGCTCATCATCGGCGTCGACTTCCATTCGTAATTCGACTAATTCGGCGCTGTACGAGTACTGAAACGGCTTGGCTATGCTACTATGGTCTCCCCTTGTGGAAAGGCCACTTTGACTGGCATTCGATTAACGTTGCTACTCACGAACGAGTTCTCAGCACTCCTCTCTCAGTTTCCCAACGTGGTTCAACCGATCTCATCTAGCTCAACGCAGCACGATGTTGCGCATTATATAGTAACCACTGGCTCGTTTGTTTTAAAGCGACCAGAACACCTGTTCCTAACGAAGTTCGAGGCCTCCCAGTAAGCGTTTCATTTCATGTGTATTATGTGGTCTTGAAGTAGCCCTTGGTCTTCGCCTCGCCTTATGGTGGCTTAGACAAATCCAAACGACTGGAGATCTTGGGAGGCTACACACCATCCAATCCCATGGTGATGCTTGACAAGTGTTAAGCCGGAGGCATTCCATCTCTATTCCATTCAGGATGCCCCTTGTACCTTCCACACAAACTATTTTTAGCATTAATTCATAAAGATTTCAGTAATTAGTTAATAAGTTTTCTCGTTTGTTACTATGCATAACTCTACCATAATTCGTATAATCAGAAGCTTTTGACTAGTTCCTGAATTCTTCACCACATTCTACATGCAACAAAATTAAGGTTGTCTAATGTAAAAAATCGTAAAATGAAATCAAATATAGGGAACACTAGAGCTAACTTTATTTCATACAAAGTGCTGGTTTTAATCTCATCGCATTGTCCTTGGGTTTTTAAGACCCCAAATGCTGCATTTATTTCAAGGGACTATTTGTGATTATGCAGAAATCAACCGGCACGATGATTAGCGAGCTCGTCATTGAAATAGCTCTAACATTTCATCTCCAGTTTTATAAAACTAGTACTAGATGTACGATGAGAAAGTCGTAGATTTTTTTAATATCAATCATTGTACAACGCCTAAACACATTTTCAAAGCACAAAATCAGAACTAAAAAAGAAAGCTATGAGCCTAAAATGATTAGAGCTTATTTAAAAGTAACATAAAGTACCGCGCTTATAGTAGTCCAGGTTCTTGAAACGTCTGATAGGGTTGGGATCCTCCGTAAAGGAATCTACAAATGAAGCTCTAGAGTAGCTGATTGGCAGGATCTACGGATTACAAAGGTAATATCCATTTTCATTGGTGGTTAGAATTGTGTATATGTGAAGGAATTAGTTCCTGGTTAAAAACAGTTAGACGCTAAACTCGTTGCCTCCATAATAAGCCTCATGCCTTCAATAATGTTTATGGAAAGCAGATGAGGCGGTTCAGATTATAGATAGCACCCGTTTTACTTCAAACAGAGAAGAGGGTATAGTATCATCTCTGCCAAGATGCAGTTCACGCTAATGTGCACTACCATCATCGCGGTTCCAGCACGTTGGCTGAGTGGCACCAAGGTTAAGGAAACATCGAGCCCGAGAGCGCCTACCGCTTTCGACTGAACCGCATTGAATAAGGGCTATGAATATGGTCCACATTTAGTGCGCAGTTGAAATAATCACTACACCAGGACTTTTCATTTGTAGCTAGTTCCAAAAGCCGTCAGTAAAAAGTCAAGTAGTATCAGGACCAAACACGATCTTATTTCTATGAGTCACCAGAAGCGTCCAAATCACAGTAGGCTTCGAAAGCAAAACGAGCAGCCTTACGAAATACCAATGAAATAAAACACAATAAATACTCAATTTCGCTCAATTATCAAATGTTAGTGAAGATCTGGAAGAAGCGTATCATAATTATCGTCCTCTGTATTAGCTAGAGTTTTATTAGGGTAACTTTACCTTCTGCAAGTGTGATCTACCCCAGTTGGAATTCATACCGCTGAAGGCAGCTCCATCTATCTCTCTAAGCGTTGAAGACAATTCGAAATAAAAGGCAGGAGTGTTAAACCAGCACAATTTTAATGACAGTTGGTTATATACAGAGAAGTGGGTGCTGGTAAATGCCCACGCGTACAACAATTATAAACACACCGGTATTTAAAAAGGCGCGAAGGGTGAGGTACCGACACAATAGACAAGTTAATGTACAAAAGTGGGAGAGGGAGAGAGAGGACAGTTTGGTAAGCTTTACAACAACATCCGCGTGAGGGATGTCGACTCGCTGCAAGTTGATTGGGTTGGTGCGTTGGTTGTTGGAGTAGTCATTGTAGTATAACCACTGTGGTAAGGTGTGGTCGCTACAGAAGCAATCAAAATAAAAACCAAACATTTCAGCCTACTTATTTAAATAAGTAAAAGCTATTTGTACTTGCCTGGAGTGAAGACGGGTGCGGGAGAGGGAAACACTGCATTGTTTGAAGCTGCGAAAGGAGCGACTGCCGGAGAGCACGAAGTTGAAGATGACGTTTCTATGGTTAAATTAGTCACCAGAAATAGCTAAAAAAACTTGGAGTCAGTCGTATTCCCTAGAATACTAGTTATGGCGAAAGGTAAGAGGATGGAAATGGCCGACGTTTGAGAGAATTTACCAAACCGAACAGCAAGAAATTTAAACATGAACAACTAAACCAGCGCAGAGGTGCGAGCGAAAAAACTCACGAGCTTGACTGAAGACAGGAAACATGGGGAAAATACCGTGGGCGTTGGAGGTGACCGGAGGGGCGGCGGAGGGGGGTGTGGATGACTCCACGGAGGTGGCGGTGACGGTAGCTGTGGTGGGGTCGGCGACTGCCGATTTGACCGAAGCGGTAGCACCTGCAGAATTGGCAGTCGATGGGGTACTGGAGGACCACGGGGTTGCACTTGGACCTTTAATGAAAAAGGTGTTGATTGACGGAGTGCACCAAAAGGGGAGGGGCAGCAGGAAAGGAGAGTTTAGCGTACTCGTAAAGACTGGAAAGATGGGGAACATGCCACGGCTGGAGCTCGAGGTGACGGCGGCAGTCGTGGAGGCGGTAGCCGTGGCGGGGGGAGAAGCAACGCTAACCTGAGCTGGTGTTGTTGGTGACGAAGATGACGATACCGGTGTGGTGTTCACCACTGTGACGGGAGAGACCTGTTGCGATGCGGACTGCTGCTGGTTCGCGGACTTTGCTTGTGGTGGAGACGCAGTAAACAGAGGAAGGCGGCCCTGCAAGGCTTTTACGAAGATAATGTGAGAAGCCACTAATTGTAGCATTACCAGAGTTCATTTCCATCATACACGGCGTAACTCTCTTGTCATCACTTATAATGCCCATGTCATTGAATTCCTTGAGAATGACCTGTTCTTCTGTCGCCCATTGTGATTACACAAGTACGACTCTGAGGCTAAGTAATGTCAAGAAATTGAAAATTAAAGGAAAACTGCGAAAATCTAATACCACTGATAGTCGGAGCCGAAAACGAATAAATAAAGCACCAACTTAGCGCAAGTAAATCTGTTGAGTCAAGATATTTTCATTTAATCATATTTCCATCCATGCTGCGTGAAAAGTGGACTCCGAACCATAAGTGTTGTAAAAGTGGGAAAAGTGTAACAAAATCACCGATGGAAATACATGACCTTGGTTAAGGCAAAAAAACACACCAGGGATATTTCAGCAACTAAAGGTGCGCTCAAACTCTTATTCGGTAAGTGGGAACATACCAAAATCCCTCATTTCTATTCTCTTTCAGATGAGAATCTCCAAAACCTACTACATTTAAGATTTACCAGGACAACACGTAAACTAGGCTGTACTGGAACTGAATTTAAAAAACCAACAATGCTTGTGTACATTAAGTACCCATGCTACAACAAGGAATAGGTGCTACTTATTAATGTCTGTAGTCTGCGTTCTTCATCTAAGGCAAGCGTATGCTGAGGGTAATGCAAACTAACATCGTATAAGTGGTAAATAACATGCGCCAAAGTGCACGAGCAATCAGAAAGCAAACGGGTAAACGGTTCGCATTATTGTCTGCTTTATGACTAAGTAATGGTGACTCAGCGCACACCGTCCCAACCGCAAGGGAGCGGGGAGCGCGCCCCCATTTGAGTACAGAGCTGCCGACAGCACCCACTGTCGATGCTAGAATCGCAAGGAGGGGGTTCGCGTGCCCGATCTAACCACCGCGACTGCCACCAAAGTGGACCAATGCGACCCCGAAATTAAGTCCAAAAAAGATGCACATTAGAATCACGACAAGATTAAAGAAGGAAGTTGGAAGTTGCATAGGAAGAAATTAGAAAGGCGGAAACGAACGTCTGCTTACTTGGATGTGTGGTCTGCATGTGCCGCTGATACTCCCATCGCCGACTAAAGCGTCTTGGACAATGCAAGCAACCGAAGGCTTTGATTCCTAAAATCCAAGGCATGGGACTAGATTTTGCTAAAGGAACCAAAAGTAATTCACAACAAGATCCGAAATGGACGTGCAACTCCACTGCTAAAACATCCTAAAGGCCCCACAAGAACCAGCACAGGTAATAGATCACAGCTGTTTCTTAACTCACTCGAAGGACTATTCGGATTTCTTTTCATCGGCTCGAGAAAGGACTTTCAACGCAGAGGAAAATCTTTAAAAGCCAAGCACTTGACCAGGGAGTATGAGTTACTACGATGCTATAAATTTTTTAAATTTAGAGTTGTAGTTTTTCACGCATCAATTTGATGGTACGCCCTTATTTGAGCGCTAAGACGACCTTTGCCCGCATGGTCAGATTAACCGACACAAGACATTGCTTGGCCCACATTTGCTAGTGGTTTGGTTGTATGACCACTGCACAATGAAGGAGTTCAACTCACATGACCAGAAATAGAAATATGCAGTGATGGTCCTCGAACGCATGACAAAGAAACTTAAATGCTTTAATTGACACTACCCTGATAGGCAGGAAACTGCTTGATGTAAATATAATTTACAAATACATAAACCCCAATAACTAGCACAAACGCATAGCAGGGCATTAAAAGTAGGCAGGTAGGATCAACCTGGGAATTTATGGGACATTTGGGCTGAAACGGCTATTTTCGCCATTGAAGCAAAACGGCTTAGAAGCTTTGGTAATATGGATACGTACAGAGCATCCAGCAGCGTCGGAGGTCAAACTCAGGAATTCAGTTAAAAGACCCAGCATTTCACTTCAAGCCATTGGAAACAATCAATGGTAACATCCAACTAAGCCAACAACCCATAATGCTTCAGAAACAACAGACTTCACGGAGTCGAACTAATTCCAACTTATCAAGTGGTATACCAGCCGTCATCAATTTAGGAAGTCTCAATAAAAGTACGCCCAAAAACACCGTCTACGCGCCAAAAATGAGTCGATTGGCAATAATAATGAAGAACTGCAAAGAACTCAGTGCGAGTCCATGTTGAAGAAAAAGGAAATTTAGGGCGATATATGGTCTGTGCTGATAATATAGCATAATTAGCATAGGGTGAAGACAAAACGCCCAAGTAATGAAATTTTGAAGCATGTAGTAAATGGGTGAAACACTAACCCTGATGAACTGTCATGATGTGGCGAACGAGTTTGTCATTCCGTGAAAATAATCGGGAACAAGTGACGCACTGGTGCCTTTTTATACCTAGACATTTAAATAAACTACTCAGATGAAGGTAACAAAAGGAAAGAATAAGCATTAAACTAACAACCTAGACAATAAACCTAAGACAAGATTACAACCGTTGAGCTTCAATGGAGAACTAAATCCCACGACCTTACGCCGACATCACTTCGAAGTTCATGAATTAAAATAAGTAGGTAAGTGAGCAGACTGAGCTCTGCGGAAAAGTGAATAATGATATAGAGCAGGCTGTAAACCAGCGAAAACAACAGCCGACCATACTAAGAAGCGGTTGATAACGTATCAAAGGTGGCCACAAAACACGTCGGGTAAAGCATGCACAAACCGTGATGAAGCTCGCTAAGATGACGCTTGACTTTGTCCCTTCGATTGAAAACCTTACCACACAAGGAGCATTCAAAAAGCTTGTTCGGACCTAAAAGCAAATGAGAATTAACTAGCTTTGCTGAAAAAAAAACCTATGTTAAAATTGTGAAGAGTATATTAGTGAGAAATCTTACTTCCATCCCCTGGAAGTTCATGAATCTCGCCATCTAAGTTGATGGTATTTCTGTTTGCCATCTAGGGTTAAGTAGAAATGTGAATGTTACTGAAACACACGGGTTAAACAGTTTGCCTCGACAGACTATCTTGAAGGAGAATAACAGAACTTAAATAAAGTCCAAATGCTAAATGGTTAAAAAAGGCACTCCAAAGCCTGGCCCGAATCACGAGGACGTGAACGGGGTTTCGAAGCATTTGACTAATTAATTAATTAATTAATCTGCATTTATCCAATAACAAACCTGAACCCATTGCCTTTGATAGGCACCAAGAGGCAAGTGAAAGGAATTAAAAGCATGGTCGCCAGGCTCCAACTTTAGGGACTGATTTACGCCAAGGGTAAATTGCGCACCCTGAGACCCATTTTGTTGAAGTGACTGCTGAGGCGACTGATCAATTGACTGATTATTGGACGATGAAGATGAGTTCGAAAAAAATGAGGCTAAAACACAGTACCAGCAGTTGATGGCGACAAAAAATATGGATGAATATAAAATTACGCTTAGAATTCACAAAAATAGGGGATTTACAGTTATTGGGGTGACCTGGTTGAAACGCATGAACAATATGGGTAAAGTCTTTGCTCAAATCCGAGTCCTCCAAATCTAAAAAGTGACAAATTAAGGGCGACAATATACATTTTGACACGGCAAGACCCAGCTTAACAAGCTTTAGCAGTTTGTTTGAGGCAACGGTTTCACAGTTCGGAATCAGGATCTTCTTCAGGCTTAAAGCGAATACTCCGTACCCATCATGTAACAGTTGGCTAAAGGAAATAAACTGACCAGATTAGTCACTTACTTTATCACTAAGGGATATAAAATCTCCCTATCCTCCGAAGACATCATCTCAGCGGTTTTATAGTACGTAAGTCAATTCGGGCATATTAAAACAACATATGACTTTCGGTACCCGTAGCCCATGAAGCAAACCTACCCGATAAGCTAAATTAAAAAATTTTCAACAAAATTTTTTTTACGCGACTGAAAAACGATGTTGTCAGCACCCTTTAATTTCAAAGGTAGTGGGAGAAAATACGCTAGAAGCAGAATTTCATGCTTCACCCTTAAGCACTGCTAATTTAGCTAACTTTGGTATTTCATACCAAACTACGTGCTTTAGTTATAAATTCGGTAATGGCAATCTTGCTTTCCGCAAACTGGCGCCAAATCTCATAATTAACCTTTTCCTAGCTTGCTTGCATACAGTACTTTAAGTAACTGACTAAACGGACTCCAATGGCCGATAGCAGATCAACTTTAACAGATCCGCAATTCATACATTGGCGTTCGACTCCCTTACACCAAAGCAACAATCCGGCTGGCGTAAACTGAAAACCAGATTCGCTACTCCATTTCCCTGAGTCCGACCCCTACTGATCAGAGGGGCACATCTCCGACGCGCGGCTTGATTTCACAATCCCACTCCAGGCCCACACTAGCCCCGCTTTTTAATCATCTGTCGACAGCATTTCCAAGGCAAATATTGATTCTAATCAGTTGTTCACTTCTACTACAATTGGCCTTCTACGCAGCAAAAATCAAACTAAATGATTGCAACCAAGATCGTGGTTATGATGAAAACGCAGAAGCTCCAACACCGCGCTCTTGTAGAGACTATACAAACATTTTCTTGAAATCCACGTACACCTGCTGGAAATCAGCCAGTCACACAGAAATCCATTTCAGCAGAGAACGAGTCAAAACGGCAGCCTGTGCAAAGAATCAGCCATCACAATACAAGTTGTCACAGCTGCGAAAAGTTCCATTCTACCACTTCAAAGACCCTCGCGAGGGCTTAACTTCACTCACTGCTACTTGTATCAAAGAGGACAATGCTAGCTTGATCGGATTCATTACACCTCAGACAACATTGGCTTCACATCGTCTACATGGAAAGCGTCGCTAAGACAAAAGAGCAAGTGGTATCGGTCGGACGGCAATGGATGGACATTGAAACAAATACAGGACCTCAACGAGAGCGGTAAGGTATAAAAGTCTCTCGTTTCCTCGGTGACGTAAAAATGGAACTTAAAAGGCATCGGACGACGCACTCGACCACTTACATGTTGATCTACATCGATATTTTATGAGACGAGGGGAAATACTCCAAGGTAATATCAAGCTAATCAGAAAATAGAGCATAAAAGTAAAATTAATGCATCGCACTATGTGGAGACTTGGATGGGAAGGCGCCACAGAGTTTACGCAGTGCTAGTATTGAAGATGAGATTCATAAAATGTGTTGCAAATGCCAGCAAAGGTTTAAAGGGAGCAGGAAACTCCAACAGTAACGGTAGAGGACTTACTAAAAGCACACTCCTAAATGTAAGGGAAAAAAGACATCTTAGAATAGGTTTCTATCTTTAATGACGATATGTACATCGAAACGATAAATACAGTCAAAATGCGTGCAGTTTGTCAAATAGCGGGAGCAAGTGCCCCCAGTGAGACTGATTATGAAAGCAAATATGAGAAGTGGACGTGTGATATGTAAATGTCACTATTACTTGCGATGTCGGTGAGTGCGAGCGTACCAAGGCTTGGAGCTGGCGTGTCTCCGACGTTGGCGCCGCCTCTGCGCGCTGCGGTGAGCGGCTGCAGCGGCGGCGGCCGCAGCAGCTGCAGTGGAGGAGCGGAGAGCGGCCGTTATAGATCGCCGAGGCGAGAGCGGCGCGGCACTACCAAAACCGGGGAGGCCGGAGAGCAGTGGGTGTATCGGCTCGGTATTCAATGGTGCCGGGACGTAAACTTGACTTCGTAATTCTGATGGCGCTTTAAGAGGGGAGGAGATTCGAGACGAATCTGCACGACAATTTGAAAACACTTGCATGATTGGGATTAAAGAATCAGACAAATTCCAAGAGATGTGAACACGAACACTTGAAACGATTCAACTATTCACAATTCTACCTTTTTCACAGCAATATGACTCCACAGTAGACAACTTACTTGACGTTCTATGACCACTCTTTTGAAGGACATTGAAGAGATATTTAATCTCGTGCTTCAAAACTTCTTCACCTAAAATACTCGTTGAAAGATAAGAGGAATTCTCGACTTACGATGCAAGTTTCTCAGAAACTCCTTCGCTTGCGTGGGTGTGAAGTACCGGAGGAATGGTTTGAGTTTCTCATTGATATTACTACAATCGCCAAAAGAGCTGTTACTTCATACGAGTCGAGAAAAGATTTTGAAATACAAAAGCGAGATTACAGCGAATAAAAAATAGTAGTAAAATGAATGAGCACTTTTAGAAAAACCCACTAAGCATATATTCTGATCGTAAGCAACTGAAGGAGATCATGAATAAACATTCGACTAAATAGTGCTTACAACAAACAGGAAAAGAAGGATGCAAATGGGAGAAGGTGTGAAAATGCTTAGAGCATAAAACTACTGTAAGATGTAATAATGTGACGAATCAACAGTTGAAGGAAAATAGATTCATCGCTCGTAAAAACTCAAAGGAAAATAATACATTATAAGGAAATAACACATGAACGATGGTGCACGAGTTAAGCTTACAAGGCGTCATAGTCCTCAAAATCTGATGATGAACAACACTGTTCTTGAGGCAGTGAAATGACGCCAGGCACAACAAGAGGAATTCCTCGAGTGGGACCAGAAGACTGGAGTGCGAAAGGCGCAGCCAACCAACTGCCGGCTGGCGGAGAAGCGGGACTGGATTGAGGTGTGAGCTTCTTCCTATTTGTTCGCGAAATCGGAGTAAGTTTGTGGCGATGGGCCAGTGGAGACAGCGGAGGTCTGGGTTCAAGTTTTTGCTGTCGTCGCCTGGGTACCTTATAAGTTAAATACGCTGACAACTGATAAATGAGGCCATGTGATCGACCGATTTCTTTGCGTTTTTGCCGCTCCTGAAGTCGCTGAGTGTAGATATTAACATGCGCCACATGCAAAGCTGAAAACATAAAAGCGTAACCAAAAAGAAAATCATGACTTTAAGTGAAAGTAATGAAAACAACATACCATTTTCCAGATCATCGCAGTCCGAGCGAACATTTAGCCTTGTAAGTAAACTCTCAGCATCGTTGTCATAATCTCTTTCAAAATCATCTCTCAGCACCATATAGCCCAAAAGCTGCTGCTCTACAGGTTCTAACAAGACAGGCTTCTCTTGTCCGACCAGTGGTGAAAAGGAGGTATGATCGTTGACCGAATTTGGTTGAAACGTGTGCCCACACAATGTAGGAGCTAAAGGACCTTGCAGATAGAAACTAGCATAGTGTTCATAGCAGTCTTGAGGGCTTCGATGGGAGCATTTGTCCGAAATGTCCTCCCTCGACTAATGAAAATGGCCAAGCAAACACCTACCAATTCCCTAAGCCATATTGCTCTATTGCGTATAGCAACTCAAGTTCCTCGGCATCTGGCCATCCATTTATAATGCATGAGCCATCCTCAGTGGCTTGCGTAAACTAAAACAATGCGTTTCTTAGATAGAGGATACTTTAACGTTGTAGCGGTGAGAACGTTTGTGATGACCAGCTTCGACACCACAAGAAAAACACTAAAATGTTACATCAGCAAGATGTAGACTTACAAATAAGCAAAGTTTCACACCTTTACAGTCAAAACAATCGATAAATAAATGATGAAATTTCTTTAAACAGTAAAAACACCTGATCTCAGCCATTTCATTACGTACCGCAGAACACCCTTTAGGTTAGGCCGCCACAACTTCAAAAGTCCCATTGACCTTCATAAAATGGCAATTTCAATCACATGATGCTCTGAATAGTTTTTAAAGGAGTGCATTGTTATATTACAAGTAGCTATAAATCTACATTGTACAGATGCAACACTAAACCTTTTGATACAGAAATTAGTCCCGAAAGTAAAAATGATACAACTAATGATATATGTTTGACTGAAAAGTGTTCCGCAAGGGAACAAATTTTGCAGCTTGTAGAATGATAAAATAACATGCCTTGCCGTCATTTATCAGCTTGGCCTCGTGGTCATATTGGCAGTCCATATGAGAGCATGCCAGTAGTTCTTATGTAGCTCCCCGAGAAATGTTTGGAGATAGGAGAATACTCGGGTAGCAAATATATGGTTTACGTACACTAGGGCCTAGGGATTACAAACAGGGTCTGGAATCGAGGCTGAATTATGGCGAAGCCTCTAAATCCCCCTTTTCCAAAACCGAGAGTTAGTTAACGTGTCATGCAAATGCAGCTCACATATACGAAGTTGTAGGATTGTGCATTCCTTAGTAATATATTGGGTCACAAAAGCCTCGTGGTAACCCAGATGCAGGGTACGTATTCTGAAATATTTTCAAAATATCCAAGGCATTTTAAATGTGTATGTAAGAGCACTATGTGCTGTAACAAATATTTGCAGGGATTTTCGGTTAATTAATTAGCACTATTTTTCTTAACCATTTTCTTTTGCTTCAATGGCGAAGACGACATTTGTGCTCCCAGATAGTGTCAGCGATGGGGAATTGGCTTGAGGTGTTACCTTAACCCATTTGCAAACAATTGAAGTATACCTCTGTCCTTGCGTAGAAGCGTTTCATTGACGTACAAGATAAAATAATCTAGCAAAGTTGGAGCTTTTGTCTGAACATATTTGAACACATATTTCGAGGCATTCTGAATTTTTGCCGTCTTATGTCTTTCGTTCCCAATTTTCCGCCGTCGGTTTTGCGCAAGTTTGGTGACCAGGAATCTGAAGATGGCAAAAAGAAAACGAAGGAAGACTTTAAGAAGATGAAGGAAATAGAGGAGGCCCGTAAACTGGCTGTTATGCCCGCAATGAAGGATGAAGAAGGGCGTGACATAAATCCTCACATTCCACAGTACATAATGCAAGCTCCTTGGTACTATGGGTCGTTGAAACCTACGTTAAAGCATCAGCGCATGCAAGATGAGGAGAAAAGGGAGGCCCTTTCGGGTACAGATAAAGGTTCCGCAGCGCTAAATAAGTGGTACAAGAGAGGTGTGCCGCTTGGCGCTCCACGTGCAAAGAGTTTTCGTGATGGGGCTTGTGAAAATTGTGGAGCCATTACGCACGATCGAAAGAATTGTCTAGAGCGTCCAAGAAAGGTTGGCGCTAAATATACGGGACTGGATATAGCTCCTGACGATATAGAACAGGATGACATAAAACTGGGATACGACGCGAAGCGTGACAGATGGAATGGCTATGATCCACGTGAACATCAGCGTTTTATAGCTGAGTTCCAGCGCTTTGAAGAGGCTAGAAAAATCGTAAAAGCCAAAAAAATAGAGGAGAAGTTAGCTGCTGCGGCTTCGAAAAGTGAGGGTCAGGTGAGTATATTTAAGGTGCTTTTGTCCTGGATGATTTTTTTGATGTCTTGACATGCATATGTACCTACTTTGGCAGGAAATGGGATCTTCGTCGGGACCTAATTTGGATGACGAAGAAGGTGATGATGACCGCTACGGTGAAGAACTTGATATGCCGGGACAGAAATTCGATAGCAAGCAGCGCCAATCCATTCGGAATTTGCGTATTCGTGAAGATACGGCAAAGTATCTTTACAACCTTGATCCTAATAGTGCTTACTATGATCCGAAGACTCGCTCCATGCGCGAAAACCCATTTGAGAATTCAGGCAAATCGGAATCAGAAGTTCCATTTGCTGGAGACAACTACATACGAAATGACGGCGACGCACCTGCCATGTTGCAGAGGCAGGTTTTCGTTTGGGAAATGCAAAATAAGCTCGGCCTTGATTTACATCTACAAGCTGACCCAACACGCCTTGAGTTGCTGGCGAAGAAAGTTTCAATGGCTAAGGAGCAGGCTCACTCAGCGGTTCGTGAGGAGATCTTGGAACGTTACGGAGGTCGTGAGCATTTAGAAGCACCGCCAAGAGACTTGCTCTTGGGGCAATGGGAAAGCTATGCAGAGTATACACCCACTGGTCGCGTTCTTAAAGGATCTGAGAAGGTCACTGTAAAGTCCCGTTATGAAGAGGACGTTTTCTTGAAAAATCATAAAGTAAGTCCTCTTAGAATGTTTTGTATTTTAGTTTTCAAATCACTAATCCTGCTGTTTTTTTGTCATGATAGTTTAGTCATGAAAGCAGGCCAGCTGTAAACTCAATGTGTACTGCTTTAGTGACGTGCGTCACCTTGAATGCCTATTTAGTTTAAGAATCCAATACCAACATCAATCATCATATTGTTAGTACCATTTTATATTTGTACTTCTTGTCGCAAGCAAGTACTGAAGTTAATTTCATCCCCTGAGTTTTATTTCGTTCATTTATTCAGTCGGTTTGGGGCTCATATTGGTACGCTGGTCAGTGGGGTTACCGGTGCTGCCATTCTCTGATCAAAGAGTCCTACTGCACTGGGGACAAGGGCAAGGCGGGTACTGGTTTGGCCAATCCCGGCAACTCGAATACATCTACAACAGATCTTCCGGAAGTGCCTGCTGAGGCTCAGACAGGCTCTAGTGTGCTAGCACCTCTTTTGCCTCTTTCCAACACGGTCGAAGGAGACGAAACTTCAAAGTCTTCTGACAGGGAGGACGAAGAAGAATTTGCTGAACAAGCACGCCAACGAGAAATGGATTTCGCTCGGTCTAAAGAACGTCGCGAACGACGTGCGAAAAAGCGGAAGAACAAAAAGAAGAACAAGTCCAAGCGAGGCAAAAAGCGAGGGAAGAGGAGCAGTTCCGTCTCGCATAGTTCTAGTTCTGCTAGCAGTTGTAGCAGTGAGTCGGAAGACGAAGAGGTAGCTCGGGAAAAGCGTATTCAGGCGGAGATGGAAAAGGAGAAGAAGCGATTGAGGGAAGTTGATAAGCTTTTGGCACTGGATGAACGTAAGCGACCCTACCATTCCTTATCTGCCAATGACGCACATATTCCCACGCAGGAAGAAATGGAGGCTTACTATAGACTGCGGCAAAATCCCAATGATCCTATGTCTCATTTCAAAGACTAGCGATGTATTTTTACCACCATTTGTAAATGCTCTATTTCTCTTCATTTTATGAATGATATCCTCCGCGTATTCAGTTCTTGTAATTTAGCAGCTAAATTATTCTTGGTAGTCATTGCTATGGAACAGTTATTCACAGCACTGTTGTTCTGTGGGAAAATGGACTTGGAATATGCATATATAATTTTTTAACATGGGAAGTGGTGGGCAGTGTAAAATCTGCAGGTGGCCAAGTTTCGTGAACATAAGTGAAGTAGAGGGGCTATCAATTTCCATGTTCTTGAGGCAGTGGGCACCATATGGCTGCGCTATCAGTATGGGGGCTTTCGAGTTGGGAGTGGTCTTTCGAGATGAATGTACAAGAGTTGTTTTACCCACAAATAACTGGTCGTGACCAACTGTAGTGCCGTTGGCGGATATTTCTTGAGTTACTTATGAGTTGGCACTGGCGGCTTCGGAACAGGTGGGGCTATCAACGAGGCTGGGTGCGATCTGTCCCACGAATCGTACGAGTGTCTAACGAAGAATGATTCCACAACTTCTTTTGGGTGCTGTAATGCAATGCCGAGTCTTTTTTACACCGTATTTTCGCAAGCCATGTTTTGAGAATGATTTCATTTCCATATTGACATACGTTTGGAATGATGCTTGAGTAAAGAAGCGCTGGCATGCAGCGTGAAAATAAGGCAGTGTCATATTTACTCATTGGCGATTGTATGATGGTCTATTGTTGACATTTCCAATCATGGCGCCGGTAGGCGAAAATTTATTGAAAGTGAATGAGCGACGTAACGAGACAAAGGACTCTTTCTTCACTACCGATAGAAACAGCCTACCTTTAAGGCTGTGAAATCGTACTGTGAACTTTGATAAATGCCCTTCTACTTACAAATTGAGGTAAAACTTCTGAAATGGATATATTGTATTAAATGGCCTTGTGACATTTAAGCACTACCTTGAGTACGCATATTTAGGTACACAAGCTAGCAACACCGTCACAGCTCTAAATTTGGTGTTTGATGGCTTGGATGCCCTTACTCGGTTGCGTTTTTTATACAAAACCATCAATGAGATGAACAAGGCTTGTAATTGGAAGTACCGAATAAATTGATACTCACGTGCACGTTGTCATTTTGAGGGTGATGAAGTGATGTACTTAAGCGAGCGAGGACAGGGGAAACCCGAACCGGAGCTGCAAGACTTCCGCAGATGGGATTTTCGAGGATGGTAGTTGCGAGTTTTCATCCACCTGCAGAATGTGGCCGTCCTGTGTAGTTTGGATACCAAATGACTGAGGAGAAACCTATTGAAGACCATGAAACAGTACTCTGGGGGTAAAAGAACAGTGAACATTCTTCTTTACATTAATTGAGAACAGAGAATACAAAACTTGTTTTTATCAAGCCTTCGTAGGGATCCAATGGCTGTTCTTGCTGATTTCCAGCAACACGGAAGCGATATACACCCATGATTCAAGCAATCATTGATCGCATAGCATTAAAAGGGCTTCTGTGAACAGCTGCAATGGAAGGAAAATATGAGATAAATAAGTCGAATAAGAAATGGCCTCGCAATCTAAATGAATGAAAGCCCACTAATCAATCACAGAGCACCTTGACTACGAGAAAATAGAAGCCGAGATATCAAAAATACCATTTTTAAAAAGGAAATTTTAACCAAACTAGAAAGCACTGTTCATCTGATAGCGGACAAGTAACAGCCCGACCGAAGTGGTAGAAAAATGTGATGGACAGAATGATGAGACTGCCGGTGACAAGAAGAGCAAGATTTTGAAACACTAGGAGGAGCACGTCCAACTTGTTCTTGAATGAGCCGTGAATGGTTGTCGAGAAAATCTAGGATGAGAATGCAGTGTCAATTGACGAAACTTGCATCAAGCGTAAAATTTGAAGTGAATAGAGCGCTCTTAGTCACAGCTATAGTCTCGATTTTAAAAGTAAATCTTTTTTTGAAAAAATTCCCAAAGTAGCCTGATATGTACTGGCTTAGGAGCATTAGGCCGCTGAAATCAGCTAAAATGTTATTGGGTTTGAAGCTGCCCTACATTTCCATTTAGATATCATAGAGCCGAGTAGATGATAATTTATAAACCCACAAATACCATTATGAAAGTATCTAGGAGTTGAACGCCTTTGCCACCTTTCCAGCTTCAACGGATATATCAGTATATCCTACTTTGCCACCCCAGCCCCACAGTTGTGGGAGGTCATCAGGTAGTTATTTCGGACACATATCTGCCACGAGTTACATCGGCTCCCTTGCATTACCTTTATACATTTGCAACATATTAGTGTTGCCTTAGAAAATTGTTTGAATGAAAAGCAAATGGACCTAAAATCATCGTTTTGATGACTTTATTATTCATTTTAACTGACCTTAGAATTAAACTAAGATATCCCGAAAACGGAGTTAACTAAGTCTGCGATGGTTCCATAAGGTGCATTTATTTATACGGATACTCTTAATAAAATTTTCCCTTTTTCCTTTAGAAAAATGTATCAAGAAAAGGAAATACCTAAAATTACAGTAGTATATTCTTCTGGTGCTCGAAAAACACTACAATGTCACACTTGCATGATAATATTTGCGCATCACCGGCTCATATCTAATGTTTAGCATAAAAGATTTTCGCACAGATTTACAATGCTACCAAATGTATAATGTCGCACGGCACAATACTACTGGATGATTCCGAATCGGAATAATCCGTTTCTTCTGCTTCCGACTTTTTACGCTCTGGATGCTTTTACATTTATGTGTATTTTACGATCCCTAATGGATTAGATTCTTCTGGCCATAGAAATGAACTGGAAGTGGTGCACTGGGGCGTCCGAGATTCGGAGACTCAAAGTTTCCGTGGGGGAGTGTTTGTGCTACGCTTTGAAGGGAAGGGAAAATGGCATGGCTTCTTGGGCGCTATACTGATTGTTTTTTTGCTGTTAAGCATTGGCTTTATGGGGAGCTTTTTGTCTACCTAGTTATAATTGTTGTTACCATTACACATTTATATTAAGTTCACTTCGTTATTCTAAGTGAAACTCACTTTTTTTGGCAATCACTAAGAAGATAAAAATTTAACGTTCAACTTGGGGTGAAAAGTGAACTTTCTAAACTCGATGAAGAATGATTGATGGTCCAGTGTGCATTCCGTTTTTAAATATTCCCACAAGTTAACTGAAGCAATGCCGCAAAATGATGAAAATGTTTCCGATCGGTGTGCTTCATACCTCTTTGGAAAAAATCGATCTTGGGGGTGTTTTAAATATTAAACTACAGAAGAAAATAAAATTCTGCGATTGAAATGGGGCCTAATAACGGTAGTAAACTAGATCCAAAATTGAAAATAACTGAGAAAATAGCCCCTATTCTGAAATCTCTGCTGCAAAATGGGGACTTAATGTCATGGAAAAAGAATGCGTCCTCATAATATGCTGATGATAAATTGAGCTATTCAATCCCAATTTTTAACGATATTATCAGGTGTTTCACAATGTGCTATTCATTAAAGAAATTATAGAGAGTCCGAAGTGGCCCACTGGTGTTATTAGATGAAGGATTGATGAAAAGCCCTTTAATTATTCATAATTTACCTCAACATTTCATAACTATACTCATTTGCTTGAAATAAAAGAGAGTTTAAACATGGTTTAGTATGACCACACTATTGCACTTGAACCCAATTTTCTGCCGATTATTCAGTAGTGCTTCTTAAGGCTAAACAACCATTTTGGTTGAATTTTGAGGGTTTAATGCAGTTATCGCCAGACCTTTGCATAGACCAATTTCGGTATCAGTTGTTGAATTATTATGGCAAAATGTAATGCTTTCTGCAATCCCTAGTCTGAAGAGATTCACGAAGCAATGCTCCAAAGTGATAGACACAAAACGATCATAAAATGCCACTTTTTCCAAAAGAATGTCAATTCACAGGATTTATCGGAGGATTCCCATCACTTTAAAAGGAAAAAATGGGATAAGTGTTGATCGTAGCTTTGCCACTGTTTTTGCTTATTCAATAATTTTCATTGCTTCTTGAAAGCAAAAGGACACATCTTATAGATGTGTGGTAGTATCTTGAATAACACCACACAATTTCTGTTAACGGTAAGAATACATAAAACGACGTTAAATCGGTGCTCCTACACAAATGTTGAATGTAAAACTGAACTCGCCCCCACTACTGAATTTCTAGGCCACATCATTGATGAAATATAAAGGGGAAGGTCACTATTTACAAGTGTAGTGATTAGATATCTTTTTGAATTGGATTTAATCACGTGGACACTTCGGTATCCTCAGACTGTGCTTTCATTTTTGGCTAAGCCTTCAAGCCACGCTGACAGCCTCTCTACTCTTCTTTGCATTAGTAGTATATATTCTTCCCTACAACTTCAGCGAAGACCCAGAGAGCTTAATAATAACTGTTGATCAAGTACTGGTATAAAAGAAATAAACAAATGTGATTGAAAAAAACAACAATGAATTGGCAGTTAAACTACGATTAAATTTGGTGGGTGTTCACAATCTTCAATGTCTGTTGGTCAGATGCATTTTTTTACGAAGATACAGTGCCTTCCGATTGTACTTCATGACACTGATTGAATGATGGTAAGGCATATGATTGCATAGACCCCCTTCTATAAGCTAGAAGCACAACTAAGAAGGACCACTAAAAATTACAAGTGTATGCCAAAAGACATCAATTGTTGCGAAAGCTTAATATGTTTCCATTTTTTAATTCAAAACTAGCCTTCGTAGTCAATTTATTGCAGAATTGGTGCAGGAGACTTTCATAAAGTGAAATTTGATGATGGGAATCTAAACATCCTTACTTTGGTGTCATTTTAACAATTTTTTGTGTTTTCATTAAAGCTTCATTCATTACCTTTTGGATTTGACATTTCAACTAATTCGTTTTGATACGAATTGCTATTAGACGGAACGCCACGACTGGTGAAGTGTAAGTGTACAAGATGAAGGAGTACTCATTTTGGTAAGTCAAAACATAACTTTTCCGTGAACTAGAGCCAACTCTATATTTTTGAAATAATCTGCCAATTATGCCCTAAGGAGATGCAATAGCCGTTAGTATTATGGTCAAATAATTTCCGGTTTTGTCGTCGGAAATTTGGTAATTAAAATTGAATGTGTGGGGCTGTAGTTTAATCTCATGACTGAACCATATCGATAATGCACTTTAAATGATAGGCTCCACTAATCTTGTAGCCGACAGACTAATTCTCGGTGAGCTAATGTAGTAATGTATTCTTTCTCAATAACAGTACACACTGCACACCTAAATGTAAAATAAATGGTTGAAATGAGGTACTGCTTAACCACAATTTTCCAATCGTAACACTCTACTGAGATCTTGAAATGAAATGAAACAGTTTAAAATGCTGACTTGCATCGCATCAAAACGTAGTTGAATAAATAACATGGACTCTGCTGGGGTCCTGGTAGAGACCCATATTTCCGACACTCTAATGCACCTGCGGTAAGGCGTATGCGGGCACTCCTGCTGGTGGCTGTGACGGAGTACTAGGGTAGTGGAGTGTGAGGGTGACAGCCCCATGGTAATAATTAGTAAATTCCCAATCTCTATCCACGTGACTTTGATCGGTCAGGCGAAAATGAAAGCGATGTGACAATCGGTAGTTCGGCGCGAAAAGCCTAGCTCTGAAGTATCGAGACAGAATATTGTTCTGGGGTTGTTGATACCTTCAAGACATTTATTAAAAAACTAACTATATGCTGCAGCGAAAACTGTAAACATTTGTGTTACGGCACAATAGGCTTTTGAATTCTGTTGATTAGAATTATGGGTATATTTTTACAATAAGGGTAATCGGAAATAGGGGTGATTATTTCGGAAAATAATCATCCGATTCAAACTGTTGTATGGGGCCGAAATTATTTTCCCCATTTGCGATGCAGAAAACGAGACATATGCGTAAGTGGATTTTACAACTTGTGCGAATGTTATACTTCATTAAAAATTGATCATTCCTTGTGCAAGGTTTTAAAAATAGTCAGGGGTTTGCAAGTTTCATTCCAGATTTGCATAAAAATTACTACTGTAGGTCTAGTGCTTCCTTCAAAAAGATTTGCAGTCGACAACATGTGAAAAAATCTCTGCAAACTTAAAAAGTCGTTACAAACTTTTTACGTTTACGCTCACTACGAGGCTTTAAGCAAACACGAGGCACACGCATAAACATCGAAGTTGTCCTGTCTAAATGGGTACCCGAGCACACCATGGAAGGCGTTAACGGAGAGGCTGCGAATAGCCGATACTATTAGTGGGTCATATCACCCGAATTGTGCCAGGTCCCCCGTATTCTAATGAATACTTGAAGACATATTTAGAACATACAGAGGGCAATCCATTCGTTAATGTCATTTAATTTGCTATGAGCATAAGTCCATCTAAAACTCCAGCTATGTTATTTTATAACTCAAGGAGTAGCTGTTAGGCAAAAGTATGCCTACTATTCCCGGATTAATATTTATATTTTTATTCAAAGTAATCAGGGCTCATAGTTTACCACTCAATAAGTTATGAGCTAATAGGTAAAAATACAAAAACTTCAGTTGCAATGCTAGAGTTTGACTGTGAAACGGGACCTACATCTGACCGTCTAGTGTTCCTGTTTTCAAACTGACAGCAGCGCCGACGTAGATGAAACGACCTATCATCTAATCCCATAAATCGAAATGCTGGCACTAAGTAAAAGCCACATTTGTGTCTCTGTGTTTCACGTCTAGATTTTATGGTGCAAATAGTAGATGAGCGTACGCGCATGGAAAACAGAGGAATGTAACCCAGTTGGTGGTCTATCCCCATAGGTAGTGATTCTTCAGCACATAAATGGTTGCATTAATGTCACTCCGAACACATGGGGAGTAATTTCAGTGATTCCATGTAAATGTACACAATTCCCACCGTTGTGCCGCCGTCTTCCTTTCATTACACCGCTATTGTTTCATTCCGCTTTCATAAGAAAAATTACAGGAATGCATCATTTACTCAGGGGATTACACTATTGTAAACCTGAGAGGCGTAACTTAAGCCATGGAAAACGACACCAATTTTAGTAGGAAGTAAATAAATTTGCAGACCTTTTGCAAAAAAATGGGCGTAGACATTTAATAGTACCACTCACGCCCAGAGGCTGTCACGATTGATCGCTTAGAAGCTTTTATGGGGGATCAGACCCACAATGTGATCGTTGATACGACTTCCTGCATCTTCAAGTGAAATAGGGTTAGCATTTGTAACGACAATCTGTCTTTTGCGCTGAGCCTAGACAATCACAAGTTCTTAAAGAATATGTGTTTTTAGAATGAAATTTTCCAAAAAGTTGACAAAATTATTAAACCAAATGAAGCAGCAAAACCATTGAAGTATTAAAGCTAGTAGCAAATGCATCTCGCTGCTCATGTATTCACCCATAGGGTAAAAATGCATTCGCCTAGTACAATCATGAAAATAAATTTATTTCCCCTATACAGAATGTCAAAAAGACATTCCCTTCACGGAGGCCTTAATAAGGTTATTAGCATTTTTTTGACTGCTACAATCAAAGGCAGCACCGAATGAAATTATGATGAATTAAAGCTCTTTGAACGTTTATGCAGTACATCAACCGACGAGGAAAGATTAACCAGGTTACTATGTTAGGCTCATAATTTGCGCAGGATACGATGATGGCACCAATCAGTAAATTTCAGGCCTCATAAACAAACGAACGGCCGATGTTGTATAGCAGGTCAAGATTAGTTCCGTTTAGGTCGCTACCTTAATATGCTAGAATCTGCGCCTCAGTAACCGTGCCCCAATGAAAAGCGACCCCGAAAGCATTTTGATTTGTTTCCTCATCGTCAGTAATTAAGGGAAAATTATGTACCTTTGGTAACGTAAGTGAGACACTGCACTCTAGCACGGGATCTAATTGAGCCCAATAGCATTACTAGTTGAATAGGCAATCGAGGACTTGACGATACAAGGGCCTTTTTGACAAAAGCAGTCCTTTATGTAATAGTACCACACGATCTACCTTTAGTGCGTTTATTAAGGAGAGCAAATTATCTGATTACATAAGCTTCGGACATAGGAAAAATACCTTCCTTTGACTTCATAAGTCAATCTCAAACGACCTGATTGCTGGAAGTTTGTGCGATTACGTGTGTTGACCTTTTCGCTAGGTATAAATACAGCCATTCGTAATGCCTGGTCTGGAGGCCAAAATGCGACATTTAAATTGAGGAAAAAGAGCGATCAGCATAATTTCAAATGAAGGAGAAGGATCCCTAAAAAATAAGAATTGTGTAGTGCTAACACTTGCTTAGGGTTACTGAATTGATATGTTCATTTATGAGTTACGCTGCATTGTTGATTGTGGAATTTTTCATGCCAAACTGTGTTATATAAACTAAGCACCTTATTAGGGTCTTGCATTTAACCTATGCATGTTTTCACGGAAACGAGGGATTAGGGTAATGAATATGATTGGAAAATCCGTCATGAATTGTGTAGTCTAAGCACGGTGGATTAGCGAGAAATCCCATCTTATGATCGAGGCAAGGAAATGCTACCATAAAAAAGCTAAGTCGGTAACATGGCAATCCTGTCCACTGCAGGAATGGTAAGCAAATCGGACCCTCTTACAATAGAGAATGGGGAAATACTGAGAATATGCATGCATTCGTCTATACTACAAATAAGAACTACATCCAATAAATAATCCTTGCAGCAAAAGCAGAGATTCCAACAAACTGCGCTCATTATGATCGTTTGATTGACAAATAATTTCACTAGTAGCAATAGCATTGTACAGTATTTTTAAGCATGATGGAAATCTAGTGATGATTAAAAACATTTATCACTGTATGAGAGTGAGGTGTCTTGATAGTACTCGTCTTACACCGCCCACAAGCTAAGCGAACCCTGCTGCAGTCATATGAGGAGTCAATTCGCCCTCCAGCCCGTCACTATTAAACAGAGGTGAGAACCTTCTATGCGCAGTGGGGGCTTTAAGTAACAACATATTTTAGAAGTTAACATCAAGGCACTTTTGAACGTATTCATGTTAAATTTTAATGGATAAGGGGCAAGAAATGTTAGTATTTGTTTTGTCCAACATCACATTAACAGATAAGTTTTAAAATCTTGCTTCTACACGCACCAAAAGTGCCAACTTCGACACACCTATACCTGAATTCATTTTAGTGTTTAGCAATGCCTTAAATGATTAATTGTTGTGGATGCACTTCACCTAGGTGATAATGAAATTATGCTTAGCAAGACTGTATAAAGCATCTACTCTCAACCTTGCGTCTTGTCTGTTTCCTGTCAACGATTTTGAAAAAAATGAGCAGATGCCCTGAAACGATATTTTAGGCAGTGAAACATCGCATATGACCACCCACTGACAAAAGCAAAACAATTCACTTGTTAAAGAAACACATCTTTAACCCAAAATATGTAAATAATCCTTCTACTTGGAAGTGACACTTACTTAGGTAAATGCACAAGTAGTTTATACCCACCCGTCAATTATGTGACGTATTTCATCAGTGTAAAAATTCCCCAAAACAGGAGCAGAAGATACATAAATAGATGTCTGAGACCTGGATTGTGCTTATCCCATATAGCGAATGGCAAACTAAACATATTAACTTCCAGTTAAATGTAAGCATTTAATAAGACTTTGGTGATTGTCTTTTGCTACCTAAATTGCCTTCCATTTTTCCTTGGACAAATACCAGTCAGGCAGCGCAGAATCAAGTGGATTGGCAGTCTGAGGCGCAGAGACGACGTTCACACGCGATAAAGTGTACATGCGACTTTGGTCTTACGAATGGAAGTTTGAAACCTCGCCAGATCAAAATCGCGTTAATTTTGAAGCACTTTTTGGTCAGTTTGTTCATTTTGAAAGCAAAGAAAAATATGAACCCAAAAAACGGGTGCTCACAAGTCAAAAGGCTATGCGATAAGACGAAACCTTCTTTGATGAGATTTTTGCCTCTCATTCCAAAGTCAAAAATTATCAAAGATTTCCCGCGGAGCAAAAAATCAATTTTGACATTGGCGTGTGATGCCGTTTTTACAGTCATTCCCGCTTTGAGCAAGATGCCTTCTCAAAATGTGATTTTGAAATTCTATTTTTGTGCACACATTCAAAACTACGTTGACTTGCGCCCAGTATTGGTAAGTTGGAATGTTGGGAAAATTTTTAAAGAACAAAATAAGAAAGAAACAGAAGGTGAGATTGGAAAAGTGAAGCCCTTCAATGCATACAAGTGATTCCAACTAAATCACAGCATTGTGTAATAGCATAGTTGCAAAGAATCAAATGACTGCGAACGCACTCTTGAAACAAACGCGCATGAGTGGCTGGCCTCCATGTTTTTTGAACACAAAAAGCCGGGAGTAGATGTCGACCTTTAACTCCATGAATGCGGTAATTATTGTGATCAGTAAAACATTTTATTCATACTAGGCAAAGAATAACAGAAAGAGATAATCAATTGATAAAATCCTCTTTTGTATGCCGATTTTGCATAAGTCTTAGTGCTCGTATTCTTCATATTCTTGTATGCGTTCTGCCTATTCCCAGTAACATTCAGATAAGGCAGCGATATTGCGAAACTTCAAACACAAGATATATTTTTACAATTTTTTAGGAAAAATGACAGACTTCTGGATTTAGCTTTCATATCATGCATCAAGGTATTAGAAGTAAAGCAATAATTTTATGATTTTATTACAAAGCAACGCAACACTTTTTCAGATTGAAAACGTCGTTTTACACTGGCGTCTATGGGTAGCGTGAAGGCTGCCTCAAAATGAAACAACAGTTTTGCAACATTGGTCAAAACCAAAGCCCCTTTCCTGTGGTTAAAAATTAAGCTAATTTAGTGCCATTTCTCAAAATTTAAATTGAAAAGGCTCTTTGTCGACTCATATGTAACAAATTAGGTGTTGTCTTAGGTCACCATTGGTATGAACTACTGTGAGTGTCCAAATGCCGGTGCTCATTTCTAATGGCAGCCAGACGTCATAACTCCTGGTTTCCTCAATACCGTTAATAAACCTTGTACACAAGTGCTTTCTATGTGAAATTACTTTGCACAATAACTTCGCTGTTGCATTATTCACAAATAACTTGATTTATTTAGGAATGTTGCATTTAATTCTTGCCCAAAATCGCATTCCGATATTCACTTTGCTGTTGGCCGCTGAACAAACACAATTTATGCTATATTGGCCAGGCGCAGTTGCTAATTACACCATTCACACCATTAATGGGGCCTGCTAAACAGGCTCTCGGTCCTAAGATAAACTGCTTTAGCTTAAGAAGGAACTTTCATACAGAGCTCCATCCATTCATACAACCACTTATCAATGTGTTTACCTCGGATACTAATATAAAAGCTGAGGAGAACAAAGAGATTTTCAATGTCAGGTATTTATCTGACGAGATAATGTAAATAATTGTGGCCAAAAAGGGGGCACATTATTTAACCAACAAGGCAATTTCAAAGAGGTGGAAAATACAGAAGAAACCTGGGAAATAGGTTTAGAAGAATGAAATCCTTGCTGTCTTGTTAGCAGACGCCACTGGAGTTTGCAGGTACCAATACCCCATGCTTTAATTTGTGGGGAACGAGGCAAATGCAGCTTCAAAAGCAATAAAGCTTTAACTACGCCAACGAAGCCCAACTGTCCATTAAAATGCGTTGTTATATTACCTTCAGTGACAGGGTAATTTACTCGCAGTACAACCGCTCCGAAGCCTCCAGCTTCAGCAACACAGCACCAGTGCTTAAAAAACAATGAAGCGCAAACCAATTACTTGTAGATTGGGGGAAAAGCTAACAGATATTATAGAAACTACCAACATTCTAGTCGTTATAGCTCAAAAATTGTATCATCGTTTGTAAACTTCCACAACTGTTTATCACTTTAAGAAAGGCAAGCAAACAGTCCTTTAAAAACTGATAAAAAGCAATGTTGATGAATCACCTGCAATTTTTAAGGTCGAACTGGCAAAATTATTCAATTTGCTATCATTAAAGAGAAGTAAAGAACTCAGTGATAATTTCTAAGCCAAAATCTACTTCCACACGTAAAGAAATAATCTAAATGGTGTTTCATGACTGCTGCAAAATTTTAGGCAGTCGTGAAACTTTTACAGCCTTTTCGACTGTATTCAAGTAAAGGTAAGTCGTTTTTATCTTTAACGCAGTGGCACAGCTGTCGCCATGGCTAAAGCAAAATGAATTCAGTGCTTAAAAATGTTAACTGCAACCATTTAAGTTAAATCAAAATTACAATAAACATGATTTTAAAGATGAGAGGTATTCACGACCAGTTTGCCCATACATCGGAATAGGACCAAGAGCCCTTTGCCGAAGATCCGTTAAATCAGATTTAGTCTATCCTTGTAAACTGTTACTGGTACTGCAGCCTTTTCGTCAACAGACAAACAACTTTTGCCATTTTGAAGAAGTGACATATTTGAAGCAGACTGATGCAGTCGATTTTACGACTCGAAATTAATAATGGTCAAATTTGCTAGCTGCAAATGACATAAATGACGCGAATGTCAAAATAAAGGCCATTGACAAATGAAGATTTACGTTAGGTGGGCTACGGGCCTGGATAAGGTAAGTAATCGTTGTAACTTCCATGCTGCGTATTAGGCAAACAATTTCGATGTGAAGTCGGACTAATGAGCTCGTGATATAAATAGTCTGAATTTGTTTTTGAGAGCTAGTTATTATCCGCAAGGAAGAGTGAGCATGTACAAAATGAAGTTGTTTATTGACATAGAGGGTAGTATTCACAGCTGAGAGGATGTAGCGTTTAGTTGTTGATATTGTTGTTGGCGTTGTTACCTTTAACAAAAATAAGTGTTTTATGTTCACAATTAATGCGGTTACGAAAGTGATTTCATCATGTACGCGTTACCAATCATGCGTTCCCTACTTCACCAGCATTATAGGGAATATTACGGAGATTGTTCCTTTTGAGTTGTAGAACTCGCTCGACTGCCTACAATACAAGGAGGTAGCGTAAGTAACAGGCATATAACTGTAAAAAATATTGTTTGATTTCTAGGATTAAATTTTATTATAGGCACAGCGATTCATTTCGTTGGTTCAAACCAACATAGGCATTGTGTTAAGATAAACCGCCTACAGTTACCTTCTGTAATTTTAGAGCCGCCCCAACGTTTTCCCCGTTTTTGACATGGTGCACACTCTCGTTCAGGTCATTTATTTAAAAAACGCGTTTTAACTCATTTGCTCCTCAACGGCTGTTTAACTTGAGTGTAAAAGAAAGCTGACAATGACGATTAAGTGATAAATAAATTCATTTATTACAGTCTTTGCCGTTGAATGTGCTCCAGCAATATTTTAAATTAGAACAAAATTTGGATTTAGGAACGACTTGGACTCCTCTACGCATTCTACAGATATACAGCGAAAAGTCAATTGTGTGTTTCAATGAGTATTATCATTGCTGGCGATCTTGAGCAGAAAAGAAATGCTACCTTCATGTCGAATGGCAGTGCGCACACGTTAAACCAAGTCATGTCAAACCCGTTAATATAATCTAAAGTAACTCAGCTTTAGGGCATTGAAGAAGGGATGGCATTTGGATTTATCTAAGTATAATGCTGGTATATAATTGGAGAACCGGTCTGTAAAGTGCGTGAATAATCCAGCCTTTCGGAATTCAAGGAACGGTACCGGTTAGTCATGCTGTCGTGTTTGATGCATCACAAACAACGAACTAGACATTTTCGAAGGAATTTGGGTACGATGTATTACATGTTTGCGTGGAACACACAGATATCAGATTAGTACTGAAAACGAATTTGCTTTCATGCTACTTTACAATCACTGACATAATTATCTATGTATTATATGGAAATTAACTCATATTGTAATTTATTTAAAAACATTTTTTCCCAATGGTGAAATCGTTAGAATATTTTAAGCGATCTCCTTTTAGATTGGGAAGCGATTGCATTTACGATGACCCGCACAGATGCATATCACCTTCAGATGAGCGCCATCTATTCGTCTAATCGCAAGCCAGGGTTTGGCTAGGCTAGTTTCAGCTCCATTTAAACAAATGGTTCGGATGCAGAACAAAAACTGAAAAGTCCGCTGTTACAACCCCATTAAAAGTTAACTTTGGCTGTTTTCTCAAAGTTCTTTTGGATTATGGCTATGCGAGGAACAGCTGGAGAATGCAGGCGGAAGCTTTGAAGAATAAGTCTTTAATAAATAAATATTTTAAATGACTTATTAGAATGCTTAAAGCCTACAGTCCAAAAAGTAAAAGCATCCTATTTTTTCCCTTTCACTATCTGATTCTTCAAAAGTTAAGGCAAACCCACTTGAGCTGAGTCGCGGTGGCTGTCCCGTGTGCCCACCGTGGTCAGAGGAGGTGGAATTTTTTGCGGAGAGGTGTCGTTGAGTTGCGGCCGACTTCAGAAGTTGGTAGACGGGATCAATTTCACCTAACGAAGCAAAAAACATGGCAACAACTTTTTACCTCTGCTTTTTGATAAGTAGTTCGCTAACGGAGCATTCTGACGCTTGAAAATTTAGTTTTTTCTTTGACTAATTTCCCGAAGGATCTAAAACTGTGCAGCGATAGAAGGAAAAAAAAGGGAAATGACTGCCAACGCTTTTTTGCCCGTACTTGTGCCCAGGAGCTCAGATGCTACAAGCATTAGGTAGAATAAATGTCAACGGCATAGGTTACCCTAAAACTATTGTCTTGTATAAGTGCGTCTTGTTTGAAATGCGTTCCCGACGCCTTAAGTGCGACCACATGACAAGTCAACAGATGATTAGCGACCTTTTCACTTTTATTAGGCTATAACAAGCATCTCATTCAAATCTTTTACAATGTATTTAACACAAACTACACCCAACTTTAGCGACCTCCTTTGGTTGAGAAAAATTGTTCAAATATTTCAACAATATTCACTTTTGTGGTTAAATATTCGCTTTACAATGATGTTAAAGCAATGATCAGCTACAAGGGGTTTTTTATTACCTTCTGTTTCTTCGCTCCCACTTTTCTTCCTTGGCGATCCAAATTTAGAATTTCCCTTCATTCAAAAAAGGTAAGGCATGATTAAATGTGTTTTTTTTGTGGAAAGGCAACATAGAGAATGAACGTTTCAGAATGCAAAACTCTCGTTAATACGCCCTCTGCCAGAATCTCAAGCTAGAATTAACCACCGCAGCCCAGACTCTTTACCCTTCCTATGATTTTGTGTGACCCAAAAACAATCCTCCGACCAAGAGCGTCATCCATCCATTTTTTCTTCCAAACTTATTCAACTTCTTTGAAAATAGATTTTGTGAGGCAGATAGCATAAACTGTGAATTTATCTCCCATAAACAAATCTGCTGTTTTAGTAAATAAGTAATTTTAAAATATCTTGTCTGATTAAATATAGAACATTGGACAACAAATTGGACACCGTAAATTTTATGCTTAACTGTGAGTTTTGGAAACTAATGGAACTACATTGGATTAGCAAAGCATTTCGGCATAGCCACAGCAAGGAGTTGCAGCATTTAGGATAAGAGCAGTCACTAAAAAGCAGAATACGTAACGTACATCCCTGTTGCTCGCCTCACTTCGAATGGCTCTGTAGGCTAGTTTCCAAAACCGCCTGAAGGACTTCTTCTTCGCACTGCCTCGTGGTGCTATGGATGATTCACCTTTTTCGGCGGGCTACATGGTAATTAATAAATCCGGACATTAACATTCTTGAGAAAGTTTAGCATAACGAATGCACCGCTAAAAAATTTAAATAAGTAGGTAAATGAAATAAAGAGTTAGGAAATGAAGAGGAAAATACATAATTGTATACTGTCATTTGAATGAAATAATCGTTACTATTTGCAAGAGACTGACATTAACAGGTGATCAAGGGTTTAAGTCCATTGTCAGATTATTTTCTACATGCTTGTCATGCAGGGAGGATGTCGTACATCTCATCACTTTGAGAAGTATGGCGAAACGTTCCCCCATTTTGGCGAAAGCTTGCCAACCACACCAACTGATCGGTCGGGAAGTACGCTACGTGTCTGCATGAATCTCATTTTGCTCGTTTAGGTTGAACTCCCTCCGTGCAAAAATTGTTGGGATGTGCGTGGGATATGTACCATTCAATTCTTTTAATTCAAAACTCAATATTAAGTTTTAAGAAAATAACAAAAGGTCGTGAAGAATCAAACCAGTGGACCTGGTGTCCAACTGCTTGTAAGATAAATCAGTTCATTTCCGGCCTAAGATACGAAGACGTGGGCATCGTAAGATCTTTTTTTAGTAAATAATATTATACTACAGATTCGTGGGGATCGTAAAGTCCTAATATTGTAATTTTGTGAAGATTTACATTAATTTTGGCCTGTGCAATTTTTGAATTTTGCATTGTTCTTGTAACTATGAGCGACCACATTTTGTACGAACGAAAGTGGTTACAGTTGCTTCGAGATGAATGCTTAATCTAGAAGTAAAAGATGCATTGCAGTGGATGAAAGAATAACCAAGTGGGTTGCAACTGTCCAGAGGTTTAAAGCGATCAGGCTTACGCTAGATCATTTCTCTGTCAAATGATGATAGCTGATGCTCATAATCAAGGGTAAGAAGTGTTCAAGTATTCGAGTGATGTTTTTATAAGTTAGAATCATTTGATAAAAGACAAGGCATCTTCAATAGCAAACTAAAAAGTATACAATTGTCGATGTTCTATAGACCCCTTCTTCGCCCATTAGAGATTGAGAAGCGTTTCATTATCGTTGGTGCGACTGATGTTTGCATGAGTACATCCGTTAGGTTCTTGCTGATTCCCTAAAGTTATCGGCTTCTTCCACTAGAGATCATTGAAATGTTTTTCACCTTAATGCTATCGCGAGATCTGCCGTAATCGGCTCTAGAATGGATTTGGTAGAGCTGGTAGATTTTAAAACTTGCTAAACTCATTGGAAGTGTAATCAAATAGATGCTAATTCTATCAGAATGGTTTATGAAGCATAATAAGTGTAAATTCACCAGGTTATCCATTTATTACAGACGCATTTCCTGAACACACCATGGAGTGGAAGGTATTGACAATCATGAAAATTGGAAGCTAAATTTATGACATCAAATAAAAATACTGATAACATTGAAATGTTCTGTGGACTAAGAAGAATTTCAGGGTTGTGCAAAACCCTTTAATGGGAGAAGAGTAAGGGGTTAACCGTAAAGAGAGGCAGCCTTGTAAAGAAAAACTGCTTATTTACACGACCTTGCTTATATGTAATAGCTAAAGATACAAAAATAGTATCTCACAATGGAATGCAGCACTAATGAGAGGTAAATGAGGGGGTTATTTGAAAGTAGTCGTGCGTCCTAGCTCGATCACTCTCATGCGGAGCACCTGGATTGTGCAGTGAAAAATAAGGGACATTTCTGGGGGAGGGCCATAACACCTGCGTCAAGATTGATATTCATATCATATTTAAAACACCTCTGCTTTATAAAAGGCCGAAAATTCATCTAGCACATTTTTTGTTAAGTTCAAGGCGTAGGGCGGCAAGCAGTGTGCTTTAATTCAAACCCATAGTTTTCATTCGTTATTCTTACATTTCGGTGTTTAGATACAAATAATCGGTTCGTTTAATAAAAAATACGCAGAGTGTATAAACTGCCGTCGTACCTATATAATTCGTTTTGTCATCCACTTAAGTATAATTTGGTAAATCCTAATTTCATTGAAACTTTTACATTCCCTTGTGGGAAAACCATACTTTTCTGGCATTAAAGAAAGCGACATCCTGTCACTTAATACATCTAGGCTTCCAGAACACTTCAATCTGATTCATTTTATGGCCTGACTTCCGCTGCCATTAAATTTGTTCTTTGTACCACGTCTGCTGCTGTATAATTTCATGCAGACAAGTAATTCTCAACGCTATTTTGTAAACAAGGAAAAAGTAAAAGGTAAAGTGTGATTTGTAGCAAGAAAATGTGTGTAGCAGTTTTTATCTTGGAGCAATGTGCAGCAAAGTGTAGAATTTTGCAAATCCTTTTCTATACTATTTATTATTCCAGAAAAGTAGGTCAGTGAACTTTTTTAGATTTCCTATCGTCTTCTTAACTGATGAGCCGTGATGTGATGACCCAGAAACCTATCATTGAAATTTGGATCTACTTATTTATGTGCTTCAGTTTGTACCTCTTATTTACTTCTCCTTATGAACGTGACACTTGCGGCCGAGTGCAATCTGTTAAATTATTAACCACTTGACACCACAATCACCCCCTGGATTTAACTAAAGGTACATCCAGGATTTATGATCGTGTGGTTATAAAAGTGCGCACATTTCTACCAATTTTCTTATCGTCATCTCCAACTGCCCTGGGCCCTTCGTTAAGGTTTTTGCAGATTTGTTGGGTCAGGCACTCATTACAAGTTTATACCGCCGACTTTGGTGGATTACAATTTAACGTAAGTGCGATTCTTTGTTATCTGTTGACGTAATTAGTTTCGAATACAACCAATGCAATGTCTATTGTGAGAGATGCAGTGGTTAAAACAGCGCCCTTAAGCTTGGTAGGTGTGATCCTGATTAAGCCGAGTAAACTGATTCAAAAAAGGAAATTAATGTAATTTAAGGGAGAGGCTCGATAGCTATTCCCACATTTTAGAAGTCTTGGTGGATCTACACAGCACCGCAAAAGTATCGAGGATGGTTAAGTGAAGAGGCTGATTTTTAGACTTCTTTGCTTTTTAAAAGAAATACGCTCGGTCACTCTTATCACATTGGCATCGAATGCCCAAGCATGTGTAAGTGTTAACCTTACGAAGAAGGATCTGCAAGACTTGCGATAGCGAATAGCAAATGCAAATCAACGGGAGATGAACAATTTGTGTGTTAATTGTAGTAAAGGATTCAAGAGGTATCTCAACAAGAATCAAACAATTTTTTACAAATAAGAACCAAAATTGATTTTGCACTTTTAAAACAAGGGAATGAATTCGTACTTCACGTGGATAAAAAAATTCATATTCCCTACCAAACGGAGGAAACTCGATACTTCTCCCGTTTAATCATGGTTTGCAATTATTTATTCCATGAGTTCCAAAGGATCTTTGCGATAACTTTTAAAGCATCAATTCGTAAACCATAAGTTGCATCCAAGGAGGTCCCTTTTTTCGTGAAGTCACTGTCAGTAATCAGAACTGATACGATCATCAGAATTTAACAGAGGATTGGGTGCTGTGTTAATTAGCCCAGATGAGTTAACGACTCTTACTTCTTTTTCTTGTTTATCAAACACAGAGTCGAAAAATTCATCTGCTTTTTCTCTCGGAGATTCTATGGCTTCGGTCCTTTCTTCAGAAGTTTTGTTTTCTCTGGTCTGCTCGTGTACCTGCTCAGAAGTGATGTGTACTTCCTCGAAGCTGTAATTTGTTCTAAAGGGATGTCCCATCCTATGTTGTGCATTATCGTGTCGCGGAGAGTACTGTGTCCTATGCAGCGCACTAGGAGTGGAAGGGATCTGGACAATCGATTGCTGCGGGTGACTTTGCAGGGGCTCCTCGTCTTCCTCATAGCTGGTGAAGGAGGGATTGCCGGAAACGGAGGTTGAATTGCAATATCCCCCTCCGACCGCAACTGTGCTCTGTGAACTGCTCCAACTCATTCCACTGGCTGCTGAGTCGTATGACTCGCAAGACTTTTGCGGTTTCACCTGTCCCACCTGCACCTTGCCTCCGCTCCCGCCTGACCCATCATCAAGCCGAATTTCTGGCAATCGCGACATAGGCTTGGGTAGCTCTGCGCGAAGTAAGAGAGTGCTGCGTGGATTCAACGATTGAAGGAATGAATCTGACGTTGATGGGATATCATGTGAATGTGATCCCCCACTGGTAACGTTGGCCTGACGCGTGAGTCGACCAGATTTGCTAGCTGAAGGCTTTAAGGGGAAGGACATGTTCCGATTGGTTCAGCACAACCAAGTGGTTGGAGGTTGGCGCACAATAATGGTCTAGCGGGGATATAAGTGTCGCCTACGTATGCAGCACAGCCCAGTGAATTGTCTCTCCCAAAAATGGCCTAGGTTGAAACGCAGCGAATGGACAGTAGGCCAGTGCAATCTTTCAAAGTGATACCTAGGTGAACGCATGCACAACCTCGCTCACCCTGATGTGAAACTTTGGCAATGCGTGCAGAAACAGGCCTCCAATTGGCCGGATGGGAGGAGGCCAATCACTTCCTCCATGGCGATGTTTCAGGATATCTTCGAATATGTAGAACGTTTTCTGTACAAATTCAACTTTGCTTACACTAATGCGCAACAATATAATTGTATGAACCATGGATTTTCACATAATCCTACTAGACTTCACTAAGGCACTGGCAGGCTCCGAGTTCATTTATGAATTTATATCTTCGAAAGTCATAGTGAGGTTTTTATAATGAGCAAAAGTTCTGCTCATTATTGCGAGCATTAAACGGCTTTCTTCACATTCACTTTCTAGTCAAACTTATCCTTACACTCTTGCTTAAACAAATTATAGGCCACTTTACCTCGGAACCTCCTTTATAATACAACATCATAAAAGAGAGCTCATGTTAGGAGAAGCGATATAATTACAAAGTGTGTTCTGTGATCAAAATAGGGCTCCATAACCAGCCACAGTTGCACCGTAGTTGGATTGAATAATAGTTCCTTGTTCAATTAATGTTAAAAACAATCTTGACATTTATTTTAACTGTAGTAGTCCTTGATCATTATGTATTTTAGAAATATTAAAAAATACATGAACAAATAAAGTAATTTACTTACCTACGATTG